TGCACAGTTAAACATTTAAATATTTCAGGTCCACCACAGTAAGGAACTATATGATTTCTGTTCAGCCTTGTAATTTGATAGAGCTTGTCCTGTTTTCCCACTAAAAATTTTAGAACCATTCTTTTAACAGTTCTTAAGAAAGGTTCTGTACATCTAAAGTACAACTAAGATTTCAAAGTACAGTTATGACTGGAAGCCATTCCAACACAAACGTTAAGCACTTCAGGACTTCTTTAGAGATTAGTTTAAACCACACAAGAACTTAACATGGAACCCAGTAATGTTCAGTTAAAGGAGTGAAAGCTTTCTTGTTCTGTTTGAATATAAGCTATTTGCATTTTCTATTCTATTGGCCTTAATTCATCCTATTTCCTCAGAAATTTCAGGTCCAAGTAATTTTCCAATTTGGCTCTAACAGGCCTGTCATTATTTGAAACCTAATTACCCGATTTGTGCTTATATGAGAGAGAAGCAATATTCAAATGTGAACTATAGATAAAGAGTTTGAGTACTGTATAGTTTTCAAGCTCACAAGGATACTTGACTAGTAAAGGTTGGCAAGTTTTCTGCATTAGCTAAAACAGTCATACGTCATCCATAAAGGAAACAAAAATAACAGTTTCACAAGTACCTTTGCTTATCATATAGCCTCTCAATTTAAGTAATTTTTACCAGAGAACATTCTCTAAAACCACTTTTCTGACTGATGAAGAATATTCAAGGCATTCAAAATGCTAAAGAACAATGAACAAATAAATAATACTACTACTAATAATAATAAATCTATACAATTCACAATGCTGAAGGCCAACTTTAATCCACTAAATAGCCTAAAGGCATTTTTATTTGCTCCTCAGTAGCTTTCTACCAGTACTGCAATTATAATGTGAGGAATCAGAAATTAACTAAAACTATTTCAAAACCTAAACTTCCTTTCATTTCTTCTGCACAATACACCGTTGACCCTTCCTTCAGTCCTGCTAATGTAGCACTAAAGTTTTTGCCAACTCCGATAAAGTTTGAAAAGTAGATCTTCAAGATGAGGTGAGATCATCAGCAAAACTATATGCTTGTAACGTTTTGGACACATTAAAACAACAGTTACCTGAATTTCTCCTTGGTTTGTGGCAATTAATGTATGAAGTAGGAATTTCCTAGAAGATAAGCACTGAATACAGCCTTTAAGATCTTCAGAATTCACTGAAAGTAGTAGAAGAGGAAGATACTCTCCTGATGAGATTTGGTCCCCAACAACCCTACTATTGCTATTGGTACAAACAGTATTCGAAATTCTCTAATGGACATTCTGCTTCAATGGCTGCTGTCACTAACCCTCACCAGTCTTCCAGAGGCCCCTTCACTTTCACATGCTCCATACTTGTTCAGCATCTCTTAAAATTCCCTCCTTTAGTGCCTCCTTTCCCTACCCTTCTAGTTGCTGGCAAACCTCTTTCATACTTTGAAATGAAAAAAAAAAAAAATAATAATTCTATGTTCATGACTTCACTGGCATGTTTTTTTCTATCACATAGTGGTATGTCCACAGCTGCAGTAAGTCTCAAACAAACCAAGCAGAAACTCAATTTTTAATATTTAAGAGATTCTGTGAAAAATTGTGAAGCTCACCAAGCTTTGCCATTATGCCATTTGCCAAATTTTGTTTGCATCTGACTATGAAGTTACAACAAGAATTGAAATACCCTAATTGAGCCTTACAACTTTGAATGAAAAACTAATACATTACGCAAATGCATGACAAAAAAAAATCCCAGCCGTGAGCACAAAATTAGCATGAAGTGGTGCTTGTACCACAGAAAACACCTTCAGATTTTAAAAGCTAACCACATATTGGTAAATTAGTTACTCTCATGTCAACACAAGTTAGTCTACTCAGGAAACACTAGATCATGCATACGTATGAGTTCTGAAACACAGATGACAACCTATACCCACAAGCTAGCATTAAAACTCTGTTAAGATACTGCTGTATCAGATGTGTGCTGTAGGCCACTGCACCAAAAAGAAGCATACGTCCTAAATGATTCCCGTGCATGCCTGTTACATTAAAAACCAGCACCGCTGGGAGCTGAAGGCAGCCTCCCATCTGCTGAATCCCTATTGTGGCTGCCCTCGCCCATTTTGGGAACTGGAAAGATGTTTTGAAAGCAGAAAAAAAGTACCGGCACTTAGCACCCACGAGGCACCACGCCTGAGCCTGTCCCAGCCGGAGGGACGTTAGGTGCTCTCGGAGCAAGCCCATGGGCCCTCCCCAAAGGGTGAAGGAGCTTGACGGCCCCCGCTGCCTCGCAAGGCGGCACGGTGGCCCTATCCACCCCGGGGAGGAGGCAGAGCGACGAGGCGGGACGCGGAGCCCGGCGGGTCCTCCGGGGCGGGCCCGGACGAACTGGACCATCTCCTCGGGAGCCGCGGCAAGAGGCCCAGGCCAGGCTCAGCCGGTGGGACAGCTCCTCCCGGCCGCCTGGCACCCCCGGAGCAGGGGACAACCCTGCTGTCTCCCCCCCATCCCGCCGTCCCGATGAGGGGACTTTGGGGCAAGACCCCCTACTGCCCCCCCGCTCCCCGCCCGCCTCACCTGCTCGGCCCCCCGCGGCCGCCCACAACAGGACAAGCCCCCAGCAGCAGCAGCACACGCCGCCGCCGCCGAGCCGGGCCATGCTGCTGCTACCCCGCACCTCCTCTGAGCACCGGCGGGCGGCGGGACTTTAACAAGTTCCCTCGCTCAAGGCAGGTCCCGCCGCTGCCCCCGCCTCCTCTGGCACCCGCCCCAGCCACGGCGCCCCGTGCTGGGGGTGGCCCCGCCAAGTCAAGGGCTGTGTCTCGCCCCTATCGCCCTTTCCCCTCACGGCTCCGGGGTGCGCCCCGGGATCGGCCGGCTGTGGCTGCTGTTCTTCACGCTGCGCTTCCCTCCCGAAGTGTCGTGGAGGCGGCCCTCAGGTGGCCGTTGGTCTCGTAGCCGTTGGCAGCCCCGCCGGCAAGGCCTGCACGCTGCCCTCGTGCCCGGTCGCCTCACATTGATGGTGGCAGAAGGCACTGGGGGAGGCGTTTGATGGACGGCGAGCACAGGGCTCCGGCATCTTTTTGCCATTGACACTTGTTTAAAATCCCGAGTGCCTGGCTGGGACCTGATGCTCACTCCAGGCCGAGGTTGGGTCTCACCGTTGTGCCAGACACCTTCATGAGGCACAGGTCAGTGAGGAGGCGTCTGCTGGGCTGGCAGAGGGTGATTGCCCACAAAGGGGCAAAGGTTTATCAGGAAAAGCCCCTGTAAAGCAATATGGAGTGAGGAGTTACGTGGTGCTTGTCAAATTGCACATTTTGCATCAGAGGAAGAGCAGCTTTCTTTTGAGAAGAAAAACGGCACATGTCCCAGCAGAAAGGCTGCTGGACAGTCCTTTTCTGAAGGCTTACAGATAGGGACAGCCTTCCCTGGGGTCTCCCCCTGCCCCCTTGGTTCAGATAATTTTGCGATACTGCCTTTTCTTCCCGGTGTTGGATATTCTACCACTGTCCTAAACCAGCTGCCATTAGGCCATTGTGTTTCAGTAATTGTTAAAGATAGTTCAGATTTGATGCCGGTGTCTGTAATATCCTCATATAGCAAGGTCACATGCCAACTAGTTCAGGCCAAGTAGCAAGTCTTGGCCTTAAGCCCAGGGAGAAAGCACTACAACACTACTGCCTACCCAGTCAAAAATAACTCTTAAAGGCCTAATCATGAATGGATGCTGTGTTTGCTTTGGAGGGATATTCTCCAAAGGCTTTTCCAAATGAAAATTTCGTTTGTCACGTGCTGCTCTCAGTTTTATTGTGCTGATGAAGTAAAACACAAATTTTTATTTTCCATAGAATTCTCTTTAGGGGATTACCACAGGAAAAAAAAAAAACCACCACAGTATTTAAAACAAGGTTCTCTGTGTACAAGTGATGGATGTGGCCAGGAATTAGAGGCACATGTAAACATGCAGGACAGAGAGTACAAATACAGAATGCAGAAACGACAGCGGAGTATGGATGAGTGACGAGTGACAAGTGTTCCTCAGGGGTTGGAACTGGCACCAGCACTTCTTCACATCTTTGTTGGCAACGTGGGCAGTCAACACACTGGAAGGAAGGAAGGAATGCCATCCAGAAGGACCTGGACAGACTCAAGAAGTGGGCCAGTGTGAACCTCATTAAATTGAACAAGGCAAATTCAGCTGTACCTGGGTTAGGGCATTCTCAAGCACAGCTACAGGCTAGGCAGAGAATGGATTGAGAGCAGCCCTAAGGCAGACTTGGAGGGGTGTTAGTTGATGAGAAGCTCAAATTGACCCAGCAACGTGCACTTGCAGCCCAGAAAGCTAACTGTATCCCAGGCTGCATCAAAAGAAGCATGGACAGCAGGTCCAGGGAGGTGATTCTCCCCCTCTGCTCTCTTAAGACCCCATCTGGAGTACTGCATTCAGCTCTGAGGCCTCCAACACAGCTCTTGCTCGAGCAAGTCCAGAGGAGGGCCATGAATATGATTCAGGGGCTGGAACACCTTTCCTATGAATACAGGCTGAGGAAGTTGGGTTTGTTCAACCTGGAGAAGGCAAGGCTCTGGGGAGACCTTAGAGCAGCTTCCAGTGCCTAAAGGGGCCTACAAGAAATCTGCACAGGGACTTTTTACAGGGGCATGTAGGTGTTCCTGCCCATGGCAGAGGGCTTGGAACTACAAGATCTTAAGGTCCCTTCCAACCCAAACCATTCTATGAGTCTGTGCATGACAAAAATGAGAGGGAGAAATGGGTGGAGTCTGAATATGACCGAAGCTACAAAGCTCTGATGTGTATTTGGAAAGATTCACTTCCTCATGCTTCAAACCTATAGATTCACAGAAATTTTATTTTTGTGTGAGTTAAATTGAAATGAACGGTGATGGTGCCACAAAAATCCATTCCACTCAGAGAACTCACACAAAGTTTTTAATATAACATTTCACTGTTTATTCATATAAATGCCATGGTGTCAGTTAATGAGCAAGTCACTTGAGTAAAACCTGAGTTTTGCCTGGTTGTGAAACTTTATCCAAAAGCTGAATTGAAAGTTTCTGAGGTTTAAGTTCAGTAAGTTGGGTTTCTTCATTTCTGTTGCACTTCTGGCTTGGGGGCAGAAGCAGAAATGGAGAAAAGATATGAAAGTGTCTGTTTTTGCAAGATTTCCAGTCTCATTTTGCAAGCGCAAGAGATTCAGGTAAGCTTAGAAACCATACAGCTTCTGGAGTAATCTCCCAAGGTAAATAACAGAAGTGTTGTCTCTTGAACAATGTCAACTTGACCAAACAAAACATGTGAGACACAGGGGAAAAAAACAGAAGAAGCAAAATGGCAACATATCCAGGATTTACGTATTACATGTTTAATGATATTTTCAAATATATTACACCAAATCTTTCTTCAAATAGAAATTGCAAATTAAATACAACATCTAAAAATCATGGCAAATTAAGGCTTTGCTATGAATATTTTCAGAAGTGGATTATTGAACAGGCTGTCCCATTTAAAAAAATAACCAAAACAAACAAAACCAAATATTTTCCAGACTCAGGTGCAGATACTTTCATTTACCTCAAGTCAGGTTGCATGTGTCGTACTGAAGTCATCCAACAATTTCAACATTACAATGAAGAGAGGTTTGATTTGCTGATAGCAGGTCAGCTGGTTGAAAGGATGCTTGAAAAGATATTTTCCTTCTCCTCTAGCTGAGAGTATAAGCCTCCAGGCTTTTTATGAAGTCCTTCAGAGAGTTGCTGCAGCTTTCTGAGTCATACTAGACACCCAGTTTTAAATATATGTGTCATAATTCTCTGTGCTGACCAGCTGCAGGTATTCCAGGGTACCCGATCGGTAACTAGCTACCCGTGAAAGCTTACGTGTCTTGGATGCTTCATTTTTCCTTTTCTGAAGAATATCAGTTATCATCTCTGCTAGGTCATCCTGTAACCGCTGCTGGTTCTCCCTAAAAGCAAAAGGATGGAAAATCAAAAATCAGTGATTTGCATGTTTGTAGTGATCCCCAGTGTTTTTTAAACATCTCTACCCCATGTTTATCTTAATCACATTCACATGCTACTGATAAAAAGTGTGCACAGAACCATATTCAGGTTCTGGATTTATGAATAGAATTCAGGATTTCCATGTGATTTGTCCAGATAGTATAGATCCATGACTCTGCACAGTGTCATTATGGTCCTTAAAAAAAATTATGATCATTTGCATGAAAAGGAAGAATTAATTAGATTCACTCCCAATCAAAATAGATTGTAGCTTTCAGTGCCATTACTGGCACCAGCCCTTTCCCTATTCAACTTCAAGTGGCCTTCAGTAACTAAATTGCCACTTTTCATACATTTTCTTCACAAATTTTCCGGAGTACCCCATATATGACAATTTTAAGGGGCAACTTTATCAGTCACAACCTATATGAGGAAGCAAAACCAAAACTATCACAGACAACAGTGATACAGCTTAATAGGTAATTTCAGTAGTTGAATTCCAGAAGAATTAGCAAGTTTATAATTCTGATCGTCTCAACAGAACATACTGATTAAAACAAACAACAAAAAAAAAGAGTTCTGAGTTTACAAATGCAATGTACCATAGAAGTGAGGTTGACAGTATTTCCTGTGCAGCCCAGAGACATGTACTTTCCATGTGTATTTTCTGCACTTACCACATCAGAACTTGTCCCGCAAGTGTTATTTCCCTTCCAAGGACATGAACCCATTAACCACTTATATATATGTCATAGAATCATAGAATAGTTAGGGTTGGAAAGGACCTTAAGATCATCTAGTTCCAACCTTCAGTGCACACATAGTCCCATGTCAAGAACGTTTGCACGTTTATATGTACATACACTGTTAAGCCTCTAACTATTGAAAGCAAGTTGAGTGATATGAAAAAAATACAGAAGTGCCGGGGAGGAACAGTGAAGGCTAAAGTGCAAAAAAATGGGAATTTCTCTTCCCTTTTCACATATAAAGACCATCTTACACAGAAGGAGGTGTTGGGAGATTGTATTTCTTGTCCTCAGAACCCGTCAACCAGTAGGTGATCTCTGTTCCTCTGCCCTAAAAATGTATGACAAAGAGAAAGCACCATTTCAGGTTTAGAATACAATTTCCCATTGTTAATTCACTTAATACTGTATTGCTTATTGATGTGTTTTCCTTTGCTTGTTTTCAGTAACTGATGCTCACGCAAAGGAATAAAAATCAGACGTGAGAAGAAGAATAATGGGGGAGATGCAGCTGCACAGAGGTAAGCTGTGCTGCCTGCCACCAGCTCCCAAGTACAGAATCTGCCAAGTGTAGCAGACTGAAATGAATGGATTGTTAGGTAGACAGTCAGCTATCAGAGCATGAGGAAATTAACAATAGATTTAGCTTCCCTTCCATCAGATTAATTCACTCTACAGTTTTCTGTTACAGATGATATGTTTCATTTCTTCTCCACATCTTTATGTTGCTTTAATTTATGACTTAGGGAGTTCTTCATTGCCTTCATTTTTTTTATAGAAGTGTCGTCAGCCACTAGAGACTGTAATGCCAGTTCATGTGTAACCCTTGTTCCCCAGCTGTTCATGAAGCTGCAGGGTAGTCTCAGTTATGTGATGCTTTTATGCTACCCTTTTTCTCAGTGTTCATGCATTTACATAGAATCATAGAAGGGTTTGGGTTGGAAAGGACCCTAAGATCATCTAGTTCCACCCCCCTGCCATAAACAGGGACACCTCACACTAGCCATGGTAAAGATTACCTTCAAGTACGTTTCTCCTCTCACTTCATACTGGAATGGGCAGTCTGTTCTTTTCAGGATGTTAATAGTGGAACCACTTACATGAATCCTTAAAGCTAAAAATTAACGAGACAATGAAAGCTCAACCAGGAAACGTTTCACCTAGTCATATTAAGTATATATGAAAACTGGTGCTATAGCAGAAACTCCTTCAACTATTATCAACATAAATTCTGAGAGTCAAATTAAATGAGAATCAGTTACATTACTGTACCAAAAAATCTGACTCCACAATATAGCACTGTATTTAGGGAGGAACTGCTGGTACAGCTATTGATCTGAAATACAGGTGACCAAGGTATCTGTAGTATTTAGATGCCAAAAGGGAACAGAGTAATTGGGAATTACCTAAATAAAGATAGTTGTGTGAAGACACTTGGTAGAAGAAAGACAGACTCTTGACACAGTTTCTTAATGGTGAAGTTGAAGACATACTTGCTTCAATTTAAAATACACAGTTTTCATATTTACACAGCAAAGTTGTAACACATTTCTAGTCAAACTAAAAATCTACACTTTATAGAGTAAAACTGAATTCCAGACATATGAGTATCACGTCTTCTGGGGGAACTCAGACAGTGATCCGGCCTATGTACTCCCCGTCACCAGTACTGAAGCATGACCAAGGAACAGTTTCTTCATTGCTTAGTGAAGTGTCCACTGTCACTTCAGACAGTGAAATAATTAGTAATCAAAACAAATAGGACTTCTTCATCTTTAAAACTCCTGCAAGCTGATAATAAATTGGTTTCAGCTGAAAACAGACGCTTCAGTCACAGACTAACCAACAGCCTTTGGTCCTGTTACACTGACAGCTAAAATGAAATTCTTACGCAAACCCGTGGATTCCATCCGCGAAGCTGTGTTCACCGTATCTCCAAACAAACAGTAACGAGGCATTTTTATTCCAACCACACCAGCTGCACATGGACCTAGAAATGGGATGCAGAGAATGTTAAAAGGTGGATCAAGAGATTGTTTGGAAGGTGTCTCACTGTTGCAGAGCAGTGCGGTGCCTGCTGGAGCTCTGCATTCCTCACCAATGGCGATACTCTGTACCTTACTTTCTGAAGGGTCTAGTGGTCTTCCCTTCTACTCCAAAGCTAGAACAGCTCTGTTAGTCTTGCATAATCCAACAAAAGCATAAAAAGGACACAGTTGCACAGTGTTAATTGTATTTAAACACAATTTCTGTGCAGAAAAAAGAAGCGCAGTTACTAGCTGTCAATTTTGGAAGCAAGAGTAAAAAAGAATAAGCTTCATTATGGAGATGTCCATAGTGATGCCTCAAGCTGTTTCCCAGTGCCTCAGTAATTTTCAGTGATATGTTCCTCCCCTGGCAGTTGCTGTTCAGGTGGTTGTTGAAACAAGTAGAAATAAAAAGAAAATTTCCCAAAGTACTTTGGATTCTTGACCTATCTCCAATTCCCCTTTGACGAAAAGTATTTATATGGATAAATTAAAACATTAATTTCCATGTAGGCTTGACAGAATTTTTGCTTCCAAAAGTGTAAAATACAGGCTTGCATTTTTTGGCTAGACAAGCATAGCTGGCCATGACTGTTCTCCACTTTGGTCAGGGAGGAGTGATCTGTGAAGGCTTATTTGATACAACTGGCTTAATCATACCAGGAACAATGGTCGTTTCTCTTCCTAGCTACTGACTAAGCTATGAATGAATGGGTGTGGGCTATTTCACTGCAGGGGGGGCAAGTCAATGGCTTATTTACTTCTGTTGCTTTTCCTCCAGGTACATTGTTTTCAACCTGACACTTCACGAGGAAAGCAGTTGTGTATGATGTACTACCAGACTTTCTATGGATGTTTATTTTGTTCAAAACCAAGGCAACAACATTGTCATTGTTGATCTAGCACTATTGCTTACCAGAGTGAATTCCAATTCGAATCCAAACAGGCAGACCTGGCAGATGCCTCAGTTCAAAAGATCCCATGAAGCTCAGGATGTCCAGAGCCATCATGGAGATGTCTACTGCATGCCGGTTGCCATTCCTGTTAGGTAAACCACTCACCACCATGTAAGCATCACCAATGGTCTCCACCTGTGTTAACAAAATTAGAACTCACTACCTGCAGACATGGCAAATTACGTATTTAGTTAAAAGCAGAAAGGTTGTATCAGATCTTCATGTTCATGATTAAACATTTCTTCCCTGGACAGCAAGATTGGTTGATTAATTTAAAGTAGCTGAAACTTTCTTGGTATAGAAGTGTTTATAACTGTACCCAGCATTCCAGTTAATTAATCTATTACCACTTAGTATAGAAAATTCAGTATAGGTAGGCACATTGCTTCTTTTGTCTTTGCTTAGAAGGGAGATTCCCAAGTCCACCACATCATGCAATTTGATTTGTGCATCCTCTGATTGTTAAGTGAGCGAAAGTGCAGAGCTAATCACCTTGTAAACATCATGATGGTCAAGAATGTGGTCAAAGTTCTTATAAATATCATTCAGCATATCTACCACCTCCATAGGGGTGCTGTATTTGCAGAGTGTAGTGAAGCCAACAATGTCACTGAAGTAGATAGTGACTTCTTCAAATAGCTCTGGTTCTACCAGACCAGTTTCCTTCAAAGACTTTACTACTGGCCTGTGTAAATAGAGAAGGCAGGAAGACACATGAGTAGTATTTAATATTAAAGATATTTTTTCATGCAACCCAACCACATAATTGCTTTCTATGTAGGAAACATCAAATAGTTTGCTGAAAACTGCCACTGTAATTGTATTTAAGATGCCCATAATGTCTGTCAGCCAGGGACCTCAAAGCGCTTAAAATGCTAATTAATGTGCTACAGCCTTACAAAATTCAAGTGTATTAATAGTCATGAGGAAACTGAGACACAGGCAACTGAGCTTCTTGTGTAAGATCAGGAATAGCAATATTGAGTCAAATTTAAAACTGAAATTCTGAAAATTCTAACATGTAGATCTACATTCTACCCACCAAATAAGTAAGAACAGACATATTTTTCTGTTTTTCCAGTAGAGAAGTAATTTCATCCAAATAATTACATCACCTCATCTTGATTTCAAATGAGATACCATAATAATTTTATGGAACAAAAATTCAATTCCATGACAGTCAATATCTATTCAGAGGGACCTTAATTTTCTTCCATTTCTAAATCCAGGAAAATATCTGTTCCTAGTGGACGTATTGAAAGAGAATAATAGCAAGAGTCCCAGAAAATTATAGGTGTTGCACAATGCTGTGTTCCGTCTACAATAAGACAGTAGAGTGGTAGAAATAAAAAGAGTAGAAGGAAGCATGGGTTTCTTGCTACAGTCTACACAGCCACACTATTTTTCCCAAAACTGGATTGAACAGCCACTTTTTAAAAAAAAAATTAGTCATAAAATCAATACCCTGACTACTTAAATACCCTTGAATATTAGTAATGACATACCAGGATAGTTTCACTATTGTCTCAATAATACTTGTCCTATCATACTCTGAAGCATCCATCTAGCCCTGTATGGCCCGGAATGGCCCAGCCCACCTCAGCCCTTCTGCTGCGTTGCTAAACCCCAGCCTGAAACTGGACTGCACTTCTGCACTCCAACTGGAAACACTCCTTCTACACTCCTACTACACTCTGTTCTGCTGGAGCAGAGCAGAGCTCTATGTGTTCCCAGAAAGGCAGTGGAAAACAGGTTTGTACTGAAAAGGGAGATCCTGTGCATGAAGAGAGACTGGGGAAGGTAATGGATCCCAGTACCATCTTGGCATGAAACTCCACTATACTGTGAAGACTTCAAGGACTTCTTCTTTCCTCCCTAGCAGGATCAGATAAGAGGGGAATGAAATGGAAGATTAATATTAATTCCAACCCTCATTCTCCAAGATTCAGGTGATATATGTAAAAAAAATGACAGTCAAAATCCTCCTGGCCAGTTACCTTGGAAGTAACATGAAGTTAAGCCTGTCTGCTCTGTCTCGCTCTGCTTTATATAGCTCTGTCCTTTCCTCCACCAGGTGCTCCAGATTCCGGGAATACAGCTGTAAACGCCGGATCAGGGTATCCATGTAGCTTTCATTGGTCTGGCCATGGTAGTTACTGCGAAGATATACACAGGAGCCAAAAAGAAAGGTTGATAGAAGCACATTGTTGAGCAAGGCAAAAAAGAGGCAAAAAAGGAGCAATGGAAATTTCTGCAGTGTTTTACTTCCATATAGTTAGAATGCACAGTGCCTCGAGTACATCATCCTTTTTCTGGCTTGGAGGACATATATATATATATGAATCAAAAGTCTGTGATCCATGTTTCTCAGTTGAAGCTGGCAATTCTTAAGGAGCTCTTAAATCACCTATCTCTGCTATTATTGTCAGCTCCAGGTTACCTTGGGTAATCTGTGAACATTCGTTTATAAAAAGTAACTGTCAACTTGAATGCTGAGAGGAAGCTAAAGATAGTAGGTAGTAAATTGCATAAACATTTAGATGGAGACTTCAGCCAGAAGCATTAACACAATTTTGGGCTGCCTGTGTGGAAAACAGAGCAATTCAATGGAACAATTACCAGCTCCTGGGCTAGATTTACTCACAGGATCCTACAGACTCCAGCCTACTAACTCCTGGAAGCAAAAGTATGGTAACGTGAGTCACTCATAACCTCTCTTTGTCTGGGCAGCCTGCACTTGCCAGATCAGCCTGAAGCAGATGAGGCCAGGCTCACTGGAAAAGTCAGATTAGTACTGTTCCCAACTGGACTTTAAAACCACTCTTATTTCAAATAAATCTTTAGGTCAGGGATGCACCACCTTAGAGTCCCCCATGGGGAGAATGAGACACTGCATGTGGCAAGAGGCAACCTCTCTGCTTTTGTAGGATGGGGAGCTGAACCAGGAGCTGAACCAGAAGGTCTTTCCGTTCATCTGCAGTAAGATTATTCAACTGATATACTCAGTTACACATAGCACAGTTGTCCTTCTGCCCATGTAAAGTGTGAAATGATACAAGTACTGCTGGGGTTTGTTGATGAGGAGAGTTTAAAAAAAACAGGAAGCAATATCCCCAGAGAAGTGATTAAAAGCCCATTGTTTGGACATCAAAATAATCAATTCAGACCAAAGTCTGTAGGACAATGCAGCATTGGCCAGGTGAAAGGCCTGCATAACTCCACATTATTTGTCCAGCTATGGCCCTTACTATGCCACAACTTAATACCAGTAAACCCCTGTAATTAGTATTTCTGGTGAGTTACAACCCAACACTTCTAGTCAGCTTAATTTGAGACCATCCAAGCTCCTGTATGGAACAACCTAGCTCATTCAAACTTTCTAATCATCCTCCAAACATTTATGTGCTCTCATTTCCTGAAACTTAGAAAACATGAGTCACTATCCAACTCTTGACTAGACACAGGGGGTGAATTACTTAAATGGTTTAAATCTCTAATTATCCAGCTTGCTACTTTCACAATATAACTATTTGAGGTATGGTGATAGTCTTACCCTCACTCAGCTAATACATGCATAGATGCTCATGTACACCCATGTACGTATACATGTGCACGTGCTCACCTACTTTAATGCCAAGGAATAAAAGAGGATCTAAGCGAAGACACTCAGTTTTTCCACTGAATCATAATCACATGAGCTTACTTAGGAGGGATTTGGAGCATCTTAAGAAACAGCTCCTGCTGCTCACCTGAATATTTTAGCCAAAGTATTCTCAATTTTCTTAAAGTCTGGCCTTTTCTCTGGATCTTCTTCCCAGCAGCTCTTCACTAGTGTATACACCTTCAAACAAAAATTTAAGGAAAGTCCACCTAAGTAATGGATACAGAAGTTAATGGTGCTAAACAGCAATAGTTCATTAGGGAATTTCTGGTTACTCTTGACGGGCAGCATATTAAAATGTGTGACTAACTGTTTTGAATCAATGGTTAGGACACTCATTGTAGGCACCTTAAATTTAACTCTGTGGTGACTAGTGACATGATCATAACTTGAATGTGAATTTGCAGTACATCAATAAAAGGCAAGTAAATGGATGCAGTCTTGCAGCTAGTGCCAGATACAGTTATTGACATGGAGGTGAATGATGTGGTAATTGTATTTCCAATATCGTGAGTCCAGGATTTTTCTGAAACAAATGATTCAGCCAAAAAGAATGAGGTTCATTGCTGAATATGTTGATGTCTACCATACAAATATTTTCACCCAAGCAGGAAGCCTTAGGGGCTATATAATCAGTCAAGAGAGGTGTATTTGAGGTGTGATTCATCCCATCTTAGAGATATCTAAAATAGGTCAGCAGAGTAGCACCATATAAGCATCCATTTCTTTCCAGTGAAAAAATTTTCATGAGTTGTATTCATTTCAATGGTAACAACTATAGAATACCATTTTTTCCCATGAGGTTAGACATTTGGCATAAAATGTGCAAAGCTTTCATCATCCCATGATCATGAGCTCTAGGTTGGCCAGGATTTCTCCCCTTCACCCAGAAAATGCCTTAGTTAATTATTAGCTTACTTCCATCTGTCTTTCTCCCACTGTTTCCAATGACAGGTCTGGTCGGAAAGGCTTCACTCCTTTGCCACTCTCCACTCTGTGAAGTTTCTCTAACACAGGAAAAAGATGAAAATTTTTAAACAAAAAACGTAAGAAGGACATTCTGTGTGGATAGTGTCCTGTGGTGTTACAAGTCACTGTATAAATAAAAGCCTTAAAGACAGTTCCCTCATTTTGATGTGAATTTCAACTTTGGAGCTTTTCTAAGTATATGGCACAAGATCAAATCAGGCTGGCTTGAAGGTACCTGAAAGCAAAATGAATAGGATTGTACATGAGTATTTATTGGTCACGGTAGACATGGTTATGGCATCTTCCCAAATAAACGTTAGGCATTATTAGTGTGCCTCTCAGCATGAAGTATAGCTATAGTAAAAAACAATGTGAAAAGCCCATTGTGACTTGATCAAAAGTGCAGAGAATACAACTCTCATCAGAGCAGTTCAAATTGTCCTACAGATGCTCTGCTTCCTTGAAACTAGGCTATCAATGTATGTGGTTTAAAAACATTGCATTTGTTAGCTCATTTGTACTTTTACTCATGAAATCTATTTTATGAAAGTTATTTTGAAAGTCAGAATGCAGCCTGCATTTGCACAACTCGATTTAGGACTAGTGAGAGCTAGAGCAAAAATCTCTCTCTTTGTTCTTGTCCTCCAGACCTCAACAGTTCCAGAGGGAGTCAGTAAAAAAAGAGAAGCAATTTTTTACCTCTGGGGGAGAGAAAGAGAAACTGAAAGAGATCTGTGAACAAGCATGAAACACATTTATTAATAATGTCTGATTATATTTGGGAGCCATTTTTACTGAAGGAAGCATACAATGGTTGTAGTCGTGATAGTATGTGCAAGTCTAGAACAGCTAGGGATGCCTAAGCATGTCCAATATGCATGACCACTTTAAAAGATTCAGTAGCTTTCAGGTTTGAGTGAGAGAACTTACAGAGTAGAAAATAAGCATGAGGCTTGAGTCTCACAAATGCTGTGGAGTAGAGAGAGTGCTAAAAAGTCTTCTGTGGGCTGAGATGAGACAATCTTTGTAAGTCTCATGGATGTAAGAGGAATGTGCTGAATTTCCACATTGCACATACACCTGAGAGCAGAAGTAACAGCAGCTATTAGCAACACTGCAATTAGCCAGTGGCAGAAAGTAGTGGAACAAGGAGGTAGCTTGAATTGAGCACTGGTATGTGATAAGATTTCAGTCTTGAGCACTGAATGAAGTGTTTCTGCAGAAGAGTGAGGCAACCAGTTAGCCTAACAGCTGTCTTGCAGAGAAGTCAGTGAAGAGGACTATGACCTAGTTGCTTCTATACATTAGAAAACCAGTTCTGTATGCCCATCATGTTAGTGGGACTTCTTTTCTCACATTAATAGCAATATTATTGTGTGTTAAGTTGGTGGGTACATATTTGCTGGTTGAGAAAATTATCTCACTGAGTAACTGGATGTAGAGTTTAATTTTCCTAAGTTGGTTTATAGAATCTAGGTACAGAGTTTTTAGAACAGCTCTTTTAAAATCTGAACACAGTCTTTGCTGTTGTCAAAGTAAGTCATGGAGAACTGGCTGTATCAGTTGTCCTGAAACACCGGTTTCATATCTTCTAACCTGTAGGGATTAAGTTCTGATAGCCTAGTCACTGAAAGACTTTCTGCAGGACACTTAAAAAAACAAATTAATCTAACATGCAACATGGACATTTCTTTGCTGATTACCACTGATTCTAATTTGGTATTCTTTTCTGTCTTTTTATCCTAGATATTTCTAAATTAATAGTCATGCCAAGTTTGAGCTACTGTCTTCCAAAGTTAGATGATTCCACAAAAAATTCAAAGGTGTTAAAATAAGTATGGTCCACCCTCTTGCTGTCTTATCTTGGCTAATGAATGAATCCAGACATTTAAATGAGGAGGCACTTCAATAACATAAAATAACACTCATTCCTTTCTGTTACATTAAATTTGATTAACTGCTGAAACTAGGCTGAACACATTTACTTGAATTGCATAATCAAAAATTAAGAATAATACCAGAAGCTATTAGATCAGCAACATGTATCTTATATAATGCTTTTAAGGAAAAAGTTTTCAGGATAAAACAATCTCCTCACTAAATGGAAAACTTAATATTTCAACTGAAGTTTACAAAGCAGATTTTTTTTTAACCGAATCCAAACTTACCAAACAGGCTTTGGGCCCAGTAAGTTTATTGCTGTCTTACTAAGCATACTGATAACCAACCTGTGACCATCTCCAGCAAAGAATTTAGAGGTGCTGAAAATTCTTTCAGTTGGATGGATTAACCTAATGCAATTTGAAAGTGATGGTCTTTCTAAAATGACAAAATGAAGTGTTAGGAAACTGGTCAAAGTTTAAACAAGGAACCAGGTTGTGACTGTGACAGCCAGGGTCAAACACAGAGCAGTGAGGATGCCACCACACCTCAGAAGAGCCCAGAAACACTGTGTCTGAGACTAATTGAATAACCATTAACGTAACACAGGAAGACTGTAACTGCTCAACAAATATGGAATGTAGTTTGTCATGAATTTACTTTGCAAGTCTCTTTCATGGGCAGCCCTTTGTCATGGAGAAAGAGCTTGCGTGCCCTTGTGAGGTTGAGAGCTATGCTGGTGGTGGCATATGCCTCCAGTAGGGTCTCCCATGCCAGACAGGTCTCAACTGAAGGGTCAGACAAAGTGTGTCTATGGGCAGGATGGGCTCACTAGCCTTCAGGCGACCATCCTAGGAGAAGGACAACTCAAACCCAGGCAGATGGAGCTCGTCTAGCCTTGTAAGGCTATCCAGCTAAGAGAAGGACACTCTAACCAAACCTACAACCTGAGGACTTTGCTGTCACTGTCCAAGCTTGCTAGGCCCTGGCAGATAAACCTCAGGTGTAAAGGGTGGGGCCAGTTCCGCGCACACTGTGCCTCACCTAAAAAATCCACTGCGCAGGCCTGAAGGGTTTACTCATTTGCAAAAGCATGGGTAAAGCCCTTCCCAAATCTTTGTTCGCGAAGTCAAGCCATCGGACTTTGCAAGTCAAAATGAGCAAGGAAGGACACTGCTCTTTCCTTTCTCCATCTGTGATACTTGTAAAGTCCTTGCATTCATGAGGATTGTGCCTACCTCTTCCCAAGAAAAAGGAATAGAAACTTCTATTTTCTCTGCTTTATCTTAATCATGGAGTCCTGAAGAGTTAGCTTGAAGGGGAACAGGCATTTCTAATCTCTCTTAGGTCTACGTTTCTATTAAAGAGTTGGTGATGTGAAATACTGTGTTTCCCCAGATATGAACACAAAGCTGCGATAATACAGGATGATTAATGTGCCTCAGAAGTTATGCCTAAATATAATTCAGGAAAAGAGCTATTAGGCTGTCCAGCTGCTGCTCTAGATGTTTTAACAAATGTGAGGCGGATCTATCAGAATGACTCAGAGGTAAAGGCAATGTCTGAACTTGTTGTTGGTAACTGTCACCAGGAAAATCTCAAACCCACACACGCTTTTATGTCAGTTCTAGTATACCTAGTTCTGGATTCGGGGAACTGGGATTGACTAGGCCATTAACCACTCAAAAACATTGTCATAAAATTCACAAAATGGGGTTTAATGGATGCACTACAGGACGAGATGCTTTGTCTGACAGAAGTTAAATGACTGAAGTTAATTTTTTCATGCTTGAAGGAAGTCTGAATTCCCAGTTTTTAAACACCAACTGTTCTTGCTGCTGATTTTTTGCTGTTCTGTGTTGACATTGCTGATTTATAATGCCCAACATGAGTGAATTATTATATGTTGTGCACAACTTGTAACGAAAAACCTTAAAACAGAAAAACTCTAACCTTTAAATGTTAGAGTAAGCCTGAACAGCATTCTATAATGTTAATTTTTGCAATGCTGTAGCCAAGGTGAGAAAGGAGGAGAAAGGGCAAGAAAACTCAATGCAAACTTGATTTCCAGGAAGAATAAGGACACTTGCCCCCCCAGTGAGATTTTTCAAACAAGCTCTTCAATTATCACATAGTGAAAGAAGCAGCAGTTCAAACAGCTATCAGAGACAGTGCTTTTCACAAAACATTTAGAATGGGCCAGTTACAGCTACATCATCCTGGAAGCCTGCAATGAAGGAGAAATCTGTGGATTTACCTTTGCTGTCCCAGCAGTGTCTGGTGTAGAAGGTCTCCCTGCGTAGAATAATTTCTTGAGCAATGATCCCATAGCTGTACACATCACCCTTCTGAGATACATCAGCATGACGGAGATGCTCAGGAGCTGTCCACAGGTCTGAAGATCCCAATGATAATGGGAGATAAGGTAAAAAGGGAAGTGAGATAAGTAGTTGAAAAAGAGTGATCCTTCTCAGAGCATCCATTTGTTACAGTGGTATTTCTCTTCAGTCTTTCCAGGTCAATCCCAGAGCCCACTGGTACAGTTTATTTCCTATTTTAGCATTTTCTTGAGAAGCTGACATCAGTACAGGTTAGATAACTCTCTGATGTGGTAGTTTTCAGTTGTCTGGGATTTGTTGATGCTACCATTTTCCACTGTAGGTTGCAGACCATCATACCTCCAGAAAAGTTATAACTACTGGCAATAAGCTTGCTTTTCTTAGCTACCTTTCATGTGCTGCTTGGAAATAGGTTATGCATCTGTATAAGACAAAGGAATGCCAGTGCTATTAAAAAAAAATAAAAGAAAGAAAAGCTGAGCCATAAATTATTGAGCTAAATGCATAGAGTTTGTTATACAAGATGTCAGATGAGAAGACTGTATTTCCCAGTGGCCTTGATAACATGAATCTGTTGAAATCATTCTCAAGTGCTTTTGAGCCTGACATAGTATTTCCTCCTCATAATCACTTTCTTGCTGCAGAAATTATTAATCTGTATTTCTAGTACAACAACTGCCACTATACCTCAAAACCTGAATGCTGCCATGGTATGACAATTTGTTATGACATGCTGGTGATGTAACAGTGACCTGAACATAGTGACACTGAATACAATGTTATGATATCAGGCTGAAACACCCAGACACAATGAATCTGTAGATCTCTTGTGAAACATTAATTTTTCTTCAAGGAAAGAAATCTAGTAGCCCAAAAGTTTGAGGCTGCTTACGAGCAATGAAAGACGATAAATACATCACAATGTAATAATAATAATAATAATAATTTAAATACTAAAATTGTAAAATAAAGAATTAATAGAGCACTTACATTCACTGCACTTTTCTTACTCCTTCTTACATTCTCATTGCTACTCCTGAGCATGTTTATGTCTGAATGTGAACATTTCTATCAACCTAGTTGCAACCAGTTTCTTCTCAGGTCATATACAGAAGTTGTGGCATAATGCTGTGCTTATTATACCCCAAGGACTACTACAGATTGAGATTACATAATTGCAGATGGGCTTATCTTTTCACTCAAAATCAAGTAAGAAGGAAAAGATGAGTAGGAAGGAGTGCTCTATTATACAGAAATGTCCAATGAATATGAGATGAATAGAAAATGCAAAGAAAAGTTGTTAAAATTATTCCAGTCTGATCAAGCACATATTGCTAGATTCCAACCTAAAGAATGAAAAATATTTAGGTTATTACTGCATATCATTACGATTTCTTTAAGGATGATCGGTCACTAGTGTTAATATTTAAATGAAATCACAGAGCACTGTGGTAACATGTATCTGATAAATGACAAGACATTGTGGCACTTAACTCTTTTTTTTTTCACACCAGTTCAGCATTTCTGCCAAAGAGAGTTGTTTGCATGAAGGCCTTGAACACTGAAAATGTTTCTTGTATCTCAGCCACATGTGAATTCTCTGTTTTCTAAACAGTAAGTTGAAAACTAATCTTTCCTTCTCACATACACTGCCTAATTTCTTTCTCTACCTGCTAATAATTCTCTCATTGTGTTAAGACAAGACAGTGTTTTCAGATAGCATTTATATGATGGCTGCTACAAGAAACAAAATCATATATGTTTTTTACTCTGTACAAGATGTAATTAGACCCTACAGGACTTCTAATATAAGAAAATTCCACTGGGTTGGAAACCATGAAAAAAAGTCTAATAGGGTACTGTTTTTACCTTTTCTTGGAGGCAGAATTGAATTACAGCCAAAATCAGTGATCTTCACTACCATGCGATTGTCTACTACACAGTTTGTGGATTTGAGTCTACCATGGACTTCAGTTTTGCTCGAGTGCAGGTAAGACATCCCCTGTGGTTGATGATAAGAGGAAGAAAGCAAGACTACATGTGAGACACCCAGCTGTTAGCAGACTCAACAAGAATGTGAAGTAGTAGTGTAATATCTGTCCAAGTAATTAAATGGCCTTCAATGGCAATGGGTATACATAAATCACAATTCCCCATCATAGAGGGAAACAAATATTATTTTACTTAAGATACTTTCCAAGATGAGAGGATGATCATTAGAAGGATAATGTCATGCAAGACAATCCTTCCTTTTAATGAACAAAAGCCTGACATGGCATCTTGGGTTTTGATAAGATTAGAGCACAAATAAGCAATTAGGAAAAATTATTTCCTTCCACAGAAGTTTTTCAATAAATACTTTTTTTGGTAAATTTAGTACAGATTTGTTAGAATGTCACACCAAAAAAAAAAGTGCTTCCAACTCCATGTTCATCCAGTGAAAACAACAGGTGTGAGAGTAATTGCACTTTATGTCTGCATTATCTTTGAAGATTACCATATACCAGAGGTTTAATTCAGAAACATTGCAGCAGACCCTCTTCTGCAAAGCAGAGAGCTAGGGACAGGTCAATGCAGAGTGTTAGATGATGCACTAAGGCTGTATAAGGCAGAAGATTAGACAATCACAATCAGAATCTTCTGACCTGACTGATTATGGTTTTCCATATACTAGTCAATATATATCAGCCATCCATGAGCTAAACTCTGAAGTGGGCACCATGAGGACTGGCCGATGCATTTTCAGCTATATTTCCTGAGATTCAGACTCTTGACTCACAACACACACAGGCATACAAAGGTGTGCAGTTTGCTCCTTTTCACTCATCACCTCTGAATTTATCTCATTTAGTCTAAGACACTCAAATATTGTGCAATACATGAGAAGGGGCCAGCACTGAGGCAGAGCAGGAAAGGAACATTAGCAAGTGGGTGTAAACCGAAGGGAGCAGATATGCTAATTTTCACCCTATTGCTACTATTTATTCTGTTTCATCTCTCTCTTCTTAACTACCTACGTTCACACCTACTTAAAGCCTACTGCTGGTGGTTTTTCTTCCTATAGTCCTCCTCCTTTAGCTCAGTATACGAAGCAGAATTGATATTCTGTGAAAGCCAGAACAGGTATGTCATATCTGTTTAGTTTCTTCTCTGAATGGTCTTCCACTTAGACACCTACATTTATAGCTCCTCCCCTTATATTATAACTTTTAGATAGACTTTAATCAGGGACACATAGCCCATGTGGTCATGAATACACTGTATGACATGCTGGGTTTCTCTCCAAAGATGGGGTACTTGTAATTGGGAACAGATCAGCAAGATCTGTTCCACTAAGATAACAGCAGAGGTTTGGGCACAATACATGTATGTCTGAGACACAAGGAGCCTGCAAGAGATGCAATCTTTGGGGAATGCTGTTGGACTGGTTATCCTGGACCTATCTAAACCATGCCAACATTTAGAGAGTCTGTGTACAGGCTATATCCAAGGAACACGTTTCTCGATTAAGCAGCTTTTATCATGCAGCCCTGATGACACTATCCAGGATGTTTTGCTGTTTTGCCTGCTTAAGTCTTATTTCCTCCAGCTGTGCCTTCTTCCAGCTGCTGCTTTCATGAGCCAGGAAATACACTGATTGCTACAGCAGAATTCCCAATCAGTTTCAGCATCAAATGGCAGGCAAAGCTGATTTCGACTTCCTTATACCAGTGCTTTCTTGTTAACAGTTTCTGGAGGCAGAAGTCTTATATCTGTGCCTGATAAAATTTTCCTTTTTCCTTCCAACTATCCTGCACACCTGAAAACACAGGGCTTATTAAGAATCAATATTATTAACAATGTGATTTTCAAAATCTATAATGACTTTCAGTGTGGTACTTCTAAATCGTTGAGACACTTTTGTAACCTCTGCTCTGAAACTTTAGTTCTGACTGAGAACCCTTTTCCTGACACAATGCAAAAATATTAGTTCCTTGCACAATATCCTGCAGAGCCCTTTATTTAATAGTGTCACAACAACAGTGTATGCACTAATAACTGCAAGGCTCAATTTATGCAATTCATCCTTAGCAGACCTTTCATCAGAGCTCTTTGGTCACATGTAGCTAAATCCATGTAGCTACAGGTGGTGCCATCAAACCTAAGGAGAAAAAAGACAGCAAAAACAAGGAGAAAAATTGAAACAGAGCAAATTTACGGCTCTCCCTCTGTCTAACCCACTTACTAAGGAATATAAACATCTGAAGGTGAACTGCAAAAGGTTAAAAATACCCTGTTTTTTTATATGCTTTAAGGAAGAAGGGGAACTCCACCGCTGCTATTTAAAATGAAACTTAATGCTAAACATTAACTGAACTTAAAAGTCATTAACAAGGCCAACAAACTGTGACAATTTGGATTAAGGGGGCTTTAATAAAAAGCAAGATTTTCAGTATCTCTTTAGAACAGACACAGTGGAGTCATTCAGTGTGGAGACCAAATCTGAACTGATGCATGTAGGGAAATAAAAGGACTGTCCAACTGCAAACCAGCAATAGGAAGAGGAGAGCAGCTGAACACTAACAAAAAAGCAGAGGTAATTCTCTATGTTACCTGCAGAGGTATAATTAATTATTATACCTGTGAATTATAAAGGATCCTTACCTACCAGCTAAACGGATACAAGTCTGAATGTTGAAGAGAATTTCTTTTACCAAGCATAAAACGCAAAGATCTGCCGAAAGCTACTGAAAAACAATCTTGGTTTCTGTATAAGGTTAATTTCTTCCCTCTTAAACTGCCTGAAATTGATAGATCTAGTGAGAAACTGGAATTTCTCACTCTAGTGAGTGAGAAAATTAGGATGTAAAATAAACAGTTTGTTTATAAAAAGTTGATCCCATTTCTAGATACAAATCAGAATAATTCCATCATTTGAAAAACAAGTTTTCCTTTGTATGCCTTCCCTGAAGCCAGAGAGCAGTGTGTTTTGCAGGTCTTGTGACTACAAAAGCCCTACTAATCAGAGGCACTGATAAACAGGTTGTAACCCTCTGATCTTTGGGTCACATTTATTTGGGACATACTTTATTTGATTATTTATAAATACCCAAAGCCAGCTCTAGCCCTTACCTCCACTTTGAGAGCCACTGGCCCCTCCTGCCTTGTATACCTGTTCCCAGAGGAGGAAAGAGTGGAAGGGCATACAGCTCTAATGAGGAAAGAAGACCTTGAGCGTTGCCTTCCTCCAAAGGATCAGTTTTGCAAGACAAGGACAGGTTGATCAACACTGCACTGTCAGCAGCCCGCTTACCTTGGCAATATCATACATGACAGAGATTTTAAATTCCCAGTCCATGAACGTGCCATCAGGGTAAGAGATTTTATCATTTAAAACATCCTATCAAGAGAAGAAAAGAATGGTTCTAATCTACATCAGGGAAAAAGCACAAGATGAGATGTGAGTACCTAAATTGCACAGCCTTTCAACCAGCGACTGAAAGAGAGAGTTTTTATAGGGAGAGATTTTTTATAGGGAGTACATGCATTACAGCAGGAGATGACTCAAAACAGAGGATATCAAATATATTTTAGACTTACACACAGCTAGAAAAGTGGGGAAACCAGAAAAGAGTGTTTTGTATCATTAAAGGTAAATTGTGAATTTTCTCTTAAAGCCAAGTCTTTAATAAGGTAAAATAGCTGAGACAGAAATGGGCAAGGAATGCAAGAGGAAGGCAGAAGAATTTCTGTGGTTTGTGCTCACAGTCCATTTCCTATCAATTTACTTATGGCCTTGTAAGTTCAAAGTAGACTGTTTCTTTAAGTCTCAGTTATTTACAGCTCTCCCAGCCACTATGGTTCCCATTGCTAAAAGTAAACCTCCATGAGTAAGCCAGTTTACAAGAAACAGCTCTAGAGATAGAGCTGCTATTTTGCTGCTTTACTCTGAGTTTGTTCCAAAGACCATTTCTACTGGTGAGAGTCTTTGTATGGACTCAGATGTAGAAACAATTTGTGCCTGCAGAAGAGCTAGTGCCACCATTACTTAATGATTAGCACTGAAATGATATTGGTAGTAATAAACCATAAGTCTTTCCATAATTTTTTCCAGTCATGAGTTTACCATTTCTTTTTATAAATAAAAATTAAGGGTTGTTGTCCCTTATGCACAGGATTTGCCAAATTCCAGCCTCAATCTCTTTGACCCTTATTACTATGGAATATATTATTTTCTCTATTCTTTCACACCCTGGGGCCACTGTAGGGTCCACAAGGGCTGGAGAGAACTGAGCAAAGGAGAGGAAACTCAGAGTCAGAAACCTGCCAACATTTGCTCAGTCCATGGCTGCTGCATGAGGGCCAGAGACATGGAGATGGGGATTTTCTTCCTTACTTGAAATTTTATAATTTGGGGGTGGAAGGAGACCTGCAAAATCCTTTACCCGCAGAGAACCTCTTTCGCAGTATTCAATCACCCCAAAGATCATGGCGTCTATCTTCACTGTGCCGTAGAACTTCGTCAGGTTGTAATAATCAATCTGTAGGAGCTAGAGGAAAAACAAAGCATCTATTTTTAAAAGCAATCATTGTTAGTACAGAAACACAGGTCAGTGATACTTGTGTGACACGGCTTTTTATCACAGGCCTGATAAGATTTTTGAGCTTCATTTAAACTAGTGTATACTAAGGCACTGAGTGAAGCGCTTGAAGACATCTGTCATTCCAGAGCCTTCTGGATTAAGGAGATAAGAGTGGCTGCTTTTGGAAACTGCAAGTTAATTCCAGAGCCCAATGTTCTCTCCATTATTGCCTCCCTACTCAAACTTCGCAGTTGACCACAATAGCCATTATGAGTGACAGAATATTGTGAATTACTCAGTAAATGAGCAAGTAATAAAAATTTAATGACACTGCATGATATTATGCACTTTGTCCATTTTTATAGACAACTGTATTTTACTTTGAGGTATTTTTAGAGCTTATTGATCCAGAGTATAGCTGTACTGTGTAAAAAGGAAAAATACTCAAAAAAGATGCAGTAATGCAGCCAAATTCATGTCTCATGTTGGAAGAGTCTGTATGCACAAGTTAGCAGAGTTACTTGTATTTAAAGAGCTGCACCTGGCATTCAGTAGTAAGATTTAACTACAGCATTCCACTACTAATAGTCATGATATGAGCAAAAAGAGTGCACTGACTTTTAGCATCAGCTGCAAAAATGTATTTAGCAAGGCCATATGACAGAGCATGAATTACTTCATTCATCTTCAGCTTCACTGGCATACAATTCAGATTCCGCATTGGTGATGAGATCACACACACAAAGAGAAAGTTCATCAAGCAGCATCCTTTGAGGAACTTATTACCCATCCACCACAAACATGCACAAACATATGGCTCTTGCATATGGCTGTTGACAATGGAAAGCAATGACTTCATTCATAGGTTCCATCCCACCCTGCAGCATCCAGTTGATAGGTGCAACAGTTACCTTGTTCAGTTCTATTTTTTGCTTCTCTGAGAAATTACCATCACTGTTTTTGAGATCCTTTAAGATCACCACCTGAAGAAAAAATACCAGTGGGAAAAAAAAAAACCACCATCCATAGGTTTAGTACAACAGCAATTCATCCTTCTTTTCTAGTAAATATCCATACACAGAAATATTACAGAAACACCTGCCTACTACTTTGCTGTTGGAATTTTGGTTAGTCAGGTTAATCAGCTAATAAGTAACTGAGTTATATTCCCTTCAAAAGATACCAGGCAGATAGGAAATATTTAGACCTGTCAGTGATGCAGATTTTATGTTAATATGAATATGCTTCATTCAGGTTGACAGCTTCACTGGATGTACAAGAATTGCCATGTAAATAGCCTGTCCTCCTTTAATCTGTTAATCTCAGTAACAAAATGCATCAGATTTCTGGTCATTCTGCTTCTGTGCTTCTGGACTAGGCTAGGGGCTCATGGAGTCTAGTATTTTGCCTCCCATCAGTAAGCAAGATGCAAAGCACCTGACAGGGAAAAAAATGGCTTATTCCTTCCATAAGATCAAGCTATTCTGCAAAGTCAGGGGAGGTGGAATTTTCTCTGGAGAGGGACAACCACCTCCCAGAAAGAGCCCTCCTAAACCAAGGAAGACAGTGTGGACACTGCAGTCAGGTTACCTTCTTGTCATATTTGCCTTGGCGCAGTCTCTGGGTGGTGTCAGGTCTCTTATCGTCATCGATCTGAGAATAAAGAAGAATAATTAACTTGCAATTATCACCTACTTCCCACTTGGCAGGTCCTGAGAGATAAGTAATGTCAGTGTGTGCTGTACAGGGAAGCATAAGCCTCTCTCGGGAGGGCCACTACATGACACAAAAGTATGGGACATCCTCGCCACTCCCACAGTTGGCCATGCCTCCACATGCTGCTTTCATGCTCTTGGGCGTTACAGAGGCGTAACAACGCACAGAGAAATCATCTGTAACAGGAAGAGACTGGAAATCCATACCCAGCCCATTCTGCCGTCACAAAATGAGCTTTACTGCTGCAGAAGAGATATATTGTATTAGGGGGTGATAGATGGGGAATAATCTCCTTTTTTAATTCAATACAGCAAGTGAGGGTTAAAAAAAAATGTTAAAACCCCCAAACATTTAACAGATCCTAGTTCAACCAGAGCCATAGCCTGCACTGTAGTCAGAGCATGCCAACACTCCAGAATCAATGGTCTTTAGAAGAAAGAAACCAAAACCCAGCTTTGGACATTGTGCTTTTCTTACCTTCAAACTAACGTGACTTGTCTCACTGGTTTCCAGAGGCAAGATTTTCTCAGGTGGTATATGGGACCATTTCTTCCACCGGCGCTCATTGTCTCTCCTGTATTTCCTGCAAAACGAGCAAACTCATTCAGAATATCCTTCCAGAATATCCTATCCAGAACAGAAGATTAGAACATGAAGCTTCTAGTGTCAAGGTGACAAAAGGATGGGGTGCCAGGGTAGCAAAGATTGAGCACGAGCCCCATGGCCTTTCCATTTTAAGGCTGCTCTAATTCCCTTGGCTTTGGAAAAGCCTAAATACTCATTCAATTTCATAGATAGAACAGATTTAGCAGAAAACTTCCAGGCAACTGCCAGAGTCTTAAGGGATGTCAGACCAATTTAAAATACGAAAGGCTGTCTGGATTTTACATACTTTTTCCTTCGTGTTATTGAATGTACTCTGAAGGGAGGTCCCACAAAAAAACGCAAGCCAAACGAAGTCCTGCCATCAACACTAGATGGTAAGAACTGATGTGAATACCATGCCAGGAGAGGAAGTAACAAAAGCGTTGAGATTAGTTGCGTTTTTGTGGGTGGCTTGTGTTCTGCACATTTTGCAGAAATGACGGAAGAGCCCTCAGAACAGGCAGAAGGAATCTTCTGTCTCCTTTGCAGAACTTCAGAGCAGACACTGTCTTCTCTTAGAGAAAATGAGTACTCATCAAATTATCTGCTTATCTGTGCAAATCCTTCCTCTATTAAAAAAAAACAACACAAGACTGACTGGAGAGACTGCAGGAGAATCTTAACACACTGATGACTGCTGGCAATTGCTCTAAACAGGAGCATGGGTGGTATTGACTAATAAACCAAATCTTCACTTTTCCAATATATTTTAACATACACATATATAAGAAAAGGAAGACCAATAATTGCAGCAAGATCTGTTTTTTTTTTTTTTTTAAGAATGAAAGAAAACCATATGCTTTGGAAAGGGGGTGGAATTTCTTCCAGCCAAAGGACACATCACTGATTTCTATTTCTGCTTTTTCCATCATGATAATGCTGAACTGGGTTATGCTCATGAAATTCTAGCTGTTAATGAAGTTGGTGTGAGAGGAGCTGAACTGAGTCAGAGGAAACTGAAAGACAGGATGTATCCGTGCAATGAAACCACTGAAACATCATGGTGTTTTGACTACTACAGTGACTCAAGACAAATACTTCTTTCTAGATTGAACTTTTATGTCACCAATAGACTAAAGAAATATAACTTAATCCAACTAAAGCTAAAGATGGGCAGTAAAGCTAAAGCTAAAGATGGGGAGTAAAGTGGAAAAACTCTGAAGACTGGACTGGGACGTATGTTTTGTGCATGTATAGGAATCAGAACTTTTTAGTAGGTGCAAAACTTCTGAGCCTTGCTGCACCTTCTCCCATGATTATTAACCTGACATAACAACACTATGGATGCAAACACTGATTAACATATACTAAAGAGTTCACACTGAGGGCAGCCACCCAGGTAAGCTAATTAATGTCTCTTCAGGAGAGATCAAAGGCATTGCCCTAGGAGGAAAATTGTTCAAGGACAAACTCAAGGCCAAAGGCATTGGTACCTTAGAATCAGCAAAGAGATGATCAGAACCAGAATCACAATTCCTGTGAGTGTAAAAACAGCAACAGTCAAGATGTGTGGGCCTGCAAAAAGAAAATTGAAAAATAAACAACTTGACAGAGGATGCTGAAAACCAGTATTATACTTAAGAAATTATGCTCACCCACACACGTGCAAGTCACAGTACCTGAGATGGATATTCTTTGGTCACATCCAAATTGAGAGGCTTTGGTAAATTCCAGCACTGCCTAAAGATGACATGTGCAGGATGAAGCACAACCTGGAACAGTGCAGTCTTAAATCCCTGCCTAAGGCATGGGCTGTCTGTAAGGACACCCAGATGGGAGGTGATTTTAACAGCACTAAATCTCACATCAACACAGCAGCAGTTTCCAGGTGTTTTCTTTAAAAACGAACTAGAAGGTTACTTTTCTCAGTAACCACATTTAAAAAAATGAAGCAGCTAAACTTCTCTTTGCAATAACTTCATAAGAGTGGATGCTGGAAGCAAACCTTGGATACAATTCTCTGCGCGATCAGAAGTAGACGGGGTAAGCAGTTGGCCATTTGAAATCAGAGTCACTGGCACGGTACAGCTTTTAACATTTCCCACATTTCAGTGGCCCTTATTGGCCCAGTTGCTTAAAGTCATTCTACAGTAGTTGTCAGCAGAACTGTGGAGACTGTGAACTAATTTCTGAACAAGGAAGACAAGTGCTGCTGAGTGGACTGTACTCTTCAATAAGAAATTCATACACTATAGAAGGCAATTAATCTGGTGACAGCACAAAGCTAGTAAAGTCCTTGGAAGCTGCCAGGTGCCAAACAATTTGAAAATCAGGCTGTTCAGGCATCTGAGGACTTAGACCCAAAACCACAGAGCACATGAGTGTCCTAATCCTGAGCAGGCAGGCAGGACAAACAAGGCTGGGAACTGACTATTTAAGGTTGTAATTTTGATTGTCTAAATGTAGAAAAGCAACCTGAAGCCTGTTTTGGGTCAATTCTTGGAGCTCAGCTGTACTGGGAAAGAAAATTGCAGTCATCAAGTTCCTTTGAAGAGCATCAGGTCATTAGTGCAGAGCTTCATCTGGTGACCACACATCTAGAGTGTGCCTACTCTACTGACCAAGTCTCTCAGGGAAAGAAGACAGAGGCAAATCTGGGTTTTGTCAGGTTGCCATATAGGTTATGGATAGTAAAAGTGTGGAGCTACCCAGTCTTAGAGGCTGATGCACTTCTGCCTGTTCTTAGAAACAGAAATAAAGGCACACAGAAAAATGAATCAGGCAGCAACTGAGCAGGGATTTTCAGTATACCAATGTGTCTGCATCTGGTATAGAATTCAGTTATGAAACTCCTCTGGGATTTGGACCCAGCTTTCTGGCTTTAATTTTTCTTGTCTTGTGTATCATGCCTCCCCACCTTCATTCTGTGTGTTCAGAGGGTCTCTTAGCAACTTAGTATTAGTCTGATGCTCCACTGAAAACTGTCAGTATGAATGTTTCCCTCTACCAAGAAATGGCAGGAAGTCACCACTAACAAAAGGACAGATAGATGAGAATGTACAAAGTATGAGAATGTGCATTTCGTATGAATTCTTTAAAGCTTAGAGTTGTGTGATCGTGGTTTGCTGCTTAACAATCAGCAGGTTGTATTTTCCCCTGGAAGTGTGGTGGGACCACAATTTCCCGTTCCTGAGGCTCTGCTACCACCACCTGGCTTTTAGTATTACAACATACAAAGGGAGAGTGCATCACAAATTCACTACTCTCAGGTCCTCTGGAACCAGAAACCTTTGTGTAATATGACGGCTGACCTTACCCATGTTTAGAGCAAGGGTTAAAACTTTCTAAGCAATGAGAAAATGTGGATGAAGACCCTTCTTTAAGGGGTGCCAGGAGGAAGGAGGGTAGCAGAACTGGGTGAGCTGTTCTCAATTACAGTTTAGGAAGAAGCAGGGCTCAGGTTGCTGTCTGTTACCTCCCTGGAGGAAAAACCATATTTCTGGTTGGAAAGTTTTGACTGGCTTTGGCAAAGCATAGTGATTGCTTAAACTTTTCCTGTAAAAAGTTGACCTTTGGGGGAATGTATTTTTTAAACTCACACTAAATGAAGGTTTATTTTCAAAAATGTTAAACCAAAATGATAAAGTACCTGTGGGAGGTGGTTTTACTTTGGTTTAGTATAGCTTGGCCACAGAATCAGGTCTACATTAAGTACAAAATGCTAAGCTAATGATCTGTAGACACTGGCTTTCTGCCATTCCCATTTTCCTTTTGCCCTTGTACAGCAGCTTCAAACAAGGACACACTCAAGGGAATGTTTTAAAGATACAAAGATCCACTGACAACATGACATGTTGTGAGGCCCAAGGGATGGGTGAAAATGGGACTGGAGCAACATTGAGAAGACTGCAAACAGGCAGCACATAGCTTGGGGAGCTGCAGGGACACCCTGTCATTGACCTTTGCAGCACTTCTGTTTCTGCACAAGGAAGACTATAGATTTGACCAGCTTTGAAAAGTAAAAGCTTCACTGAACTCCCTCTGCTTTTCCAGAGCTATCTAACCAGAGTCTTGTCAGTGCTGCTACCTGCTTCTCATGTGTCCCTGGCAATGAACTCCTGCTTCTGTTAGGAGGGGTAAGCCCTAATCTGAAGACATTTGATTCACTTTACTGAGGAATAAACATGTTTGAAACCATGTACCACCCTACTGTGAATGGACTCTTAGCAGAGAGTATTTATTTCTCCAGTTATTGCTTTACCTATTCCCTAACAGAGGTAAGCAATACAGCAAACTAACAGAGGCCTTTAGCAGCATCTTTGGACATTCACTGATGGGAATGACTCAAGTGAATGCTAAGCCAGCATGCACTAGCCCTTGCAACCACTGCCACTGCAGTAATTTTTATCCTGCCGATCATACCCTGAATCATATACCTTTCCACTGCCAATAACCATGTGGCAGAAGTTTAATTGGGGAAATAATCTCAATCTGATCAGACTGACAAGGTTGTACTCTGTTGTGCTGAATAACTAGAGGGCTCATCCATTCTATCCAGGAGTCACCAAAAACTCAGAAGAAGAAGAGGCGGTGATTTCTGGGATTTCAGATTTGAAGTCTGAGTGTAGACAGAACAATAACCTAGTTTCCCATTGTCTTTTTGCAAAGCTCTTCTAACAGACCCCTCCAGAGAAGCACCCCGAATCTGCACAGTGCTGTAAACTCTCCTCAACAAGGATAAAGGGGCAAGCAGAAGCCATCATGCTGCAATGCAGAATCAGATAACTCATCATAACCTTAACTCTGCTGCCTTTCCTTAACAGTCTTTAAAGCAATTCACACCACCACCATATTCCAATGAAGGTTAATATGTTCAGGGGTAACATCTTCCAAAACACACCATAGTGTTCCCCACAATCACTGGTACAGTACAGAGTTTACAAAGAGACTTTGTAGCAGCACCTGCAGATTTAGAACTGAGCTGGATGCAGAGAACATGGGAGTCTGGAGCAGGGATAGGAAAGATGCTGTTCTGCCCTCAGCTCCTCCCATCACTGGCTGGGGGAGGTGTGAAAGTAGCATTCTGGGTTCACAGCAGGTGGATCTCAGGACTGTGTGACTTGTCTTCAAAGAGGTAGGTTTAATGGGTATCTCACCAGTGCTTGGAGTATCACTGGGCAGCTTGTGGTTCTTCCAGACAAAATCAGGACTGGCAGTCTCCATGTGTGTCTCGTTGTTGTGAGTGTTGAAATATAGAAGAGTTTTGAACTATGGGTATAGGAGGGAAGAAATGCAGTCAGCAGCTGTGCTCTCCTTTTGTCCCTTGCTTCAAACTACCATTAATAAGTGTATTGCCCAAACTCAACACTTGCTTTCTGCTACAGTAGTGCATTCCTCAGCTTAGCCATATTTTTAGCTGCCATATTCTTCCTCTTTCGTCCCCTCTCTCTGAAAAGAAATGTATCAGTCCCACAAAGTACCAGCTGCACTTCACTTACTGAATCACTAGATGACATCAACCCTGTCAGTCTCCAGCATACCTTTCATGACCCCCTCATGGCATGTTCAGCATGCCTTGGCACACTACCACTTCTGTTGTGGTTATTTTCATCATTCTTATGCAACAGTACAGGACATTTTGTTTCACCTTTCACATATAAGGTCAAACAGTTGCTCCCTGGACATACATACATGATTTGCAGTCTGTGACGTGTACAGCAGCGTCAAATTCGTATCAATGTCTCCAAATTCATCTAGAGTCACAGGACCCAGAACACCTGAAGACACAAGGAATTAGTCAGAGGGACTGCTTTCTCAGAAACACAAGTATGTAACAAGAAGGATGGGATAAATAAAAGGATTTCTGATGCTCGGGGTATTCATCTTCTTCATGTACATGCTAGAATACATATCAGCTCAGAGTAGCACTACTGCCATAATAGCATACTACATTTTCTCTACAAAATCCAACAACAGGTGTTGAACTGACTGCACTGAAGAGGAAGGTGTCCCTCTAGCTATAGAAAAATATATGTCAGGTTTCTTCAGCATACCAAGAATGTCCCAGTAACCTCACTTATAGGGGCATTTTGCCTGTTTCCACCCACAGGTTGGATCTATCAGCAAGAAAGGAAATATAGAGATACTTTCATTCCCCTTACTCTTTTATGAGCTACCTGCTTGGTTCTAATAATACTATTTTAACCATTCTTTTTCCTTTTAACTTCCTGCCTCTGTATGTCAGCAAATGTGCAGATTGAGAAATTGCCTGTGTAGCACATTCAAAGAATTTTTAAGGTGGAACTTCGTAAGTCCCTCAGCATGGCTTCATTTTGCTCTCATAAAGTCAGTCATTTCACCAACTGCACAAGCTTAGCCAATACCTACCACTCCTGAAAGTCTCACTTTCATTTTTTCCCTTCCTCTGTCAGAAGAGTCTTTTTGATCACCTTCGGGTTGCTTTTTGCTGCTGTTGCTGATGACTTACTTAATTTTTCTTGAAGTTCAGTGCCATTATTTTAGTTCAGGAATTACCCTTCTCCCTTCTCATCTCAAAAATTGATGCTAAGTTTTTTATGGTCCACTTTCTTAATATCAAAATAATTATTGTATGAACTCCCTGCTCTCACAGCCTCCAGCACAAGAAAGAATGAAGGAGGTTCAATTGAACCTATAACTAATCTGGGGCATTACAATGTGAGATTGATTTTGGATAAGTAAAAAAGTTCGTGCAACTTACATTTCAAATTTGAAGTGAAATTGAACAGATGAGTTTACTGATATGTAAAAAAGGATGCTGTCTCCAGGAGGAGTTAGTAAACTGTATTTTGATATGTTTGGGATACCATAGTTAAAGCAAAGATAAGTCTAAAACCTGTTGGGCCATATTAGGAAAATTTAGGAAACTTCTATAAATGTGTTTGCTGGAAGCAGGTGGGACGTAAACACGAAGCTTTGAGTCATCATTTTGGTACAGATCTCTGAATTGAAGTTAGAGCTGGAACCTTGCCTCCAGAGAAGTAATGTTGTCCCTTCTTTATCTAAGTCTTGCCTCTGTCTTTTCCTAATAATCAAATTCTGTGATTTTAAGCCTGTGGTCTACAAAAGCCCACTGGTGCTAGACAACCTGTGAGAACAACAAGAACGCTGACTAAGAGCCAACCCATTGCTAGCTGGCTTACACTCACTGAAGGCACCCAGGCCTTTGTAAACTGGTTGAAAAGGCCAAAACTATTTCATTAAAGCAGGCTAAGTGGATGTCATTTTGAACATCAATCATATTTCATATGTTCTGGCCTCAAATCAAGACTAGACTGTTAGGGAAGGCTTAGGAATGCTACTGTTGCAAATTAACAACTTGAATGCCAGGTTGCCTTTGGAAAAAGCACAGACCCCAAAACCTACTTAGGTGACTCACCCTCCAGCTCCCTTCTCGTTCTCCAAATAGTCTCCCTATGGAGAATTCAGTTCTGTCAAAAGAATGATGCCAGCATCTGCTCCTGGACCCTGTCCTCCACCTCTGCTGACTGGGAAGCTCTGTCTCTCCTTCTTCCCCTACCCCTCGTTAGGCAGTAACATTCTTTAAATGTGTTTTGTACTTCAAAGCAGAAGGAAAGCCCAGAAAGTGGTCTGGTCCTCAGTCTGTTGCTAATTGTAATGTTTCAAATAATTGTAATTTTGACTTTCTATCTCTTCTGTGTTGTGTACACTGAGGTGATTCTGCACAACTGCTATCTAGTGCTTCTGCAAATATTGAAGATAACATCCTTGGAAAAAAAATTATAGAAAAAGAAGAAAGGGTTTGAATAAAACTCATTGAAGGGCTTTGACTTGTTTAGTGTATAATTTACTTATCGTTACAATGCATAAAACCAAATTTCTTTCCCTTCATCAATTTAGTGAACCCTACACAGGACTGGGTTTTTTACCTTCAAAAGTGATATTTCGGGATTCGTTGATGAAACTAAGAGACGACACTGGGCTCTGGGAGGAGATAAATTTCTTCAGAATATGTCCAAACAGCAAGACTGCATTAAAGTATCCAGCAACAAAGTCATCTTCCATCTACAACAGGAGAAAAAGAAAAATGGTAATTTGAGTGTTCATGTGTCTACCTTAAAACTATAATATCTGTAGTGGTCTCTTTTGGCAAAAGCTTCAGCATGGAAGACCAGAATCTGCTGAACACTGAGTAAGTAGATGGGCAAAGCCACATCAATGTTCTCACTTAGAAAAATAAAAGTAAACAAATATATTTTTGGTGTGTGAAGACAGGGAGGTGGTGAAAACTTGTAAAAGGCCAATGTAAAACTGTGCCATGTTGATCCTCATGTAAAGGACTGAATAAATCCTACACTGTAGGTTGTGAGTAGGCTTGCTCAGCAGGACCCAAAGTCCCTGGTTTTGGATTAGACTCTCTGTGCAAATAATCTGGTGTGGCGCCAGCAAGTCTGGGCTTCCAGATGGCCACAGCTCAGGGACAAAGAGATGTGCCAGAATTTCCAGCAGCCTGCCATAGAGCTGGCACCCAGAAAGTGTTGAGCCCAGGCTGGGAGATCTGAAAGCCCTGTAAACCCAGCCAAAATGTTCGGGCTGCCTACTGCAGAGCTGGCAGTCAAAGCCACAAATCCTGGGAGAAATTCTACATGTAGAATCTGGCTTCTGGGCAGATGGCAGGAGTATCAGTTTCACTAATCACACACAGTATTTGCACAGTTTCTGCTTTCCAGGAAATAAAAAAAAAAAAATACATATTTCCTACAGAAAAACAACAACAAATCCTATATTTGAAGTTTAACTGGAAAGCCCCGGGGGGCAGAAACAGCAATGGTTGCCACTGCTTATACATATCTGTACACAAAAATCAGTCAACATTTATTAGTTCTGAACTTTCCATGCTCACATCTTGATTACACCTATAAATCTCCCATCAGTGATACCTTGCAGCTACATGTAAGATTGTCAGTCACTCTGAATTGTAGTCAGAAGGCCATATACCTATAGATCTCCCTTACACCCAGTGAATATGACATGTGCAGACCAAATTAAAAGCTTGAGTTGAACTTCACAAAGCAGGAATATGAGAGCTTACATGTTTGCTTATGATACTACATTTTTACATCATTACAGCAGGACAAAATGTCATCCTGTGATAATGTAAGAAAATATCACCATAGAAGCATGATGGGGTATGATTACAGATGTATTTTTAGTTTTTCTTTCCTAGTGCATGAACATGAATGAACTGAATGCATTAGTCAGATATAAAATAGTGTGGTTACCAGAACGGCCTCCTCAGTCGTTACAGTATTCGAGCTGTAATTAGCTGGTGCCAGAGTCAGAACAAGTACATTCTGCATGTAATGGGCTGAGATGTTGTTCCTGAAGTACATATTACTGCAAAGCAAATCACAAGAACCCCACAAACAATCAGCCACAGGGGCAATGGCAACCTTGACAGAATCACTTTCCTGTTCCCAGGAGCACTGTTATTTACCAGGTTAAAACAATAGTTCTAAAAATTAAATTTCATCATGGACAAAACTCTATGCTTTTCATTCCCGGATGCCGATTTCTGAGCTTGACTACATTAAAAGGTAACATCACAAAGATCTGGCAATTTGAAACTCAAAGATTGCAGTGAATTATTGTTGTTATTGTAACTGTTTGGTTTCTGTCCTATTTATTTCCTCTTCTTTCAAGCTGGACTTTATTAAAACCAAATCTCTTCTTGGAATCCACAGTACTGCAGCCTGTAGTTTCTTCATGTTATTGTACATGTTTTTGTCCTCTTCTGCACTCCTGTGCATGTTCCTCTGATTTTGGTATTTCTTGCTAGAAATCACAGCAGGATTCGCATTAAAAGCATTTAACAGGAGGGCATGAAACAATCAGAGGTGCAGAGAGCAGCATAGTGATTTATTTGTTTAATTCAGTAAGCTAGGAAAATCCAGGAAAACTATGCTAAAACAAGCAGAAAAGGTTCTAACTTCCAGGCATCTTTTGTTTCATCACCCTGACAGGCCATCTGGAAGCATTTTGCAGACTGGCCACCACCGGCTTCACATTTTACAGAGCAATTTAGCAATAGATACTAGTGTCAAGCAACAGCATCTGTCATTGTTATAGCCAGATTTATTAAAAATATACCTATATATAAATGTATGAGCCTCCTCTCATTTTTCGTGTTTGATCATGCTTTTATTTGATCATTCAGTAATTTATTAAGAATTTTTGGACGCAGGTTCTAATCCATGGCTGTCAGTGGAATCCTGACACCAGAGTCCTGTCCCTGCCTTTCCCTGAACCTTCTGACTTTTACATTGCACTTTTCACCCTGAAGAATTTCCAAATGCTCTTCATTCAGGCTTGGGCTGAGCTAGTCAGAGGAAAAAGAAGCTTCGTTAGATTCCACCAGACTGGACAACTCTACAGCATCTCACCTCCCCTGAGGGAGGTTTAAACACTATCTTTGTGTTCTGGCTTACAGAGGGCTCAGAGCTGAAGAAACTTTAAATCCGTCACTTTGTCTGAGGCAGCTGGGTATATCAGAAGGATGCATATCATAGCCGAGAAGCCCCTAGCTGCTCTCACCTACTGTGAGGCAACAATTATACAGGAAACATCAGTAAGCCAAAGCACTTTCATATGTAGCCCCCATGGTGCATTTGCAAAGAAACAGGAATTGTGTCCAGTTGCCTCAGGAGAAGCAACTGGGTAATCCTAGTACCTGAATAAAGTGCTGAAAGTCTAAAGTTTTTAGAGGCACTTCTGAAAAATACAGATGGTGAAGTTGAAAGTGTGCAGGACAAAGAAGATCCTGTTAGAATTTGAACCACAGGCTCCAGTTTGGATCCAAAGGTTAAATGACTCTAGTCATTAATTCAAAGCTCCTCAGCCCTACCCTGTCAAGGTCAGCTTTAGACAAGAGGGCTGGGAAGTCCCACAGGTGCTGGAAATTCAGAGGTTCTTTTGCTATATCAACAGTGAAATAAGCAAGATCAAGACATGGACACATACATTTGCTTTGCGATCATCCATACTATTAAGCTGCCAGCATCGTCCTGAGCATGGTTTTGTTCTAGCTTTCTCTCAGACTGTGACTTGCTACAGTGATGGAAGCCATACCCAAAAAGCAGCTTGGGCACGTACACTTAGCTATATGGATGTGAGCTGTTCTGTGTCACATAGGCTTAGGGCCTGAAATTAGATCTCGGTCCCCATATACAGTCAAAGATTTTGAGGCTACCATTGATAAGGCCAGTTTATATCAGTCTTTATTTATAAAGATTTTGTAATTAGTAATATAAGGATGAAATTGAACAACATAAAAATTAAATTGTATACTAAGAAATGCCTCTGAAAAGTTAGATTTATGTAGTTATAAAGATGTTCAAGAGACAGTTATAAAATGCAAGAGTTATACAGAGGAAGGCACAGTTGTACCACTCTTTTAAATGATTTTAAAATGGAATCAATGAAGCCTAGAAAAATATACTGTAAGCCACATTTACATAATTGTCTGGTTGGGCAGAGTGTATGAAAAATATACATTATCGCATATGAACAGCTCATGACCATTCTGACTTTTTAGTTCTCTCATGGCTTCCTGCACTGATGAGTCCACAGGATGACATCATAACCCCACCTGTTCTGTCACTGCCTTAGAAAAATATGTGCACTAAAGGGGATGTTGTAGAGGATGTGCCATGAATTGAACACTACGCAGTTTAGATAAATAGCAAGACATGAGGAAAGACGGCAATGGAAAACATTTTGTGAGAGAGCACTTCAACCAAGCAGTTCCACACTATTTCCATTATCTCTATCCTTCAGAAAACTGCAGAGAAGAGAAAAAACAAAGGTGATACTTTACTTGAAGAGATCTATCAGGATGATAACAATGTCCTTATCCACTTCCTCCGTCCCTAGGTCTGTGCTGACATCAACTGGAGAGCCACACATGATGATCACTATAGATTGGGCAAAAATGGAGACAGATTGGTGAAAAGTACAGACAAGAAGAGGATATTTGCCTGCTCCCAGTGCTTGAGTAGCAGGCAGCAGAGCAATGCTGAGCACATTACCTGTGCTGTGCAGGGAGCCAGGCACAGAGCTACAGTTTCTCTGCAGTAAGACAGGGATATTTGAGGGAAAGTAGTAAAAGTTGCCTCAACACCTGCACCATTTTCTCTCTGATTGCACCAGAACACTACTGTTTTCCCACTCAAATAAGCATTAGCAGTTCTGATGCCATATGGGCTACTAAACATGACCATTTCTCAGTTAAATGGCATTTGAGTAAAAGTTTCATTGGCTTACTTATTACTCTTGCACTCAGCTGGCCTGCTGATGCCAGGTGCTTATTCTTGGGAGAAGATGAGGTATTCACTCCACCATTTTTCTAGTTTAGATGGGACACTTCCAGAGGAAATGCCCCTAGATGGCACAACTGAGGTCCATATATGTACCAGGGCTGCAAACACAGGAATGTTAGGGAGCTAAGCATTTTCATAGTATCTAAGGCCCTTCTTTGGAGGGGGTGTGATTCCTGGATTTCTGATCTTGTGCCTAGATGGCATAATTCACCACAAAGGCTCTCTGGAACCAGGATTTTCCCTCATGTTTTATGGGGATGGAGCGAGGAATCTAGGAACTTTGTGCCATTTTTTGTTTACAACCTTGTGAATTGGTGTATCTGTTTTCTTCATAATTTCTGTGGAAAGTCTATACCTAAAATGTAATAAAGGGACACATTTGATTTCCTGGGAAAATCAACCTGGGAAACCAACAGTGCACCCTCATCCCCCTCTCCCCCTCGCTATCTCCACCTCCCCCCTTCTTTTACCATTGCTTTTTCGGTTTGGATCTGTCACAGTGTTTTGGAGCTGCTCTGGAGTCCTTAAAATCTCCTTGTACTTCAGTTTTTCAGAGAAGAGTGTGATTCCAGCATCTAGTGCGTTAATATACCTGACACAAGGGAGCACAGATACCGTCAGAAAATGGCTAATTCCTCACTTCCTCCTAAGTAAGCGAAAATGTGAGATAGGCTGTTTACAGCACACAAGAGGGTTTGTAAGGCACTATGGAACATTTTTTTTCTGCAGCAATAGAAGAGAGAAAAATCAATACAGGGCATGAGAGAAGTGTTAGGAAAGTCACCCAGAGGAATTTGAACATGGCTGTACAAATGATGTAATAAGACATTAACAATTAAGAAAGGAAATCAGGGATATGGGGAAATTACAGTAAGTGAGACTAACTGTGAGGCAGACCAAGGAAGCTTTGCTGTTTTAAGACATCAGTGGTAATCTTAGAAGATACATGTGAAGGTTCAAAGGAGTAAAAGGGAGCTGCAGAAAGAACTGAGATAGAAAACACACATGTACCATGACTGTGAGAGAAGTGAAGGAAGGTTAAGTAGCAACAAAAAACCCCGTACTTAGTCAGTTAAACCTTGAAAGGGAAAAGTGAGGACAGCAAAAAACACAACCAAGTAAGTGAAAGCTAACTAAAAGATTAAGCAAAACCAGCCGACTCCTAAATCCTGTTCTTGGGTCAGCACTTTGAGAAGAGACATTCTGTCTGAAATAAAGTTAATGCAGAGGGAAAATCAAAAGAAATCCCTTTGTTTTAAAAATGCTTAACTTTTAATTTAGCAAAACTGTGATCCCAGTCCTGTAAGCTACTATTTTGCTTCCCATATTTTTATAGGAGCAGAATCATTAACCATTGATTTACAGGAACATTAATTTAGCTGTCACTGTGGGTATTCACTTATTCGTATACATATATGGGGAAGACAATTAGCCCATGCAGTATAACTTGTACTTTAGCAAAAACTGATTTTTAAAATTAGACAGTTCATAAACTTTCAGGCTGACAGTGTCTATTAAAGCAGAATGAGGTGAATTCTTACAACTATATTAGTATGACAAATGGGCAGAGATAAAAAAGTAATTTTAAATTAAAAATTTTTTTGTTAATTCAACATTAAGGAAAAAGAATGTGAACAATTCTGAAGTCAAGATCCTGAACAGAAGTATTAATAAAGACCAAGTAAGAAACACTTGGTAAATAATTTACATACATAGACTTCCTTGAAAGATATGAAACCTGCAGGATTAAAGGGATTTAGCTAAAGTATGTGTAGTTGTATTCAGCAACTGCCGCTGCAAACATGGAGAAATAGGGAGTGTACTAAGAGATAAGTGAAGTGCACTGATGTTTCAAAGCATCAAAGAGAGATAATCATAGCATTATCTGATTAAGTTTCTATGTATACTAAAAAAGAAGGAGCAAACAATAAAATACCCAAAATATCTACAAAACAGTGAATTGGAAATTGTTTTTTATTCCCCTTAATTCAGAAACAAAAAAAAAACCCACCCAAATTCTGTATACAAAACATTCTGTAAGTACATGCTTACATCACTCTGAAGAAAACAGTCATAAATTTAACTTAATATTCTGCAAGTTCCTCAGGTTATGAATTGGAAAGATAAATAATAGCTATTTCCATGAATTCTTGACAGCTATGTTTGTAGAATTAGTAGAAGAAACTAGTTTGTTTGGGGGTTTTTTACTTAATCAGTATTTTATGTCCCAAAATTAAGAAAAAAATCAAACGAGTATAGAAACACTCCAAGCTGAAAATAAATGCCAATAATGGAAGAGTAGTGATAAATATCAGCATATTAAAGAGTCTATTTGACTAAAAACAGCCTTTGATTTTAGCCAAGCAGAAAACCCAGCGTTCTTGAGGCTCAAGTACAGGCTGACATTTCAGATCACAAAGTGAAAACTGTCTCCTTTGCTCCAAACTGGTGAGAGCATAGCTTAAACTCTGCAATCATTGAAGATCATTTTGTTCGAAGATACAGTTTGAACTCTGAAAATGTTTTTTAGTAACAATACTGTCCATAGATTGAAGTCATTAATGTGGAGAAACTACAAGAGTAATGAGAAACTGAGAACACCTGACCTAAAAAGGCATCCATGGAGAGCCTCTCATGTCACATTATTTACATGAAGGATGCAAAAAACAGGTATTTCCAGCAGGGACAACAGGCTATGCTGTCCACAGCAAAAGCCAAGGCTTGAGTGTACTGGAAGGTAGTCCTAATGAAACATTCAGATACACAGTGCAGCTAAAGGGTATAATTCATGTTTTCTTTCTCTCATTCCTTAGTAGCTGTAAGGCACCTCCCAAAGTGGGACTCAAAGGACAGCTTGTAAAAGCCATATCCAAGGATGGAGATTGAGTTTATCAACAGCCACATCAGAGATAGATCCAGTTCTTACCAGAGGCATGGCTCCGAGTTTTCATTCCTCTTGTAAATATAAACAGATTCCCAGGTTATGGTTTTGAATGGTAGCTGAGATTCTTTCCAAAAATAATAGAAGAAGTCATTCACTTTCCTGGCTGGGGTCAGAAGGCGTGTTAGGTTTACTTTGTAGTCACAGGACAGCCCAAAACTCCCTACAGAGATCAGAGGCAGGCTCAGTACTGTTTCAACTCTGAAGGAAGAGACAAGAGAATAAGTTTGAACAGATTCCGGTCACACCAAAGCAGCTAACACATGATTTCCAACCTCATCTCCCTCTTCTCTTGTGCCCTGCATTGGTTTAACAGCAATTCTAACCTGAAATAGAGGGCTCCCCAAGAACACAAGAAGATTTGAGGTCACGATAAGGCCCTGTTGAATCGGTCCAGGCAGCTTCTCTCACTGCCCCCAGTTTCTCCTGCCCTTTTGGGTACCATGCACCATTTGAGCCCAAGGGCTGTGACAGTAGTCCAAAGACTTGAGGACCCATCCAATTCTGTTCCCTGGCTGCCATTAACATGGAATGGATTTGATCTTTTTATTGAGGCAGTGCTGAAGGGTGACAGATTTTTGCCATCAAAAAATATTTACCCCTATAACTCAAAGGAAAACTCTATTAACTTCACTATGGCATATTTTAGGAGCTGTACAACAGCAGCAAACAGGAAGAAAAACGAAGGCAAACCTCTGCTGGCAGGAAATTTGTAAAAGGTAATTTTTATCCACATAGACAATAAGTTTTTAAGGATTAAAGTATTTTCCTAGATGCTGCATTCTTATCAGGCTAGATTTAAAATATTTTAGGCCTTGTATGGTGTTTTTTTAAGACAGGCAATTTTGCCTGCAAAAGACATGGCTATTGGAGTTGTTTGCATTATTGTCACAAAACTTTATTTTCCAGGTAAAGCGCACTTACAAGTTACAGGATTTACGCTTGTTGCAACAGAAACAGGCACAGATGATGTAATAATGTCAGGGAGAGTATTTCACTCATGAAAAGGACATTATTCTGTTTGAACTTAGAACAGAAAAGAATAGACTGTTTCAGCTGGAAGGGATCTACAACCATCATCTAGTCCAACTGTCTGACTAATTCAGAACCGATCAAAAACTAAACTGTGTTGTCTCTTAAACACTGACAGGCCTGGGGCATCAACCGTCTCTCTAGGAAGCTTGTTCCAGTGTTTTGACTAACGTCTTGGTAGATAAACACTTCCAAATGTCCAATCTAAATCTCCCCTGGCACAACTTTGAACCATTACCATGCTTCCTACCACTGGATACCAATGACAAGAGCTCAGCACGTCCCTCTCCACTTCCCCTCCTCAGGAAGCTGCAGAGAGCTATGAGGTTGCCCCTCAGCCTCCTGTTCTCCAAACCAGACAAACCCAAAGTCCTCAGCCACTCCTCACAGAACATGCCTTCCCACCCTTTCACCAGCTTTGTTGGCCTCCTCTAGATGCATTCAAGGACCTTCACATCCTTCTGAAACTGTTGGGCCCAGAAGTGCAAACTGCTTAAGATGAAGCTACACCGACACTGAATACAGCAGGATAATAACCTCTTTTAAACAGCTGGTTATACTATCTCTGGTGCTCCCCAGGATGCAGTTTTCCCTTTGGGCTGCAAGGGACCACTGCTGACTCCTATTGAGCCCGCTGTTGACCAGCACACCGTTCTGCAGGGCTGATTTCCAGCCACTCTTCTCCCAGCTTATACTTGTGCCCGGCATTACTCTGTCCTAAGTGCAGAATTGTTAAATTTGGAAATAATTACATTTTCAGAATTTGGATTTGTTAACTTTCATCCCATTAACAGTTGCCCAGTGATTCCCTGAATCACAGATGAAGAAGTTGAAGGTATACAGTCAGGCTAATTCCAAATGCTTGTTACTTCCGCTGTTCTGTCACATCCCAGCTGATGCTGTGCATATGGACCTCTTGCAGTTATCACTCAGTGTCATTTAATATCCATCTGACAAACCAAATATGAAGATGAAACACAGAGAGTGGCAGCCAAGCACAGGCAGCAGCCAGGCTGCTGCAGGCTCTGAACACTCCCAGCCCACTGCCCATAAGTGCCCTCCCCACAGCGTCCTGCCCACACTTAAAGTGCTGTAAGGTAAGGCGCTTGTTCTGATTCAAAAAGGTATTGCACCAGGGGCAAAAGCCAGTTGCCTGCTTGTTAGTGTCCTTCATTGCTTTGCATAAACTTCCCCTACCCACATTTTATGCCGATTTATCTGTGTCAGAGTCCGAGGAAAATACTTCAGCACCATTCTGGGCAGCTCCATATCCAGCAGATAAAAAAGCACATATAAGGTTAGGAGGCACAATGAATAAAACGGGGCGTATTGCATAGTATTTTACCACAGTCCTATATATATAAGATTTATTCTTTTTATTCTTATATAGATCAATCACATGCATTCACCAGTAACATTATACTAATTTCTGGTCATACTACTCAAAGAAAAGCATAGAGCCAAAACCAGATAAAGCTTAAGGTAAAAGTGCCTCATCTTCCCGGTATCTCTCAGTGAAACTGAAAGGTTACCAAAGTTTGAAAAGGGAGGTGATTCACATGATACAGTTTTGTACGTTATGACTGATACGAGTTTTTTTAACTGATTTATGCTACAAGTCTGCAGATTCAGCTTACACTTTTCCTAATATCTGAGAATGAACATATTAATGTATAATATAGTATAGAATAGAACCAGAGGTTGATGTATAATACAATAGCAGACATTTCATTCTTCAGGAATGCTTCCTCAGGCAGGGGAGCTGGGGTTAAACCGACTGCTTCCTATCCAAATACACTTTACTGAAGATGGTTGGGATTTTGGGATCTTCTCTTGACACATATAACTCAGGCCCCTCTCAATGGCTGAACACCCACCCAGAAGGACCCAACAGCTGCAGTGCTGTGATGTTTACATGCATCAAGCTAATATCTCCTTCCTGCTGCAGTTGCTGAAGGGTTGAGTTTTTTAAGCTCTTTATCAATTTACAGTCAGCAATTACAAAAGTTTCCCTTCTAGCAATGGGATTTCATCAATGTGCTTTGGAATGGGTTTTTCTTCTCCCTACCAAACATAGTGGCTATGAATAGAAATCTATGAATAGTGGCTATGAATATATACCTTGAGGTGTCTGATGTATCCTAACCCAAATGTCTCTGCTGGCTTCTTGTACACAAAACAATTTTGTTCAGCAATTGATATTTTGAAGAACACAATATTAGGGGAAGAGGTGGTACTTACGAGACCATTTGATAGGTGGCATAAGTGCAAGCGGGTCCTATTACAACACAACCAAGCGTGCCACTATTCTGCAAAGGATCAGAAAAGGTCAGTAGTGGGGATAGAGAAGAGGACTGGCCAAAAAAGGAGGATGGAAAAATACAGAAAACTTGAGGATTTGAGAAGGAGTCAAAGAACTGAGCCAGCAAAATCAAGAACAGAGTCGCAAAGGAGCTACAGAAAGGTTAAAAGAACAAACCTAGAGTGAAAAAGGGAGGGATCACAGAAAGCTAAGAAAAGGCAAAGGACAGAATAGTGCCTGTAAATAGGACCTTCCTTAAGGGAGAGACAGCAAGTTAGGATTAAAATGTTGTAATTGCTACAACTGCATGTATGAAATTACACAAACCAGAATTGCTTGCATTGACAGAAGACAGAGTGGTTGGAATTACAGGATACTGTGTATCAGAAAAATTATTAGCTATGTGCATATGAAGTTTGTATGAAAAAAATTAAAACCTTCCATGACCCTCAAATAAGGCCTGACCAGTAGCTTTGTGTGTCATGAGGGACTTCTTATCAAAGACTATTGCATGTGCTCATAAATTGCTGAATTTGAGAATTCACATTGGATTGACAAAGCTTCACTTAGAGGGAACAGTTATTAGACATGACAAAATTACTGAAACACAGCTTCTTGTAAGGCAGCAGTTCTATCTGAAGCTTTTCTACATACTAGGGCATTCAGCTAGTTTCTGCCATGTGACTTCTGTGATTTCTAGTGAGAAGTGAGCACTTCATCTTTGCCCTTTGGGCATAGTTCCATATGCATTTCTTTGCTATCAGTGCTAGCCTAATCTCTTTGCCAGCATGTTCCCATCCTCACACAGCTGTCTCCTTTGTGTATTTGTGTAAACCAACGGTGAACCAGATCAGGGCCTGATTCAGTTGGAAATGGACCTTTTCTGCTCTGGTTGGGCTGTTTGAGGGTTTGGGGTGGTTGTTGGGGTTTTTTTCTTGGTTGTGTTTTGCTTTGTTATTTTTTTCAATGGATTGCTTTGACTATGTGGCCATTCGAAGAGCTGTGCAGATGCAAAAGAAGAGGACAAAGTAAGTATAGGAAAAGAGTCCCGAAGCTGAAGGCTGCTGGTACTGCCCCAAATGTCTAATGATAGCCTCCAGCAAGAATCTCTCTCCAGTATTTGCCCGTCTCCACAAAACCTACAGGAACACCTCCTCTTTGAAAACTCCACTTCTCTGTCAAAATTTTTTGAAACTGAGCAACAGGATCAAAAGCTAACAAGCAAAGAGAGAGACACATATGCGTGCACACATGCAGAAAGAAACAAGTCTTGTCTTAGGAAATCAACTAAAAGAATCCTGCTACTCACATAAATCTGCTTGATGAGCTCCACACCTTCACAGGTGCTGGTACGACAGCCTTGTGAGACATAGAGTGATGAGGTAAAGCTGTGGAAAGTGGCACTGACTGTAACATTTTCTTCTGTAATGCAAACACAAAAATAAACAGCATTATGAGTTGCAGATAATCACTAATACACAGGTCTGAGCAGTCTTGTTCTAGGTTGTCTCCCACCAAAAACCTGCAAGAAAGTCCATGTACCACCTAACCCCCACTGCTTAGGATAAGACTGTAAAATTTGCTCCAAAATTTGCAGTGTGGACTGTTTATTTCTGTTGTTGAGCCTTAGTACTTTCAATACAAAGTACTTTTAGTGTTAGCCATCATTAGAGACATTTTTTAAGACTCTGCATGAAGTAACTGAGAGACCACTTTCCAATGAAATTGACAAAGTCTCTTCAAGTAGAGGGCAGAAAGGGAATGGATACCATTTTTCTGGAACCTCTTTCCCTATGATATTCTAGAGAATGATAGTAGATTGGTGATACTGAAAGAAGAGGTAATATATAAAAATAAATAAAAGCATCTTCTGCAGTGATTCTAAATGAAGGAAAAACATATAGACTGCACATTCTTCACACTTCAAGTCATAATGTGGTAAACAGATGGGGTCAAGACGAAAGTTATTTTCAGAAAGTACAAGCTAATACAGTCAGGAGAGGAAGCAAGGGCGTCCCAGTTTCCGCACTAGATGGATCACTGGTCTTGCCTGATCCAGTTCAGCAATTCCCATACTTCAAATCCCAAACTGTACATTGGTCAACCCTCTGCATCAAAATGAATATCTCCAGAAAAGCATGCAGAAAGAATCTGCCCAAACACCATTAAAGCAAATATGGTTCTGCCCATGTGTGGGCAAAACTTCTGTTTTTCACAGAGGAAGGTCGTTGTTTCTGTAAGATCTATATAAAGTGAATAGCTAAGCAGCGAGCCTGTTGGAGGAGCAGTTTGCTGAAGAGCAGATGAGTAGAAAGCTGTGGCACAAAGTGTCACAAGGAACCACAGCAGGAGAAGAATAGCCAACACCTGTCACCTTACCTCTCAGCTGGACTTCATTTTGTACCCTTTTCAAGGCTTGCTTCACAGCTAATTTCAAATTATCAGTAGTTGATGGGAAGTCCGAGTAATTCATGAGCATTACATTGATCACATAATTATTGTTTCTACATTCATTTGAACAAACTTGCTGCAGCAGCTGAAGTGAGAAAAACAAAGGCCCAAGGGCCAGACCCAACATCTGTTTCTTCATTACTGTTCAGTTTAGATCCATTGTGTGTGCTCTCTCTTTTCTGTTTCCCTTCCAACCCTCTTCCTTTCAGATACTCTACACTGGTTTTGTTCCTGGATGGGATGAAAGAGATCTCCACACCGTAGATTCAAAGACAGGCTGTATGATCCTTCTCTCAGGCACTTCCTTATCCCCCTACCCGCCTCCACCTCTGCCTGCCCCTCCAGTGTGCTAGCTGCACTTCTGTTTGTGAAAAACTAACAACAGCAAAACTCAGGAAAGGAGAGAGGCTAAAGGTTGCTGTGAATGTTTGCTTATGGTAAGGTTGAGGCTATAAAACCGAAACATTACCTGAAACCTTGTCCTGTAAGGGCACTAACTCTTCATCAAGCGGATGAGCTAAGAGAAGGAAGAGGAGGGGACAAATGGACTGTAAAGACAACACTTTTAAATGGAAATAAAATACAAGGTTCATTAAAGCCTAGAGGAAAACAGATGGTTACTTCATATTTGCATTGCCCTACATCTCTGGTTAAATTGCAAAATCATTTCTGGTGGCTAGGCTCATAAATCAATGGTATATTTTCTTCTGTGATAAGAAACCAATTTTATTCCTTTAGCTTTTACCATTGAAACACTTTATGTGTGGCAAAAATGTCTGACTTGCAATCCTCCAGACCAAAGCCTTTGTTTTTACTTACAGAGTAGACTCAGCACAAAGTTTGTCTGTTCATACTCACCCAGCATTACACACCAAAGCACCCCAGGTCTGCCCTAGACACATTGCTCTCTGGCAGCACGGGTCTCATTGCCCTTTGCTTCTTTGTAAGACGGCTCTACAAATGGGGCTCAAACATATTCATACTTATTGTGATTCAACCTCTTGCATCACACAAGGATTAGCAAAGCTGAAGGCCACATGTCAGACCTATGGGACCAAAGCTAAATTTTAAATGGCATTGCCAAAAGCCATGCACTGAAGGACTCTGAGCTATCATTTCTGTGTAGGGTTCTTGGTCTTTCCTGAATATTGTATGGTCTCAGGGAAGGCAGGTAGAATAAAAAGAAGACAAACATCCATAAGCCTTATGGGTAAGTCTGGGCTCAAAGGAGAACTGCAAGATAAAAGGAATCAACAGGCAAATCTAAATAAATAAAGTACTGAGTGTGACTGGTTTGAATTTGGGGTGTTTATGCAAGTCTACATCAGCTTCTTATTTTCTACTGAAGCCTGGACTAAGGCTGTCAGATAATAAATCTGTTTACTTTTATCACCTTCCTGAAATAATTTTAAGAAAAACAAGGAAAATAATCAGCAGAAGTGTAAATAATAGTTTGGGGTTTAAAATAGAACTACAATTCCATGGTTTCTTTCAAAGCTGTATTTAAAAGGGGTTGAATACACTTCAAATATATTTACATAGACATTTTATATGATTCTATTTTAATACCAAGTGATTATTGCTTGAATCTTTCTTACACCAAACAACAAAGGAGAACGTAAGCCAGCATTCAAGAGCAGACCTTGAACACCTCAGCATATCTCATCTAGCATTTGTTATTAGTAATACAGTAATTCTTCATTAGCAGTCTGCTGTTTCAACATCTGGAGTAGTATGGCTGGCTAGAGCCACAGAATGAGAATGGAATATAGCTTTTCATGCTGAGATCATGGGCTCATCATGACCCCATTTAATAGGTATTTACAAATTCTTTGAAATGTATCCCATGTAAGTCAGCAGGAGATTTCTCATTAACTTCATCAAAGCAGAATTTGTAATTTTGTACTCTTTAGTACAAAATTTTTTGCCTATTTGAGAGAAATCACTCACTATCATGGATAATACAGGTAGAACTGAGTATTTTACGCTGCTAGTCACGCAGGAAGCATGTAATAGCACTGAGGTCTCCCTGGTCTTATATCCATGTATTTATTTGATTTTCATAGCACCTTAAAAATACCCTTTAAAAACAAAAGGTAAAATCAACAATATCCTTGGCACAGCATTTCTTCTTAATCTCTTTCTTAACCCCTGCCTTCACAGTGCCACAGGGGGTGCCCAGACAGAACATGTTATAAATAAGTTGTTGACCTCTCAACTATTTAATTGCCCACTGTTTGTAGTCTCTCAGTGTCAAGTCCCATGAGCACACGTTTAGCGTTGGGTGATGTGGAGCTGGAGGGTATGCAGCAGGAGACTGCAGCTGCAATGAAGCAAGTGCTCCCTGGAACCTGCTGAGCACCGCACTTCCCCTTGTACCTCAGGGCTTTGCACATCAGACACAGTTGCCTGGCAGACTGATTAGTAACATCTGCTTCATGGTGTGAGAGAGACAAAGAAAAGCTGCGGCATCATGCTGTAAATGTGAGAGTTACTGATACTAGAGACCATAAGGGTGGAGAGAAGAAAAAGTAAATGAGTGAGTCATAAGTGTAAACCACAAAATTTGATGGGCCTGCTACAAGCAAAGCAAAAAAAAATTGTTACTGTCTGTGCCTGAGGGATCTTTAGTCCCTAAGGAATAGAAGAGGTGAGAAACCAATGCCAGTCCACTCATAGTGCCCTGGCTGCAGAATGAAGCTAAACCCGTTAGGATCTCAGCTAACTTCATATAATTCTTTTGCAAACTCCAGCCTAGCAATCTATAAAACCAAGAGGTTACCAGTGACACAAATCAGCCAGATACCCAAAAAAAATCTTCCATATCTCTTCAGGCCCCGCTATCTCAGTAACTTTTCTCCAACTGTGAGCCAACTCTCACACTTCAAAGGTTAGTCAAGGAGGGATACAATTCAGAAACCTAGAAGCCAAGTTATGTGTCAGAGGAAAAGAAAAAAAGGCTTTTTGACTCCTACAGGCAACTGCAGCTTTAATTAGAAATACTGTCTTAGAACAGAATAGCACTGGAGCATCCTGAAGGCGATGCAAATGGCTCTGCCTACCCCTGAAAGGATGTGATGACATGGCAAAGCAGAGGAAATGTCTCAAACACCAGGAATATCTTGCCTAAGGTAACTTCTCCTCACACCCCCAGGATAACCCACAAAATTTATGCTAAAATATCTCTAAAGCACATCTTCTAAAACTACTTATTCTTTCTTATGGGTCAAGGTTTAATCACCTTCTAAAAGGAATAAAGTGATAAGAAACTGCATCTGACGTCCCCAGTGCATTTTTTCTGGCTATGGTTTCTAGGCACCACCTATTGCTACCATCTTGTCAGAAAGTTAAAAATATCCTAGCATTGAATAGTTTCACTATGTGCAAGTATTTATCCAAAAAGACAGTTCTTAGGTGTACATCACTTTGAGTACCTCATCTCTGTAATCCTAGAATTATTAATAGCTGATGGTGGTCTACCCTTGAATCATTGAATACAAACCCTATAGTTTCTTATTCTGCCTTCAGAAGCACAGGGGCAAATAAGATTCAGATAGGCAGGCCTTGTATTTATTCATCTGAACACAGAATTCAGACCCTCACGAACAACAGTACCTGCACATGTATTGCACAGGTACAAAACACCATAATAGATACCTATGAGTGTTCTTATAATCTGTGTTAAATTAGAAATACCATCTTAAATTAACTCACCAGAGAAGTGTAGAATTGGTTTTAGTGAAAAGTGATTTTTAGTGCCTGATTCTACAGCACTATTAACAATCAGATATTATAGGGTGTATATAAAACAAATAATCAGCACTGACTTCCTGATCTGAAACTACTCTGAGAGGTTTTTTCAGTCTTCTGGAATACTGAGACACACAGACAGGGAAAAAGAAAGCAAAAGAGCAAAAACCAGAGTTTTTCCTCTAAGTCCCTCAGCCTGCTATGCCCTACAGAACATTTCCAGTCCATTTTAATGGTTCATGTGACAAGGCCTTCCTCATTTCATTGATTTCTTTTTTGTACAGAGTCTGAGAGGCCTGAAAAATGGTACTGAGAGGACAGCCTGAGAATCACAGAATCCCTTTGCCTATTCTGCTCATATTGTAAAAGTGCAACTGTATTCAGAACAAGTCACTTGTTCTGAATGCATCTCCAATTCCTTTGCCATATTCATTTTTACTGTCACATGGCCTAATTTTTTACTTAATTACAAATCATTATTTCCACTTGACTACTTGGAGACAAGAAAACAGAGAGAACATACGAAATGAAAACTTCAGAAAGCTCAGAAAAGCCAAAGAGTTACATGCATGTTCCAGCTGTTCCCAGTCAGTCAAATTACTACTGTGGAAGTTAGTGCTAGTAAGTCTGACAATAATGTAGACATATTGTCAGTTCCTCTTTGGTACCAAAGACAATCAACGTAGCATTTTTCAAGCCATTATTTTGTAAAGAAACATGCATTGTGATACAATTGTCTTATTTTGCAGAATAAAATATTTGATTGCACCCTTTAAAATAGATTTTTTTCCTACTTGCTACAATTATTTATTTTCTCAATGTCATTTAATTATGATTGTTATGATCAACTTGCAAGTTTCACAATTGTACATTATTGTTTATATTGTCCAGAGCCAGGAACTTTTACAGTACACAAGAATCCAAGGTTCCATTAAAAAAGCAATGCTGCAAGTCTCCAGCATTGCAGAAATAGAAAATGTGAAAAATGGGCATTTAAAAAAAAAATCTGAAAAGATATGTAAATTAAAAGAACAGCAGACATATTTATGTATTTAATTCTCATTAAAAAAAAAAAAGAGAGAAATTCCCTGGTTTCAGTGGCCGTGCCTGTATTTTTGAAAAACATGAAGTTCTCAATTAAGTTTATGTACAATACAGATTTTTTAGTATTAAAATTGCATGAGATACTATACGTTTCAATAGATGACCTTATTTAGACAACAGGATAAATGTAGAAAAACTTCAATGTTTTCAAGTTCTATCCATTCTTAATATGACTGATTGCAAATTATTTTGTTTGCCTGGGGCTTTAATAGTTTTTACCCTGCCATTAAAAATATTCAGGAAATCATGTTGAAGAAAAATGAAATAGAAATGTTTCAGTTTCCTCTTTTTTTCCAGATTTATTAGAGGCTGGAATCCCAAATGTGATGACAGACAGAAAAGATTACAGTATGTCTGTGTTTATTTAATGTCAGTAACTTACAGGTCTAGCCTGTATAGTATAAAGTTGTTTTTAACTTTCAGTATTACAGAACACCAATGACATGATATTTTTTTTCTCTTTTAAACGGTTTTTACAATCTTTTACTGTCCAGATTTAGAAGACAGTAATGTAAATGACTAACATAGGCTGTACAGCATATCTATATAGAAGCTATATACATGTATCTAGTATACATATATAGCAGCTGCATAGCAACTATATTGACTTTCCAGAACCAATGCTTTTTTTTCTCATTTACTATACAAGAATACAAAAGAAGATTTTACACATATTATTCTTTGGAACTGAAACTATCTAATGATAAACAACAAGCCTCCAAAAAAGCATGCAAATATGTGGGTCATGTATTCCATGATCCTGATGGTACAGCATGATCCTAACCCAGTACATATCCTGATAAAGTAGAAGTTCTGATTATATTGCCATTGTGATGAGTTATCAGGAGTTTAGGTCTAATCTTAGAGTTCACTGTTGCTGCCACATATTAGAGTGAAATTACATTGCAAAGAACTGATTGTTCTCATCAGAAGTTACTAATCTAGTGAAAAGAAATCTACAGGTAAGGAAAAGAACTGTTGTAATTGAAATCCTTGTCTCTAAATTGGAGAGACATCAATATGACAGATGGACCACTCGGTGAATAAAGAACTGGCTGGATGGACACACACAAAAAGTTGTGATCAACAGCTCAATGTCCAGCTGGAGACCTGTAACAAGTGGTGTCCCCCAGGGATTGGTGTTGGGACCAGTCTCGTTCAACATCTTTGTCGGCAACATGGACAGTGGGATTGAGTGCACTCTCAGCAAGTTTGCCGATGACACCAAGCTCTGTGGTTCGGTTGATACGCTGGAGGGAAGGGATGCCATCCACAGGGACCTTGACATGCTTGTAGGGGTGGGCTGATGCCAACCTCATGAAGTTTAACCATGCCAAGTGCGAGGTCTTACGCCTGGGTTGGGGCAATCCCAGACACAGCTACAGGTTTGGCAGAGAAGAAATTCAGAGCAGCCCTGTGGAGAAGGACTTGGGGGTGTTGGTTGATGAGAAACTGAACATGAGCCGGCAGTGTGCACTCACAGCCCATAAAGCCAACCGTATCCTGGGCTGCATCAAAAGGAGTGTGACCAGCAGGTCAAAGGAGGTGATCCTGCCCTTCTATTCTGCTCTCATGAGACCCCACCTGGAGTATTGAGTGCAGTTCTCGTGTCCTCAACATAAAAAGGACATGGAACTCTTGGAACAAGTCCAGAGGAGGGCCACGAGGATGTTCAGGGGACTGGAGTACCTCCCGTATGAAGACAGGCTGAGAAAGTTGGGGCTGTTCAGCCTGGAGAAGGGAAGGCTGCGTGGAGACCTCATAGCAGCCTTCCAGTATCTGAAGGGGGCCTACAAGGATGCCAGGGAGGGACTCTTCATCACAGACTGTAGCAATAGGGCAAGGGGTAATGGGTTTAAACTTAAACAGGGGAAACTCAGGTTAGATATAAGGAAGAAGTTCTTTACTGTGAGGGTGGTGAGGTGCTGGAATGGGTTGCCCAAAGAAGTGGTAAGTGCTCCATCCTTGGTGGTGTTAAAGGCCATGCTGGAGAGAGCCTTGGGTGACATGCTTTAGTGTGAGGTGTCCCTGCCCATGACAGGGGGGTTGGAACTTGATGATCTTAAGGTCCTTTCCAACTCTAACTAGTCTATGATTCTATGAAATTGCATCATACCAGCAGCCTGGTATGTGGTTACCACATACCAGTAGATGAAGCCAAATATGTGATGTATCATAATATCTAGCTCAATTAATAAAGACTTCTTCCTTTTAACCCTTTTCTAACACATACACACTTGAAAGTTAATATTACTCATCTATCTAACTTGTACATTACCAAAATAAATAGTAAGAAATCTTTCCTCTTAACTGTTGATTTCATATCCTTTCTCTAAAGGACTTCGTTTTCAGAATGACAGGCCGTATATTTCTTTTCAGCATAAAAGTTAGACTCTGCTCTAGACTAAGCAGGATACAGCTTTGTCAAGTGACTGTTACCTGGCACGGTTCAACCTCAGCCGGCATGTTAAGTACAACGCAGTTGCTCACTCACGCCCCCTTCCTGACCTAGTGCGATGAGAACGGGAAAAAAGGTAAAACTCGTGGGCTGAGGTTAGTTTCAGAATTGAAAAAAAAGGTAATAATAATAATAATGATGATGAAAATGAGAGAGAGAACTAAAACCCAAGAAAAACAAGTGATGCACAGTACAAGTGCTCACCACCTTCTGACTGATGTCCAGCCTTTCCTGCTAACACCTCCCCGCCCCTTATATATACTAAGGGTGACATTATATGGTATGGAATATCCCTTTGGCTAGTTTGGTCAGGTGTCCTGGCTGTGCTCCCTCCCTGCTTCTCGTGCCCCTCCTACTGGCAGAGCATAAGAGACTGGAAAGTCCTTGATTAGGGTAAGAGCTACTTAGTAACTAAAACATCAGTGTGTTATCAGCATTATTCCCATACTGAATCCAAAACACAGCACTGTACCGGCTACTACGAAAAAAATTACCTCTATCCCAGCTGAAACCAGGACAGTATCCCTCAGGTTTGGGGAGGAACCAGTATAGAACACAGGACAAGGGGATAAAAGGGGGTGGTTAACATGCAAACCAGTTGCTCTGGTGTCTCTCAGCTCCATCATACACTCCATTTCCAACTATTTTCCTGAGTGAGGGGACTCTCTATTCTGCACCCATATGTAAATCTGTGTTTACGGGGGATTAAGTGCCAGCAGCTGGAATGTGACCACATTAGGCCTACGTGTCCAGCATGCCAGTGACTAAAGACAGACTGAGAGTCTGCTCCCCGTCCCGTGTTGGCTTTGGAGACGGGCGCCCGCTGCAGTGGAGGCGGAACCCGGGGGACGACGGCTCCAGTCCCGAGCCGGCGCCTATTCGACGCTGCGCTGGGGCCTGCGCCGCGGCCCTCCACTTCCCCGCCGTTACCCCGGCAACGGCGCCGTCGACAGAGTGAGGAGTGCGGGCCTGGCGGCAGGATGGTGAGAGGTGGTGGGCTGTGGGGCGCGGCGCCTCCCTCGTTTCGGACGGGGGAACCTCTGCTTAGGCTCCGCTCTGATCTTTGTCCAGATGCTCTCCCGGGCCAAGCCGGCAGTGGCGGATACCCCGCCGCCGTTAGACAGCCGGAGGAAGAAAGGGAAGAAGGTGCCGCAGCTGGAAGAGCTCCTGGCCGTGAGGGACTTCACCGGCGCAATCGCCTTGCTGGAGGTAACAGTGGCGACGGCCTCGGAGACCTCAACCCGAGGGTGCCGCCGCTCCCCGGTTCTCGCGCTCCCCTCAGGAGACCGGTATCGTTATTGCCAGGCCCGTGCCCGACACGGCTGCGGGGCAAGGCGAACCCTTCCCCGACCTTGTGTCCCCCTCTCTTCCTTCCGCACCAGTTAGGCCCTATTGCAGCAGCTTTCCCCTCGGTTCGCAGCAATAGGTTCGGCATGTGAGAGTTGCCGGCTGCATCCCTCAGAGCAGCTCCACCCCTGTAGCATCCATACCTGTCAAGCTGTCCGTGAGATAAGATGGCCTAGTATTAGTTTGATGATCTGTGGGGCTTTATAAACTGTGGCAGCAGACAAAACTCTTACATTATTTCTTCTCTACAAAGTTTAAACGGCAAGTGGGTGAGCAGGAGGAAGATACTGACCTTTGGATGGGATACTGTGCCTTTCATTTGGGTGACTACAAGAGAGCACTGGAGGTAAGGTGGGAAAATACAGCTCCCCGAGGCTGGGAATCAGGATGTGGTAAAGTGTTGACAAAGGAGGAAGATGTTCTGTAATAGAGAACAGTTTTACCAGCCAGTTAAGATACAAATGTATGGTAATAAGGTAGGTCCTGTGCCCATAAAAATAAACCTTTTTTAATGTTACCTGGTATCTGATTTAATACTAGCTTAGTAGCCCAATTTAAATGTCAGAGATCATGTCCTAAATTTTCCATTCCCTTTTTGCAGCTACTTTCCACAATTTTGTTTTTCAGATTTAATTATGTTTTTGTCTTATTGTGTATTCTTTCTCTAGAGGTTGATGCCCCTGCCCATTTAATGTAATTTCTTCTTGTTCTTTATGTTTTCTTGTATTGGGTAATTCAATGCAATGAAATGTGCTTATTCTCCAGAAGCTTTAAGTTACTAAAAGACATGCTGATTGTTCAAATACCCATACATTTTAAATTATTTGCACTGTAAAATGCTGTTGTGTCACTTTCAGTGCGTGAATAAGAGAAAGTATACACAATTCTTTCTCTCTTGTCCATTTATGTCTCCAATGAAACCCAGTTTGTTGCAAATCAGTTTGTTGCTAGTGTTGCTCAGGTCCCTCTATCTTCTTAATTGTGCTAGCATATTTCTCTGTAGAAGTCTTAGCTAAATTTTGTGGCTGCTTGGCTCTGTACCTCCAAGAGCTAGAATCTGTACACAGCAGAAGAGGGAGTGTTGTGGAGTGGTGTGGTGATACCCACAAGGCTGCATATAAGCTTGTCAAGATTTGAAAAACAACTCCGTCTCTCCCTGAGTATTGTTTGTCTCATTGCTGTATTCCTACAGGTGTAATTGCTGGGTCCTTGCAATGCTGTAATGCACCATTTAGGGCTTACTGGTTTCAGCCAGTATCAGCTAGGGAGTTCTGCACTGCAATTCACTGTGAAGCAGAACTGTGAAGTATAACTGTGAAGTGGTTTTGCAGATTCTTGCTTTCCCTATTAAGAAAATATTAAAACCAGATGATAACTTGGAGTATTAACAAGCAGAAATAACCACAGAGAAATACATTCTAGAATAATGGCGATAGTTTCTATCTTGGGTAAAATTAGGTGTTTAACTATAGTAATACATGGTCACATGCACAAGATGCAGGTGGAAAGCAGAAACAGAATTCCTAACGTTTCCAAGTAAATTCACAAGGCCCTTTCCCCCTTAAAAATCTGAAGAGGAGACATCCATTAGAGATGTTAGAAATGCTCAGTGAATCAAATTGACAGTACAGAATGCAGAATAGTAGTACAGGACATAGTGGTAACTTGAGTTGCAGAATTTAAACATTATGAATGTAACAATCAATTGCTGTAATTAATTTATATCTAGATGTTAGGTGTTAACGGACAGGGAAAGTTTAGAAAACAGAAAAATGTTTGTCTACAAATGAAGAATAGCTTGCAATTTGTTTGAAATCACTTCTGCTATTTGGAATATCCAGTGGGTGCTTTTATGGCCAGAATAGATTTTTAAATGTTTCCTTCAACGAAAGAGTAAGAGATTTTTTTTTTTGTTTGTTTGATTCATTTGGGGATTTTTTTATAGATTAGGTTTTGTATGTGGCGTTTGATTCACCACTAGGTGATGCTGTTGATTCAGGCTTTTAAAAACTGTACTAGTCCTCTTTTTCCCGGTTTTCTGCCCAAGTAAGGACAATAAAAAAGGTTTGTATACATGGTTTTCGTTTGGTTTGTTTGTGTGCATGTTTTAAGTGAGAAATCCCAGGGCTTGTCTTTTCAGATTTAATACTGATCTTTGACAAAGCGGTGAGTCCTGGTAACTTTGTCATTTTGTGGTGGCATGTGGGAAATGACCCTGTGCATCTCAACCTAGATCACTAACCGCAGCTTCACTGAGGTCACACTTTCCCCCTCTCAATAAGTAGACCCCTTTCTCAAAGAATATGACACTGACACTGGCCTGGTGGGATCATCCCTACTCCTGTACACCAGTTGACAAATGGTACTACACTGGGCTCAAGTCTTCTAGCAGTCATGGTGGTGGTCCCTCCCTGGGGACTCTCTAGCTTCCTTCCCTGACAAATTCAGTTCTACTAACACTGAGTGGCTAGTGTTTTCCTGGCATTGTATGGCAACCAGAGCTCCCCTAGTAATGACAGCATCTAATTACTTTCCTGGAATCTTCCACATCTACTATTCCTAATGGGGAAAACCCCACCTGTCTTTCTGCCATGACTTGTTCACAGCACTCATCTTACATCTTTCCTGAAAAATTTCTCAAATGTCACCCAAGGACCAGAATCAGTCCGTTGATTCTTTTTCTGAGATGCCTGATCTTATAAATTGTAGCAGCTGGGGCGTAGGAAAGGGAGGGTTATAATATGCTTGAGGTAGTAACAGTTTAAGAGAGGAATTGGCAAGGGCAGTTCCACTGCTAGGTTGAATTCAAGAACAGGTTTCACTTTTGCACTTTGCACCCTCTTCCTGGGTTTAGGAATGCAGGATGGTGGCATGGTACAGCTGCCAGACATGGTAATGCCATTTTGGTCCATCAGCTGCACATGTGAGAGCAAAGCATGATCCCTGGGCCAGAGCCTTCAATGCATTATTTTGGTTAAAATCCCACAAGCTGCAGTCAGTGATTCCTGCAGTCTGACAATGTGTGCTTGCAGCCCAGAAAGCCAAGTATAATGGGGGCTGCAACAAAAGGAGCATGGTCAGCAGGGAGGGAGGGGATTCTCCTCCTTTCCTTGGCTTTTTTTAAGATCCCCACCTGCAGTACTGCACTCAGTTCCGGGGCCCCCAACACAAGGGGGACATGCAGCTGCTCAAGCAAGTCCAGAGGAGGCCACAGAAATGCTCAGAGGGCTGGAGCACCTCTCCTATGAAGACATACTGAGAGACTTGGTCTTGTTCAGCCTAGAGAAGAAAAGGCTGTGTGGAGACCTTAGAGCAGCTTCCAGTATCTAAAGGGGTCCTCCAAAAAATGTGGAAAGGGACTTTTTACAAGGGCATGTAGTAACAAGACAAGGGGGAATGTCTTTAAAGTGACGGGAGATTTAGGTTAGACATTAGCAGAAAAATTCTTCACTATGAGGATGGTGAGACACTGGAACCATTTGCCCAGAGAAGCTGTGGCTGCCCCATCCCTGGCAGCGTTCAAGGCCAGGTTGGATGTGGCTTGGTGCAACCTGGTCTAGTGGAAGGTGTCCCTGCTCATGGCAGGGGGATTGGAACCAGCTGATCTTTAAGGTCTTTTCCAACCCAGATCATTCTGTGATTCTGTCTGCTGCCTCCTTCTGAAAGGAGACTTGGGAGTCATTCTGCTCTTCATTGGACTGGACTTACTGCCTACCTTCAGGATAATTTCAGTCAGATAGTAAATCAGGAAAGGAACAGGGCTGTACTAGAGTAATGGTTCATCCATTAACAGAATCAGGTCTTGTTTGAGTACTTCCGCGAGAAGTGTGAGAATATAGGTACACTCAAGTTCCTGAGAGATGAAGCTAGGAAATAAAAGATTAAGTTTTGGCTTGGTGAAGTTTTTTATGCTTCTCTGACGTAGCCAGGTTATGATGAGTATCTCCACACCTCCTTTGAGCACTTGTGGGGCAGCTCTATAGGTTGGCCTGTTACTGGCGCTTCAAGATAAGTGTTTATGGGCAGACAAGGAATAAGGGCACGGAGCAGAATCCTGCTGGCTGCAGCATTGTCAGTAGGTGTCCACAGTTGTAGGCAATCAGTCTGGCAGCCTGCTTTTGAGGAAAAGTGCACGTGTCTTGTGAAAGGCATGAGAGCTGCAGGAGGTTGAAATAGCAAGAAGTTGTTATGCTCCTGGGTGACAAAAATATGTCACAAGTTGACTGCTGGGAAAGCTTTTGGAGTATTTAGTTTGTTTGAGTTTGCTGGGTTTCTGGAGAGGAGAGTGAAGGTGCTTGTGAAGTAGTCCTCCAGAGACTGATGTTGAATGTCTTTTAGTGAGGAAAAGGGCAGCAGCACATAGTCTGGGCTAATGGCCCAGAACTACAGAGTAAGTAGCATTAATGGTCCTAATTTTTATTTACTGCGTTTTCATAGGTTCACTTTGGTACTTCTAGAGCAGTCTTTATTTATTGCTTGCTTTGAATGGCCAAGCCAGAACATGACATGTGTTTATGCACTTTGTCTTTTCTAATTAATTTGCCTGAAGCTATAGTCAAAAGAGACCTCTGGGTACATTTCATCTGGATGGGTTTTGAAAGATTCCAGATGGTCCCAATAAACAGCAGTGGCCTGTCTCTTAGAGCTCTGTGACAGACCTATATCAAGACTGAACTGGCCTCAGTAGAAAGATTGGCCTCTATGTAAATATTTTGGTTTGGTTGGTTATTTTTTGTTATTTATTTTAAATCTTCTTGAAGGACAGTCCCTGAAGTACTAGCAAGACTCAGCTGGCTTTTAAGAGCATACCTTACTAATACCTTCTCTGTTTTGGAGTGCAGTTTACTTTTTCTTGGCAACAGAAAAAAAAAAGTCTTTATGCTTGCAAACTATAAAGTTTACTGTTGTCAGCATATTTCTTTTCTTGGTATTCACTGACCTTTGGGCATGGCTTATTTTATCTGGTGCTATTGTTACGTCTTTTGCCTTTCCCCAAGAGGTAAATAAGTTTTTGACCCATAGCAGCACAACCTGATAAATTCTTCCTAGGCAGAGGGAAATTCCAATTCATGTGTTTGGAGAACAGAGTACAGTCAGCAAGGTGTTTGTGTTGCTGGAAGGGATGAGAGGCTGATGGTGATTTGGAATATGTAGATGGCATTCTTTCAGGGCTGGTGAGAACTTTGCATGACCCTGCTTGCTTTGCCTTATGTTGCTGGTTGGACATGGCTGAATGGAGAGCAGGAGCACCAGCAGGAAGCACTTTCACTGGGATGGTCCTTCCTAGTAATTAACCAGAAACCTCACAGAGGGGGGAAAAAAATCTTCAGGAATGTCACTGTTCTGTAGCTGCAAAGTTGAGTTTTTTCGATTAAAAAAAAAAAAAGTAGATTGAAAAATTCACCTGTTAAGTGTTTATGTTCCACCAAGAGCAAGAAATGAAGCAGTCTGTGTGGCAGTATTAAGGGATATGTAATGAATATGGAAGTGTAAGATATCAGAATATGGTATCTACTGGTTTTCTATTGCTATTGGCTTTAAATCTTAAAATGGAAACAGTGAAGTTATGCACAGTTTAGTAATATTTAATTATATCTATTAGGACATTTTGAATTTGCACAATACTGACTTGTAGGTTTGTATTTTATTGCAGTGGTTTCCAAATAATTTTGGTCATGCATCCCATCAGTAAAAAGGTTTTGAACACACCCACCCAGTATACATACCTGTATGTATAAATATACAGTACTATACTAGCATGTAATTATAAAAATACACAAAATAGACATTTAAAAATACAAGGTAAATATTAAGTAAACACTATTTAAAAAATATTTATTTTAGTTATTAATGGTACCAAAAATATTATTCCTGCACACAACGGTATTGTCTTGCACCACTGCTGGGGTGCATTGTTGCATACACTCCACTTTGGAGACCACTGTTTTAATCTATGCTAAGACACTACCTACAGGTTTATAAAAGCGTGTTTTAACACTTGCTCCAGTAGATATCCACAAAGAGATTTCCCTGGCATTTATAGTTCCCAGGCTTTGACTGGAGGAGAATTTAGGAAAGCGTCAGAAAAGACTGTGGATAATTTGGTTATTTTGATGCCTTTATAAATTTCATACATCAATCTTTTATAAATATAAAGAATGTCCTTATATACAATTATTTCTATTTTTATATATTTATAATTTCAGTATTGACAGAATTAATGCTCATACAGTGAAGATTTATAATGCTGCTTATTCCTTTTTTCTGTTCCTATTGCTGTAAACGAAAAAGAACTAGGGACATAGGTTAAAATGTAATAGTTTCATTGTTAGAACTGCAATGAACTTGAGAATAAGTCATTTAATCTCAAGAATTTAATGATACATTGTAAAATGGTGAAAGAAATATGGTATACAGATGATATTTAACAGAAGTCTGTGCTGTTAAGCATTTTTTAAAATCAACCCTCTCTTTTGTTACCAGGAATATGAGGCCTTAACCAAACAACCAGCTTGCAATCCAGATGTTTGGGTGAACCTTGCCTGCACATATTTCTTTCTGGGAATGTATACACAAGCTGAACAAGCAGCCTTGAAAGGTAGGATGTATGTCTCTGATGGAAAGGACTACTCGTGGACTTGAACACTTAGAGTGATTTCCAGACAAAGTATTTAATGTTTTTTTTTATATATATAGGAATAAAGGAAGGACACTTTTGAGCCAAGTTGGGCTGGTTCTTTTTTGTGTTTGTTTGTTTCCATTTAACAGGAGACTTTTATTGCAGTTTGGCTCCTAAAAATACAGTGGGCAGGTAGAGCAGCTGGAACTGAAAAGAAGCATCTGCAAAATAAATTGTCTTATTAATTTCTAAATACAAAACTTAGTATGTGATGACCACCAGCAATAAGTTACTTTTCTTTTGACTGATTCAATGTCTCTGTGCCACTGCAGATGAAGCTAATTAGGCAAGTGAAATTAGCACAAAATGCACAGCTGAGAGGGTTCAGCATTATCCCTGAGGTAGACAAGAGCTCTGTTTACATAGTTTGAGTGACTTAGTAGGTGGTCTTGTCGCCTCATAAGTCAGATATTGGGTATGTGATTCTTCAAGGTGTGGAGTTCACTGCAGTCACATTGTTAAATTTCTACTTTAATCTGAATGGGATAATTTAAAGAAGAGGAATGAAATTAGATTCCAAGGCAGTTTTTACTGCCTAAAAAAGTTTCTGCAGTTTAATTATTAGCCATCACTTTCTTTTTATCTCTGTGATGTATATTGTCTTCCGTAGCCATAAGTATCCTGGTGCTTTCTAAATAGAATTAATAGTAATGATACCTTATTCAGCTTCTGACTCTTGCCTTTGAAGGATAGAACTCTTACAAATTTTCTCCTTTCTTTCTTTCTGTATTTAATCTCCTACTCTTGGGCTGAAAATAGGGTAGGGAGGAAAATAATTGTACTTTCTGCTACTGTGGAGGAGTAACTTCAAAAAGGACAGTTTTGTAGTATCCCTTTAAATCCTCTGGAAGTCCATTCTGTTTGGAAACAAAACACTGGAATGTTTTGTTTGTAACTATAAAAATTCACAGAGCTTTGTGATCTGTATTCTTCAAGAGGTGTGTAAAATTCTAATATTCACAAATAATTTCATTTTTCATGTACCACAAATTTGATCTTTAGAGATTACATTATAGGACTTGAACTGGAATCTGAAAATACTTGGGCAGTACAGCTTGAGGTGTCAGTATGACTTAAACCATGGGGGAAGCAAGCAGCTGCACCCTGTACCTGTTGGAGTCATTGTCATCAGCTTCACATCATATGAATTACAGTAATCTATTTTAGAGGTGACAGATACACAGCTGGGCACGCACCTTTCTTAACTGTGAGTTAGCTTATGGTGAGTGGTAGGGTAAGAGGTGCTGTTGGTACTTGGGTGCTGGAGGCAAAGGCAAGAATATTAAGAAAGGAGTGTAAGATGTAGAGAGCATAGCTGAGGGAGGGAACAGAGAGTAACTGAGTGCTCATGCTAGTCCTGATTTTATGTAATTGTTTAAAGACAGCATGCCAGGATTTTTAGTGCGGTGCTAAAACTTTTTTTGTGAGTACTGTAACAATGATGATTTCTGGCTACTTAAGTTTGGTGAGGAGGCAGACACAGCTGAAGATTTGTAGCACTTGTCGTTTCTCCATTGAAGGCTTCAAAGTATTGTATATTTCTCTTCCCACTCCCATCATTTCAGTCTTTCTACATTGAGGTTGAATGTGGGGTTTTTTTTCACTCGAGGCAGACAGATCCTCTTCTAGGTTTTCTTTAACATCTCAGGATTGCATCAGTGATGGCTGTTTGTAATATATTATTGACAGCTGAGGCCATAACATCTTGAGACCTCTTACATGATTTTGCAAAGATCCTAAAGAAGCAAAATATTTCATTGGATACAGACACAACAGGTGAAGTCTCTAGAAGAATACCATTTATCCAGTACTGCCTTGAATGATAGATAGTGTTAGTGTTGGGCTGCTTATCTTTGTTATTTTGGGACTATTTTGCCTAATTTCTTGCATACTGCTTGCTGTTTATTTCTGCCGTTATGTTAAGCTCCTGAAAGTACCATAGTGCTAAAGCAAATGGGGGAGAAATAATTTATTTTCAGCTATAATTCTAAATTACTAGTGATGGAATCTCTCTGTGAAGGGAACGTAACCGTCAGCTAGCTTTCTGTAATAAATCTTCTACACAAACATGTAAATATCTAGAAATCAAATAGAAGCTCCTTCTTGCCATGTACTGTAGCTGTTGCCTGAGAAAATTGTTAACTGTCTGAGGAGAAACATGCAGGATACTTAAAAATTAGGAAATTAGCATTAAAAGCTATAAGGTAATTGTTGCATTTCATACGAGATATATAGTCCACAATCTCTTGTAGAGCAAGGTTTTACATTTGGTTTGTAATATATGTGTTCTCTTAGCTTGTCGTTACCTAATTAAAACTTAATGGTACATTCTCTCAGGAAAGTATAAATATGTATCTCAAAAGTCATATAAACCAGAATTAATACAAATATAACCTCAGAAGTAGAGCAAAAAGTCAATAAAGAAAAATCTTTGAAAGTTTTTCATTACAGTTATACTTTACCTCCTCTAGGCTTACTTCCAAATTCCTTCCATGTATTATAAGCTTCTCCCTTTTCCCTGCTGTCCTCTTAATTGCAGTTGTTAATGTTCCTGTATCTAAGGTGGAGTTACTTCAAGGCAGTTACTGTTGTTTCATAGTCATCCCATAGTGAAGCTGCCAAGTGCTGCTTTGTTTACTCTTTCTGCCTCTCTGCTGTGATACTTCGGCTGAATGTGTTTTCCATGTGTGTGATAACCCTTCTAACCTTGGGAGGATGAGGCTGAAAGTCTTCATCTTCGTTTAATAAGTAATAACAAATACATACTTTTTTATTATAAAACCAAATAACTTTATGGTGCATTTACAGGTTATGTGTCTTGCAAAGGATAAGGAGTAGAAACTTAGCCTGGCACATTTGCGTGGTGATCCTGGCAACTGGTCCTAGTGTTTAGAAGCCTGCTTAGCGCTCTCAGAAGCCATTGGCTAGTACTGCATTAAGAAAAATACAAGAACTAACTGTTCTTTTAAACCACAAAATGTACGTAAGTGGGGCTACAGTTAACTCTGTTATGAAAAGCAGTCTTTTTTGGATAAATGGAATTTTACAATTAAATTAAGGATTCATGTGCAGACAGAGTTACGTTGCTCAACCAGTTATTAAAGTTGTTTGTAGTTTTGGGATTTTTATTTTTTTTTCCTCCCTTCTAATTTTTTATGGGCAAACCTTGTAATTATGTTACTTCTTCACAACTCTGCATGTGTCAGATCTGAATGTGGTTTAACTGAACAGAGATACTTCTCATTTCACAGGCTATACTGGAAGGAGCAATGTTGTACAAAAGCAGAACAGAAACGGGTTAGTAAGAGCAATGACATTTTCCAAACCAGTTTTGCTTATGCACGTCCTAACGTTTGCCAGGTGTCAGAGTTGTCACCAGTGAAAATGTGCAGTTACAAACGGGCATGGAAAAATTGCTTGAGAGCAGTAACTCGTTTTCATTGCATTTAGCTGTGGTTTTGAACCAGCAGATTTAGATATATGGAACTTTCAAAGTGTGTAAGTGAAAATACCAACTTATACATATTTAAACTTTAAAAACTACTAACCCTATTTTCTTGCTTTCCTTTTAAAGTATTGTTAAAGCTACAGAACAGTAATAATTGATAGTGTTTGCTTCAGTGATCTTTAACTTCCTGTGCTTAGGCATGACTGAAATGAAATGTGTATATATTGCAAGTAACTGAACATAGCTGCGCTAGCTTTTATGTATTTTGGGAATAGGAAAATCTCAGTGAATGTCCTCTGTAAATTTCATTCAAGAAAATTCTAAACAGTCGAGCTATTCAAGTGTGCGCAAGTGTGAACCTCACTGCCTCACCATGGCTTTTACAAACATTTTCCCCATACCCTTGCATATTCCTTCCACCAGTGAAACTGTGGTTCTGAGGCACAGAGGACTTCATTCATCTACCATATTCAAGTGAGCAGGGTGTTGTTTCTCAGGGACAGGAGAATAATATTCCCTCTGGTGCTATTTTGTGTGATGTCAGGCTGGAGCCTTCTTAACCCTGTTTCATTCCTCCCAGTTCCTGCTATGTATAAGAAGTGTTCTGTGTCCATTAATGTGTGAAGTGCTGCTACAGCATATGCATTACATCTGCTAGATGGGATTTGTTAACACTGGATGCATGACCAGCATTGCCTTGCACTTTTGCAAGAGGGCACAAATGCCACATTGTCTATTACTGTGTTTCATCATCTTCTTACTGCCTGTGGCAGCAAAATGGAACCCACAAGGAGTCTGAGCTGCCATTTCTAGTGAGCTTAACTTTTTGTTTAGTAATTAGTGAAGATAACTGTCTTCTGTTCATTATACTTTTACAAATACTTCACTGGGTACCTGTTCAGCGTCAGCACATAAAACTATACAGAAAAATGTTAAGATCAATGTCAGCTATGACTTTAGTACCTGGAACATCAGCACTGATCATGACAAAAATTCTAATACAGGAATATTGGTGTGTTTCCTAGCTTGAAAGAGATCTGTTCTATCTAGCTATCCCAGTCATGTCTTTACCACAAGGACAATACTAGATTTGGAGCAGGGTTCAGTTTATTGCCATGCAGCACTGTCATCATGTTTGGTATGATCCCTAGATTTCTTAGTACTGATAAAAAAAAGTAATAATTTACAATCATCTTCTTGAAAAAGTAGGATAGGAAAAGACTGCTTCCTTGTGGCGTCAATACATCAGCAACGATGAAATTCAGTAGCAGCAAAGAGTAGTAAAAGAACAAGCCTAATGTCCTTTAAAAGTCATTATCTCTGATGAGGCGGTTGTATCCCTTCCTGATTCAGTGATTGACAACAGCTTTATCCAATATTCATAACCAAATTCTTTCTGGAAAGTAATCCGATCTTATTCATACGTTTCCTTGTCTTCCTCAAAACATGCATTTGGCACTGGTAGGAAAGAAACTGCTGATATTTAATGTTTCCATGGCTCTGCTCACTATATCAACAGGATTGTTTTTTTCTTTTGTTTTTTGCCCTCTCCTTCTTTGGCTGACATTAAGTGTCTTATTTTAAAGACTATCAAATGGATAGTATCAAATAATATCATATGACAGAGAACAATATTTTCTCCCTCTGTATATCCAAGCCCACCACCAGTACTCGGGTTTCATCTTTTGCCTGGTTTTAGGTGTAATAGGTGTAAAATAACATGGACTAACTCTTCAGTTTTTGACAAGAAGTAAATAATAATTTTAATGTCAGATCAGATGCCAGGTCTAAGAAGGCAGCACTGCAGTCACTGACCAGTGAAACAAGAACTCCTTGGTTTAGATTCTTGAGGGAGTATTGCTTTCAAGTCACAATTTTCACAGCAAAATCAATGCTAAACTCCACTCAAAAAAAAAAAAGTGTCTTTACGCATAGCACTGTGATTATACAATACATTATTTTCAGTGTAAATCCCACAATCTGTCCTGCTTATATTTTTGGAGTCTTTGATGACCAAATGTTTTAAATTGTGAGGGGTGGTTGTGGTTGGTTTAAATTTCACACATGTGGGGTCCATGTGCAACCCTTCTAAACTTTGATACTGAAACCTATCAGTTAATGCTGAGGCACATGTAGAGTTGCCACACTATCATTACCAACAACATTTTGAAGAGCATGCATTTAAATTAAGATACTTTAACTTTCTAACTCAGTGAATGAAAGAATTTCTGACACAATAGTACATTCTAATTATCCCATTGCTACTGTTGCTTATACAATACTGATTGTAGATCAGAAAAAACCTTTCTGTTCTTTAATAATTTGGCTAATAAAAATTCCCATTTTTTTATCCTAGATTGAAGGTCATTTAACTTCTTAAAAACTTGATGCTCTGTTGTTAAGATGTGGCTTTGCGAGAGTGCTCTCATACCACCTTGGCTTTTTTGGGACATTTGTATTGTAGCAGTTGTTAAAATAGACAACTCTCTGTCTTCTTTTTCTTAACACAGCTTGGGAGGGAGGAAGCGAGAGAAATAATTGCTGTACCTATCAGAATTATGTGGGCAGGCTTACACCACCAGCCTGACAAGAATGGCCTGGGTTTTGGCAGTGTCCACTTTTACAAAGGGTGTTTCTGCCATGAGAAGAAAGAGTAAGAAGCCTGAAAATCTGTCCCTTCATGCTTAAAAAAAAACCCAAACCCACAAAAAACTAACTTATTACTAGAAAATTCCATCTTGGGAGGGTGGAGGGAAGAGGTTTCGGTGGTTTGAGCCCTCTTTCATGGTTTAGGATGTCAGAAGAATTACAGCCTTGTGTTACAGGCCGTTGCTTTGCTAACTCTGCAACTTTTGTGGCTTCATAAGCACAGTAAGTCATTCTGCTTTTTGAAAGATTCCATGTTCATCCTTTCTGTTGAAACATAGGTTGCCAGCTGGTTGGTGTGAGCAAGAATGAGAGTGCTCATTAGCTGAGTAGGCTAAAGAAAATGCAGGAAACAAGGGAAAGCTTTTTGGAAGATTTTTTGCAAAAGAAATTAATAGCTCTGTTGGACTAGGACCTTTGTCACTCTCAGTGAAGCACAAGGCTCTCTCTAGTGTCTTGAAGCTCTACAGTTAATGATTTGTGTCATATGGAGTGACTTAAATGGAATTTCTAATCCTGCTTCAACAAGAAATTTCATTAACTTCAGTGGCTTTAGAAAGGATATGTCCCCCTTAAATCTCTTTCCATATCTTAGTTTGAATCTTAGCTGAGCATAATATGATGTGCATACATAACAAAATGATAGCAGCAATGGGTTTCACAATACGCTGGAAGTTGACAAGATTCCTAAAATTATGAATCACAACTTATTTTAAATGTGACACGTTGTAGAAGGAGCCTTGATTATGAGTTTATCTGTTGCTGCTTTTTATTGTCTGAAAGATGCTGTGCTATGTGTCACCAAAAAAAACACAAAACCCAGGTGGCCCTGCAGGGAAATGATAGTGCAATTCCTAAATGTTTAAAGGCTCGTGGAAGACAAGAGGCCAATTAAAAGTTATTTTCAAAAGATATTTAAAAAGAAATGGTCAGTGAATGAAGGTACGAAGCAGGGAGGCCTTTAAACTACTCTAAAATTGGTAGAATATGCCACGGACATAACCTGCAAAGGCTACATCAGTGAAGAACTGTTCTTGGGCTAGTTAATGAAACAATATGGGTGCATGCATGTCTGTTGAGAAAGAAAGTAAAAAATAGGAGTTTGAGTTCTGTGCAGCTATAATTACTGAATTTTCCTTTCAGCACCTAAGAGTTGTCTTCAGAACCGTTTACTCTTTCACCTGGCACATAAGGTATGATGTCTTTTCTTCACTCCTGCTTTGTTTGTTTTCTTTTCAATTCGATAATGTGTAGTTTATGCTGGCAACCTGGCAGAATAATTAAAATGTCTGTGACAGCAAGAGAGCAAACATTTTCCATAACCACCCTTCTGTATTAACATGTGGATGAGAAGGTGAGTGTGAAAACATAGAGTCGATGCCCTCAGCATGTATCTAAGGAAAGTCTTACAAGCACATGTCACATAAGTCATACAACAGGAACCTTATGGTATTTTTGATCACAAGGAACCTGGAAATCAAATAGAATCAGAAATGTATAAGCCACTGTATTTCTTCTTCTGTGTACCAAGTTTTTGTAAGTTGCTGCTGCCTTATATTTAGCAATTTGACCAAAGTGGTCTGTATGCTGTTACTGATCCTCCTAAATCATTCAGTATCCAAGAAGTTACATTGTTTATAGCATGAAATTTACATTAGTTTCAACAAGAATTAAATGCTTATTTCATTTACCACACATATCTATGTTCCATTAAATTTGGGGTTGTGTTATACTGTTTTATACTTAACAAGTATTGTGCTACTGAAAAGACTGAGTTGAAAGAAAGTATAAATCCTGAATGTTAGCTTTGACATAAGATTCTCTTTACTTAAATCTTTGTTAAGAGAGAAATCTTAAAAAAACATTTTTCTAGTGCTGCTGACACTGATGTTTGTGATAAAGAGAAGTTGAGTAATTATTAGTTCATCTGGTTAGTCTTTGGAATATAAAGGGTTTTACAAAATTGTGAAGCTCATTGCCTTTAGTTCTCTTCAGCAGCTTCTCTTGCCTTTATGCTGGGGTATCATTTTGTGACTGACTCAAAGAGGGAGGAAAAGGATTTGAAGAAAACCTGAAAGATAGACGAAAACCAAATACATAATATTTTGTGGGTAAAAGAATTCATGATTACTGTTGAATCGGAAAAGGGAAGCACTGGAATAACTGATTTGGGTGGAGTGATTAGGTGAATAGCCTCACCTTTAGTATTGTAATACAAATATAATGGGTATGTTTAACTCTATTCCTTGACTTTATCCTTGTGTGCATGTTATGTACTATTCAGCAGTCCCTTAAAAATAAACAATTTAGTTAAAGAAACTGGAATTTTAGGAAGCTAATGAAAGAGATTTAATGCTGTAAATAAGTCTTGTGAAAATTAGTTCTTGTGTGTTGGGAAGTCTTGAATTTTTGTGCTATCCATGAGAAATAAGGTTTGGATCTGCAAGCCGTAAGATTTCTGCTGGCTCACGTAATAACAGTCAAATCTTGTGTTGCAAAATTCTGTTTGTGAAATAATTTAGCTCTTTCCCTCTTATCCATTGAGGCATGTGACATGTAATTATGTATAAATCACACTTTAAAGGAAAATGTCTACGTAGTTTTCAGCCTCACATTTATCTAGTTTTAACTGGTCTGCCTTCTCTAAATGTTTGCTTTCTCCACTGGTCAAATTAACTTTAAAATAACAGAGGTTTTCCAGATGTTTAGTATTAATGACCTGCTGTTTGCCAGCAAGGACAAAACTAATCCAGCTAATTAAAATGTTTTTCTCACTGAACTCATCTGAGAATATGTCACATTCTTTTTAGTTCGGTGATGAGAAGAAACTGATGAGCTCTCATCAGAATCTGCATGACATTACAGAAGATCAGCTTAGCTTGGCATCTATCCACTACATGCGGTCCCACTACCAAGAAGCTATTGATATCTACAAACGCATTCTTCTTGATAATCGGTGGGCACCTTTACTCTGAACCTTATTGCAATTTCTCTGATGCTGTTGGTATTTGAATTCTATTTAGCTGCTTGGTTTCTGAAAGTAGGAAATTTTCCCAATCACTATGTCCCTTTCCCACCACAAAATGCACACAAGTTGCAAACCCCTCAATTTTGTTCATTGCAAAGCATTATTGAAAAATTCATATTTTGCTTTAAGTGATATTTTTTGTAATTAATTCTGAAATTATTTTTTTTTATTTTGTTATTTACTTCTTAGATTATATATGGTTATGTACCTGCTTTGTTTTTTTCTCCCCCAACCTCCCCTGCCCCGTGATGGTCAGTCTGGTGACCCTTGTTTGTGGTTACTGACTTCTTTACCTCTTAGTCTTTCTAAGAAGGGTTCAGTTCTTAGGTCTCATGTAGATTGTTCCTTGTATTTCTTTAAGTCTGAAATTCTTTTAGTTTCTATTTAGCATAGAATCATAGAATAGTTTGGGAAGGAAAGGACCTTAAAATCATCTAGTTCCAACCCTCCTGCCATAGGCAAGAACACCTCACACTAGACCATGAGGCCCAAGGTTCTGTCCAACCAGGAGTTGACCACTGCCAGGGATGGAACACTTACCACTTCTTTGGGCAACCTGTTCCAGTACCTCACCATCCTCACAGTAAAGAACTTCTTCCTTATATCTAACCTGAACTTCCCCTGTTTAAGTTTAAACCCATTACCCCTTTTCCTGCTATGACACTTGCTGACGTTTTTCCTTTCTGCAAGTTTTTAATTTGGAATTTTAACAAATAACAAATTGAATTCTCAAGTGGATGAAATAATTGTTTAGTAAAATAGAAACTGCTTCCCCATGAGACATAGCTCTTTTTTCCGTTTGGATGCTTTAGAGAAGTCCATGATAATGTGTGTATATATGTCGTGTAATGCTCAGGGAAGAGAATTTTTAACTTCCAAGACCCATAGAAAGAAACACTCAAAGCTGAATGGGTAACCTTCACAACAGATACACTTTTATTGTTTCCACAAATGCCTGTCTATCTTTTGTGTCTAGTTCTTCTGGCTTGATAGCTTGTAATGGCAAGGAGTTTTTGAAATAATTGTACTTCATATAAGATAATAAGATCCATTAAAATATTTTCGAACTTCTATGTGCATATTAAATGTATTTATATAGAAAATCCTGTTCTGTCAGGCCAAATAGTGCTTGTCTTCTGTGCATTTTCTTAGTGTAAAGTTGCCACCATTTCCGCAATTTGCAAAGCAAAAGTTTTACAGGTAATTTTAAAGCTGCAGTAGCTGCCATTGAAAGCACTAATGCAAATCTGGATCTGTTCAATCTTAGCTGACTGTTAGAGCTCTAATAACTCTAAGCATTTCTGAGAAACCCCAGTTCAGGCTCTACAAAAGGGTTAGGCAAGGAAAAAGAGGTGGTGGGGTCGCATTGTATGTCAGGGAGTGCTTTGACAGCCTTGAACTCGGTGTGGTGAGTGAGAAGGCTGAACATTTATGAGTGAAGATCAGGGAGAAGGCCAACCAAGCTGATACCCTGGTAGGAGTTTGTTATAGACCACCCAGCCAGGATGAAGCTGCAGATGAAGTGTTCTTCAAACAACTGGGAGAAGTTTCACAACCACTTGCCCTTGTTCTCATGGGGACTTCAACCTGCCAGATGTTTGCTGGAAGTACAACACAGCAGAGAAGAAACAATCCAGGGGGTTCTTGGGGAGTGTGGAAGATAACTTCCTAATCCAGCTGGTTACTGAGCCAACTAGGGGAGATGCCTGGCTGGATTTGCTGTTTGCAAACAGAGAAAGACTGGTGGGTGATGTGATGGTTAGAGGCAAAGTGATCAAGAAATGACTGAATTTTCAATCCTTGGAGAAGTCAGAAAGAAGGTCAGCAGAACCTTCAACTTCCAGAGGGCTGACTGGCCTGTTTAGGATGCTGGTTGGCAGAATTCCTTGGGAAACATTACTGAAGGACAAAGGGTTCCAGGATGGCTGAATGCTCTTCAAGAATGAAATCCTTAATGTGTGGGAACACATGGTCCCTATGTGCTGAAAATCAAACTGGTGGGGAAGAGACCAGCCTGGGTGAACAGGGAGATATTGCTGAAACTCAGGAAAGAAGAAAATTTATCACCTGTGGAAGAAGCGACAGTTACCCCATGAAAAGTATAAGGATATGGTTAGGTTATGTAGAGAAAAAGTTAGAAAGGTGAAAAAGCACAAGTGGAGCTAAATCTGGCCACTGTCATAAAAGATAATAAAGCATGGCCTGGATAGGTGGGTTCTTTGCTGAGTTGGAAACTGGCTGGATGGTCGAGCCCGAAGAGTGGTGGTAAATGTCATCACATCTACTTGGTGGCCAGTCACTAGTGGTATCCCTCAGGGCTCGATGTTAGAGCCAGTGTTGTTCAAGATCTTCATCGATAATCTGGATGAGGGGATCAAGGGTACCCTCAGTAAACTGTGGATAACACTAGGTTGGATGAGAATGTTGATCTGCTGAAGGATAGGAAGGCTCTGCAGAGGGATCTGGACAGGCTGGATTGATGGGCTGTGGCCAGTGGATATGAAGTTGAACAAGGCAAAGTGCTGGATCCTGCATTTGGGCCACAACAACCTCATGCAATGATTGAGGCTTGGGGAAGAGTGGCTGGAAAGCTGCTCATGGAAAAGGACCTGGGGTGCTGGTTGACAGCTGCTGAACCTGAGCCAGCTTGTGCCCAGGCAACCAAGAAGGCCAACAGCATCAGAAACAGTGTGGCCAGCAGGGCCAGGGCAGCAATCATCCCTCTGTACTCTACACTGGTGAGGCCACAGCTCGAAACCTATATGTTGAATTCACTTCCAGGCTCCTCACTACAAAAAAGACATTGAAGTGGTGGAGCAGGTATAGAGACAGGCAACAAAGCTGGTGAAGGGTCTGGAGAGTAAGTCTTGAGAGGAACAGCTGAGGAACTGGAGTTGATTAGTCTGTAGAAGAGAAGGCTCAGGGGCGACCTTGTCGCTCTCTACAACTACCTGAAAGGAGGTTGTAGTGAGATGGGGGGTTGGTGTCTTCACCCAAGTAACAAGCTAATGGAGGAGAAGCAATGGCCTCAAGCTGAGTGTAGGCTTAGACTGAATGTTAGGAAAAATTTCTTGACAGAGAGGGTGGTCAGGCATTGGAACAGGCTGCCCAGGGAAGTGGTGGAATCACCATCCCTGGAAGTGTTCACAAGCCATGTAGATGAGGCCCTCAGTGATATGGTTTAGTGGTGGTCTTGGCAGTCCTGGGGTAATGGTTGGACTTGACTTGATGATCTTACGGGTCTTTTCCAACCTAGTTGATTTGGTGATTCTGTGATTTGACATGCTTGTAAAAGATGTATAGACACGTGAGAGCTTTATCACTGATTTTAATGTTCTGTAATATAACTTTGTGGTGGAATTTAAATGTTCTCTTTAATCCTCTTTCCCACAGGGAATATCTGGCCTTGAATGTGTATGTGGCCCTATGCTATTACAAACTGGATTACTATGATGTATCACAGGAAGTGCTAGCTGTTTATCTTCAGCAAGTTCCTGACAGTACCATTGCTCTTAACCTTAAGGCTTGTAACCATTTCCACCTTCACAATGGGAAGGCTGCTGAGGTATCTATTGAACAGCCCTTCAGTTCGCTTTTATTTTATTCAAGATTCTGCACAGGGTTTTTGGTTGGTTTTTTTTCCTTATCTGTCTTAACGAGTAATGTTGATACAGGTCTTTATTTTGTCATTGTGTTCTTCTCTTAGGAATGTCACCTCTGTCAGTTTTCCTGGTGTTAAGCCATCTGTCAGCATGTGTGCCCTGTAGTCTTAATCTTTTCCTACTTATGACCTTGTGTCTATATATATTACCCAATTGCTAAAACATTACATAAAACTGTTAAGGCAAAAACCTTCCAGTGATCCAGCACTGCTGGAGATGTCTTTCTGTCAGGCTTGTATGAAACTCGATTTATGTTTGTGTTAAAATTTTGGACTGTATGTTATTCCAGGCAGAGCTCAAGAACTTGACAGAGAGTGCTTCATCATCATTTGAGTTTGGCAAAGAGCTCATTAAGCACAATCTGGTGAGTGATGTATTTCTTGGACTTAATATGAACCACACTCTTTGTAGAGCTTTTCCTAATGATTCATAAAATGGAATATTTTGGGACCTACAGACCAAATTGAATCTCTGTTGCCACGTAAATCCCACTCCAGACATCCTACCTCTATAGTCAATGCGCCATCAAGTGTATTTTTTTTCCATGGCATTTTTTCCTGTCAGTTTGAGACTGTGTTAAGAAAATGATAATGCTATTGTTTTTAACCCCGAAGGCATATTAAAATAATTTATGTCCTGTAATAACTCCTTTGCAAGATATTTTGTGGAACCCAGTCAATAAGGACACTGTAGAAACAACAGTTGTCAGGAAAAAGCTGCAGTGTTCAGCAGGCTGCTATGTGTTCTGCAGTTAAAAGGTCGCTAATCACCTGTTAATTCTCCATGCAGTGATATTATTTTCTGCTCAACCCCTAAGAGTAGATTGCTTTTATTTAACAATGGGGAGTTGCTTGCTTTGTCTTTTTTCAAGAGTAGTCACAACAAGCTAACACTTTTTCCCTCAAGAGTTAAAACTGCTTTCCAACTGAGATTTTGTAAGTCAACATTATTTATTTTGAATTTCTCTTTTTGCCAGTGGTTTACTGAATAAGTATGTTAGATTCTGTTGGAGGATCTATCATGTGAAACTGGAATGTAATTGACTGCTCCTAACCAATTTAGGATCTTGTGGCATTCTAAGTAAACGCAGACATGTTAACCTAATTTTTCCATGTGAACACTTCATAAGCAAATTGTAATTCTGTATGTATTCTCCTCACTCTTGTCTCAGACCATATTATTTAAAAACTTTGATATATAATGTATTACTGCTTTGAGTTGCTAAAAGCTGAAATAAGTTATTATTTACTGATGAATTAAATACTTTATATTCTTCAAAATAAATATTGTCACACAGTATCATTCTATAGTTATATTAAAGTAGGGAATATGGTAATGTCAGTACCACTGCCCTTTTCCTATTGTTAATATAGGAATTTAAGGATTAATTTCCCTGAATTAAGAGATCATAGACAAGGTTTTGATAATACAGTTATCAAGATGCTGCTTTTCTCTGCAGGTGGTGTTCCGAGGAGGAGAAGGGGCTTTGCAGGTCCTGCCTCCTCTGGTGGATGTTATTCCTGAGGCAAGACTAAATCTTGTGATTTACTACCTCCGGCAAGGTAAATAACACTTTCCTCTGGCTCTTCCATAGCTTCAGGAATGACATTAATTCATCTGATCTCAACTGACTATTCAGTTAAATGCTTTCTTTTTTCTTTGTAGTGAAATGCAATTTATTTCATTTTCTGTTCCTCTGGAAAATAACGATCTAAGAGCTCCCATGGCTTGTAGAGAAGGGCTTTCATTGTGTGCAGCCAAATAAATGTACTTCAGCAGAGTATTGGAGGTTCTTGGGCTGCAGAAGATGGCTTTGGGGATGGTGTTTATTTATAGTGAGAGTTATACTAGTTACACTTCTGTAAATATGACACAGAGTATGAGTCAAAATCACTGTGAAAAAAGTTTGTGAGCAAGACATTTCATTCCAAGTCTACTATACAACTCTCAAAGAATGCAGGTAGATAGCCAGAACCAGTTGGAAAGTATTGTTTCTCTTCCTAGTTTTCTGGCTTCTTTCAATTTTATATGAGTTTACTTTAAGAGCCATTCCTGTTCCTTCATTGTGTTCCTTTATTCAACTGCAGCTTGACTGGCTGAGTACTGAGTAGGTGTTAACTGCAGTCATCTAATAGAAGGTGATGTGATAACTGCTTTTCAGTCCACTACTTTTTTATAAGTTTAGATGACCAGAGCATCTGAAAGGAGAAAAATATATTTTATTAATGTTTAAATAAATAAAATCCATGCTTACTTTTTTTTTCCCCAAAATGTTGAAAAATTGCCAGAAAAAAAGGAGATCTATACTTATAGAATCATAGAGTCATAGAATAGTTAGGGTTGGAAGGGACCCTAAGGTCATCAAGTTCCAACCCCCCTGCCATGGGCAGGGACACCTCGCTCTAAACCATATCACCCAAGGCCTCGTCCAACCTGGCCTTGAACACCGCCAGGGATGGAGCATTCACAACCTCCTTGGGCAACCTATTCCAGTGCCTCACTACCCTAACAGGAAAGAATTTCCTCCTTATATCCAATCTAAACTTCCCCTGTTTAAGTTTGAACCCATTACCCCTTGTCCTGTCACTACAGTCCCTAATGAAGAGTCCATCCCCAGCATACCTATAGGCCCCCTTCAGATACTGGAAGGCTGCTATGAGGTCTCCACGCAGCCTTCTCTTCTCCAGGCTGAACAGCCCCAACTTTCTCAGCTGATCTTCATATGGGAGGTGCTCCAGTCCCCTGATCATTCTTGTGGCCCTCCTCTGGACTTGTTCCAACAGATTCGTGTCCTTTTTATGTTGAGGACACCAGAACTGCACACAATACTCCAAGTGAGGTCTCATGAGAGCAGAGTAGAGAGGCAGGATCACCTCCTTCGACCTGCTGGTCACACTCCTTTTGATGCAGCCCAGGATACAGTTGGCTTTCTGGGCTGCAAGCGCACACTGCAGCCGGCTCATGTTCATTTTCTCATCGACCAGCGCCCCCAAGTCCTTCTCCGCAGGGCTGCTCTGAATCTCTTCTCTGCCCAGCCTGTAGCTGTGCCTGGGATTGCTCTGACCCAGGTGTAGGAACTTGCACTTGTCATGGTTGAACTTCATGAGGTTGGCATCAGCCCACCTCTCAAGCGTGTCAAGGTCCCTGTGGATGGCATTCCTTCCCTCCAGCGTATCAACCGAACCACACAGCTTGGTGTCATCGGCAAACTTGCTGAGGGCGCACTCAATCCCACTGTCCATGTCAGCAACGAAGATGTTGAACAAGACCGGTCCCAACACCGATCCCTGAGGGACACCACTCGTTACTGGTCTCCAGCTGGACATTGAGCCATTGACCACAACTCTTTGTGTGCAGCCAGCCAGCCAGTTCTTTATTCACCGAGTGGTCCATCCATCAGATTGATGTCTCTCCAATTTAGAGACAAGGATGGCGTGTGGGACAGTGTCAAATGATTTACACAAATCCAGGTAGATGACATCAGCTGCTCTACCACTGTCCATCAGTTCTGTAGCCCCATCATAGAAGGCCACCAAATTGGTCAGGCAGGATTTCCCCTTAGTGAAGCCATGCTGGCTGTCACCAAGCACCTTGTTGTTTTCCATGTGCCTTAGCATACCTTCCAGGAGAATCTGCTCAAAGATTTTGCCAGGCACAGAGGTGAGACTGACTGGTCTGTTATTCCCCGGGTCATCCATTTTCCCCTTCTTGAAAATGGGGGTTATATTTCCCTTTTTCCAGTCGTCGGGAACTTCACCTGACTGCCATGATTTTTCAAATATGATGGCCAGTGGCTTAGCAACTTCATTTGCCAGCTCCTTCAGGACCCACGGATGGATTTCATCAGGACCCATGGACTTGTGCGCGTTCAGATTTTTAAGATGGTCTTGAACCAATTCCTCTCCTACAGTGGGCCCAAGGTCTCCATTCTCACAGTCCCTGCGTCTGCCTTCCAAGACTTGGGTGGTGTGATCAGAGCCTTTGCTAGAGAAGACCGAGGCAAGGAAGTCATTCAGAACCTCAGCCTTCTCCAAATCCTGTGTAGCTAGTTCACCCAAGAGCTTCCTGAGGGGGCCTACACTCTCCCTAATCTGTTTTTTATTTGCTATGTACCTGTAGAGTCCCTTCCTGTTATCCTTAATATTCCTAGCCAAGTTGAATTCTAACTGGGCCTTAGCTTTCCTAACCTGGTCCCTAGCTTCCCGGACAACATCCTTGTACTCCTCCCAAGCCGCCTGTCCTTGCTTCCAGTTTCTATAAAACTCTTTTTTCATTTGAATTTTCCTCAGGAGCTCCTTATCCATCCAAGGAGGTCTCCTGGCCCTCCTGCTGCACTTCCTTCTGGTTGGGATGCAACACTCCTGAGCTTGTAGCAGGTGATCCTTGAAGACCAACCCCCTGCCCTCCAGGGCTATATCCCACGGAACCTTACTAAGCAGGTTCCTGAAGAGGCCAAAGTCTGCTCTGTTGAAGTCCAGGGCAGTGAGCTTGCTGCACGCTCTTCTCACTGTCCTGAGGATCTCAACTTGAACCATCTCGTGGTCGCTGCGTCCAGGGCTGCCCTGGAGCGTCACATTTCCAATGAGCCCTTCCCTGTTGGTGAGCACGAGGTCAAGCATGGCACCTCTCCTTGTCGGCTCCGCTATTACTTGCAGAAGGAAGCTGTCTCCCACACAATCGAGGAACCTCCTGGATTGCTTGTGCCGGGCTGTACCGTCATTCCAACAGACGTCAGGGTGGTTGAAGTCACTCATGAGAACAAGGGCCTGTGAGCGTGAGGCTTTTCCTATCTGCTTATAGAGTGCTTCATCCGCAGATTCCTCTTGATCAGGCGGTCTATAACAGATCCCCACAGTAATGTCTCCCATCGCTGTTTTTCCCTTTAACCCTGATCCACAAACTCTCTGTTAACTGATCACCTGTCCCCAGACAGAGTTCCATACTCTCCAGCCTATCCCTAACATAAAGGGCAACTCCCCCTCCAAGCCTGCCAGGCCTGTCTTTTCTGAAGAGTCTGTAACCTTCCATTCCAACACTCCAGTCATAGGAGCCATCCCACCATGTCTCTGTGATGCCTGTAATATCATACCCCTATAGACGAGCAAACATCTCTAATTCCTCTTATTTGTCCCCCATGCTACAGGCATTTGTATAGATGCATCTGAGCCGAGCTCCAAATGAAGCTGGCTCATTGGCTGGAGCAGTCGGAATGTATCTCCATTGCTCCGAGCATTTATTATAGGTGCTGGCAACTGGTGACTAGGTGTGTTGGGACGGAATGATGCCCCCCTCCCCCAACACATCTAGTTTAAAGTCTCCTTGACCAGTCTGGCAAGCCTCCTACCAAAACTGCTCTTCCCCTTCTTTTATCGGACCAGCTCCACCAGTCCCTGCTAGACCTGGCCTACAAACTTGGGTCCCATGTTCAAGACACCCAAACCCCTGCCTGTGACACCACCCTTTTAACCATTTATTAACCAGGATAATCCTCCTAGCTTTTTTTAGGTCCTCCCCTGTATCCTGGAGAATAGACGAAAAGACTGTCTGAGCTCCAGAGCCCCTAACCACCTCTCCCAGGGCTCTGTAGTCCTTCTTTATGTTCCCCAGGCTACTACTGTCTATATCCCTTGCACCCACATGTATCACCAGAAGTGGGTAATAGTCCGTGGGGCTTACCAGAGCAGGCAGCCTTTCTGCCACATCCCTGATCCGTGCCCCTGGTAGGCAACACACCTCCCTTGAGACCGGGTCAGGCCAACAGACGAGTGCTTCTGTTCCTTTCAGAGTCCCCTACTACTAGGACCCGCCGCTTTTTCCTGGCAGCACCAGTAGAAATCTTTACTAGTGCATCAGCCAGCTGTTTCTGGCGCAAGTGCGTTTCCTCGTGAGCCCTCTGCAGGACAGCAAAGCGGTTCTGCGTGGGGGCAACAGGTTTAGGAGGAAGTCCCTTGCTTTCAATTGTCCTTTTCCTCCTTTTTTTGTTGTTTTTTTTTTTTTTGTCACCAATTCCCAGCTTCGAGGGTTAACAACCTCCTTCTTTCCTCTATGAGCTACAGGGGAACCTTGAGGACTCTGCACAGTTTGGGCAGGGAGCAAGCAGTCCTGCTTCCTCTCAGCTACCCTGACACCTTGTAGCCTATTAATAGCTTCCTGCAGCTCAGCCACCTGCTGCAGGAGAGCCTCCACCAGGGAGCACCCAGTGCAGCCCTGCCCATTGTGCACCTTTCCCTCACCACACCAGTTGCAGGCACTCTCTACACCCTGAAGTCTGCAAGTAAGTCATACCACCTTGTTATTCTTTGCATCACAGTAAGCTCATCAGAGAATCCGAGCAGCCACAAGCATAGTACATTGAAAAAGCTTTGTGAGTGTGATTGACTTGGAGTTCAGATACTGATTCTGAGTAACATCTGTAGGATTTGTAATTAACAAGACCGGTGAGATTTAATCTTTTTAGTTGGAATAAGTTCTCTTTGGTGCTCAGTATCCCGGACTGCTTCTTTTGTCTTCATATACAGTTGAAACACTGCCCCATTGTTTCAGTTCAGCTCAGACTGTGACAAAGTTTAGAATATCCCACTACTGATAACTATTAGTTGTTACAGAAATTTGTATTGTGGCAAATACAAATTTGCCACAATACAATAAAATCACATTATACAGCATCTACTACTATCCCTTATCCATACAAGCAGTCATACATTGGGTTAGTCAGTACATTTTAGCATTGGTAAATCTATGCTTGCTGTTCCCAGTCACCTTTCTGTGCAGTATTTTGTTGCCAGTATCACCATAGGTAATACTGGTATTATTACCAATAATATTGTTAATAATACGATGTTTCAAATTAAGTTCTACTTACACAGTAGGAAAGTACATCTTCTGCATCACTTAAGAACCAGCCTTGTTTACAAATTTGCTGTCAAACTAGCAATAATTAGTTTCTGTTCTTCACTGTAGTATACAAATGACTTGCATACTGACAAAGGAGCCAGTACATCTGTTTCTCCAAAACTTAAAGGTTTCTGATAAAGGTAGGTTTGTACTACAACATGCTGTGAGCTGGACTGACTGAAGCACAAACATGCATCCCATTTTTTCGGCTTTTTAAGATAGTGACTTTTATCAGGGTTTGGGGGTTGTTGGCGCCTGAAGAGCAAAATTCCACGCCGATGGTCTACATTAATGAAAATGAAGGCTGCTGGTTTGTTGTTTGTTGTTTTTGGGGTTTTTTTCTCCTGTTGGTTAATGGTGAGCTGAGCTAACCAAAATTAACAAAAAATAAACCAAACCTATTTTTAATTAAAAAAAAAAAAGTCTTCCAGCTAGTCTAGTACCTTATGCTGGCTTGCTACATGGCTGCTCAAGGGAATGGGTACATAAGCAGAGGGGCTGGATGAGAGCCCTTCAGCTCCAGTGTATATTGCCTTAAGTCACACTAGAGTACTATCCCCACAATTTATGGATGGTATGTACTAACAAAAAATAGTTTTGCTTGATGAGGCCAGTACAAGGCTGTATTAACAAAATTTTGCCAATAAAAAGAGCATCTTCACTAGGTTGGTTTACGAAGCTGACCATAGTGCCAACATCTTTTTTATTTTAGGTGTTCAAGATCTTTTCTGTTTGTTTATTTCTGTGTGGAAGGAAGTTGTTCATTGAATTTAAACTTTACATTTAAACTTCTAAACCAGTAGTGCTTTTTGCTTGTTAGAATTAGGATCAGGTAAGAGCTGCTAGATAGATTTTGATATATTGACAAGGAAGGGATGAAGTTTACCTCCAGATTCATGTTACCCTATCCTCCTTAAGGGGTAAATAAATATGAGAAAAGACAAGAAGATGATGGATTTATTATCTTGACCTTGTACTGCTGAGAAGGTAGCCATTGGATAATGAACAAGGGGAGCAAGTCATCTCTACTAGGAAAATTGTAGTAATAAAGAAGCTATTACTCACTCCATGTTTGTTGTGCTCTAGAAAACCATCACCATTGTGATATAAATTCACAGTGATTTATAGTTATCTTTCTCCTCCTGTCTGACTGCTTTATTTCTTAGTCTGTGACTATTGGGGAATGTTGTAGAGGACGAGTGACTTGTTCTAATACAGTGTGCTATGGGTTGTCACGCATTCTAATGTCTGGTATTTCAGATGATGTGCAGGAGGCTTATAACCTGATGAAGGACCTGGAACCTACAGCTCCACAGGTAGTTGGAAACTGATGTCATGGTATATAAAGACAGAGATTATAAGTGGATATGAAATCTGCCACATACAAAAGTGGTATCCTGAGGACAGCTTGTCCCATTCCCACTCTTAAAACTCTTCTGTTTTGCATCTTTATCAACAATAGACTTAATGTGCATGCATAAATTATATATGTGAATATATGAATACTTAGGATGTTTTTTACTGTACCTCTTGGGATTAACTAAGAATACATACAAGAAATAATATTTCTGTAAAAATTAGCTAGATTAGATTAAATGTTTTAAATAACAGGTCTTTTCTAATCCTATCTCACTTTGGCTGCAATGAGTGGGAAGTGCAGTGTCCCTTGGCTGCTACTGTAATTTTCTTTTGTGGCTGTTCCAACATCCTTAGTCTCTGATTTATTCCTCTTTGCAGTTTATTTTCCAAAGGTCACATAGCTGGGCATGAAAGGGACCTTTCATGAGTCTGTGTGAGAATTAGATGGAGGGAGGGGAAAGAAAACCTCAAGAACACAGATCTGGTGATTCTGTGCTAAGGAGTGTCTTCTGCTGTTGCTTTCCACTTCTTGCATTTTTCAGTATAGCAAGACTTACGTGAATGGTTTTTTGGCATCCTTTTTGGCAGATCCTTTAGCCTCTGTTTCTGATATATGTGCCCAATACACATAACATAGTGTCATTCTCAGTCACATTTCGAAACAAGAATCTTTGTGAGTTTTTTTCCCCCTATTTTCTCACATGGAACTCCCCGCTAAGACTTGCAAAACTACTTGTATATCCTTCTGCAGGTCTTCTCAAATTTCTTGTTTGTCATGATACCTATAGGGTAATAATTTGGCATCTGTAAGAGAGTTGGTAAGAGTGCTAAAATTATTATTTACCATGCTGCCTAGTACTCTCAGATTATTTCTTTGCACTCCATTGTTGGGCTCTGTAGGTGTTTCTCTTTCTCCTATGACAGTGCTGGCCAGATTTATCAAAAGTACCGATTAAAGCAGGTTTATAGAAATAATTCTTAATTAAAAGATTTTAGTAAGACAAATGAGTCTGTTACATGCTGAGAAAATCTTGTTTAGAGAAGAATTAAACTATACTTGTATCTCAGAGTAGAGATTACAGGGTACTCTAGTCCTGTTCCTAATTTCAGTAGAGTAATAAAATGATCACAGAGCACAAATCTAGTGACATTTTTGCCCTGATGAAAAATACAGTGCATTTTGGAGCAAGGATGTTAGTGGTTATACTTAACCAATATGCATACTTGATGTGAGATCTGTGCCTTAATATAACAATATAGCACTTATGATTCTTCGTTACATGATTGTGAAGAAAGCATGATAGTATGTTACGGTGTTCCTTCTGGTGCATTGTCTTTGGGCATAAGACTTACCAGAAATCACATTACACCTTTTCATCGCACATACTTGGCAGATGTGACTAGTGAGTAAAATGCGTTTTTGGGGGGTAACTTTGTCCTACTGTGCTGAAACACCATCATAGTATCATATTAACCACCTACCTCTTAAACTGATTTGGGATAGAGCTGAATTTAGGAAGAAAATATGTAGACATAGGTGGCTCTTACTCGTCTCCTGAAATCTTCACTTTGTCCTCTCTAATGCTTTTAACATTATTTTTCTTCCCCCCCCAGGAGTACATCCTCAAAGGAGTGGTAAATGCAGCAGTTGGACAAGAAATGGGCTTGGTAAGTGAAGCCCATGAGATTCTCCAACTTCTCCAACAGCAGAATACGAACAGATCTGTAGGGACCAGAATGGAGTAAAAGAGACAGTCATTTAATTGCCGGATCTCTGAGTCTCTTAATCTTCTTCTGTATAGTACTCAATCTAGAATGAGTGAAATGCAAATCTCTGTTGCTAGTCCTGACAATAAATCAAGATGAATTTGGCTTTTCTGTCCTGCTTCCAAAAGGCCTGTTTGCCTTCTAGAAATATACAGTGGTACATCTCTGTCCATTCCTCAGCGTGTATTTTCACTGTGTATTGGAGCATGAGCTCTGGAACTCATGTTGGGTTTGTGGTTTTGTTTTTGTCTCCCAGAGAGATCATCTGAAAATTGCTCAGCAGTTTTTCCAGTTGGTGGGTGAATCAGCCAGTGAATGTGGTATGTTCAAAATGTTCTTTCTCCATTATGTAATCCTTCTTACAGTATCCAAATATATACCATCATATCTCTGTCTAACTGCTGACTGTTAGCATGACACTTGCTAGGTATTTTGTTGCTATAGTGTGAGTAACAGTCTAACATATATTTGAAAACAAATTTGCAAGCTTAAATTAGCAGTCTCAATTGATTCTAAACCTTACTGCATGAATTTGGCTGGAAAAGAGGCTATACTGCAAGCTGCTAGTCTTCACTGATAGATTCAGTGGCAGTTTGCCTTTGACTAATCCCATTACAGAAACAGAAGACAACAGCATAATTAGAGGAAGTGTGCAGCTGAAGCCTCACAGGTACAAATCTAGGACTGCTAGCAAATGCCTATTGAGTTCATAGAGCTCTAGCACAAGTGTGCCCTGGAACTGAGGATGATAAAAATGTAAAGAAGAACTGGACTACAGAGAGAAATGGAGGCTCTGTGACTAACTCTTTGGTGGAATTAAAAAAATAAGAAAGCAAAAATGAAACTTAACAACAAAATCAATATATTTTCAATATTTACTTATTCAATAATATACCAAAACAAGAGCTTGTTTTCCCTTCTCCTTACCAAAGTAAAACCAAAATCCCAAGTAAAAAGACAGTAGTTGGAACACAGAAATTCAGCCAAAATGGTGCTTCAATTGTAGGCATTTTCTCTAGAATTGTTTCTTTAGGTGGATAACTTAAGCATGTTTATAGTGCTTATAGTCCTCAGAGACAGAACGCTGTCTCCTGCGTCCATGGTGACTAAAGAGAAGGAGCTCAAGAGGCAGAGCGACAGCACTGATGAAACTTTCAGAAATACTGTTGAGCCATTATGTTCCTCTTGCAGCCCTTATTCTGTTGAGATTATGCAGCAGGGCGTTTCATGTTGGAAGGCTGGAAGTGATTCCATAGATGAGGTTTTTCTAACACATTCATTTTGCATTGGGGCTTTCCCTTTGGAGCTGGGATCCAAGTTAATAGAAAGAAGCAATGTGAACTGCAGTAGTGGAGAATTCAGTGGGCATATAACTAACAGGGTTTGTGATGCCAGTAAAGTCAGCGTGAGTGATAAAATGGTGGTAGACCTCTTAATGCCCATAACAGTCATGCAGGTGTCGTGAGTGACTGTAGCACACATGGATAAAAATAATGCAGAGACAGTCTGAGAAGAGATACCCTGAAAAGATGTATAGTGAAGATGTAGCCCAAACCCAAAATTGAAATTGTTAGGAAGCTAGAAGACTTAATTTTATTGTGAAATATTTTTAAACCCATATGCAGAACAAGATAGAGAGGCTGAGACTTGAGGTATGGTTGAGGGGCAGAAAGGAGGGAAAAAAAAAAGAATAAAAGAACAGAAATGTAGTTCAATTAAGAAGGTGGGTTATTTGGGAAAAAAATGAGCCTATGGGAAGGATCGGTTCCAACTAAAGGTTAAGTGGAAACATTGGTTTCCACTGCAAGCATCTTAGAGGCTTGGTACTTCCATGTAAAAACTGCTTTGTCATCTTTTTAGAAACTTGTGGGAGAAAGCTTACATACAGAAGAGCACACAGTTCAGAGTAACTCCTCCTTTAACAGTGAAATAGTGCGGGGGTTTTTGTAGCTTCAAATAGATGACAGATGGAGGTAAACAAACTGTAGACAGGAAACAGAAGAGGCAAACAGAATTCATTTTAGATAGGACAAAACAAAAAGCAAACACATGAAAACCAAATATGTAAGTGTTTTTAGACAAAGATGTTTTAAAAGAAGATGAATAAAGTAGAGCACCTGAGTTTAGAAGAGGAAGGTATCAACCTAAATTAATTTTTAAATGTGATAGGAGGAAGGTAACATGTAGAATATTGTTCCTATTTAATCTATAATGCGGTATTACTAAATAGATGATGCTAGTGGAGAAGTGGTTCTAAATGTTATAGAAACCTTGTCTCAGAGTAAAGTAAATATATTTTCTTTATCAGTGAGTAACATGAAATTGTTTTAAATTACATGCTCAAATAGGAATTACCATATTAAGGCTAAATATTCACCAGCCAGCCTGGATGGGAACAGTGAGTGGCATATTAAAGAGGTTAGAGTTTTTATATAGAAAGATAATTCAGTAATTGTTGGAGACTTCTATTCTGCCCATATTGCCCTACTAAATGCAATGACATAGCATGATATAAAGAATTCATTTTTAAATGCCATGTTTTTATCTTTCCTACAGGACACACAAGTGAGCAAGTGACTCTAGACCGATATAAAGATTACATAGAACCTGATTAGAAATTTTATAATGAAAATCTCGTTCTGATACAGCGATCTGAGTATAATCAAATTCAAAATTCATGTGTTAGCAAATACCTCAAAAAAATCCCACAGTACTAATTTCAAGAAAGGAAGCTACATAATAACCTTTCTCATTTCTAACAGAAATCTTTTATTGAAGTAGGAGTGAAAAGGATAAAATGCACCTGATTTGAACACTTGAAGGAACCTTTTGTTTCTTTAAAGAAAGGGCTTGTATTCATAATTAATGAGGTATAGGGGACAAATAATGACATGACTAGGTTTGCCAATGGTATGAAATTACCCAATGAAGGAAAAATGAAAGCTTTCAGAATCATGAAAGCTGTGGAAGAATATCTGAGGCTCGGTAATAATATGCAAATTGAATTTAGCTTTGATTAATGCAAAGTAGTCTATGGTGGGGGCGGGACACCTTAAACTGTATTTGCAAAATTATCAGAAAAGTTGAAGAGAATTTTAGGAATTAACGAGGAAAGAGAGAACAAAACAAAATAATTACTGTGTCATTGGCTGTTTAACACAATATTTCAGTGATGATTAGGAAGTCTGCAGTGCAGATTGTTGGAAGCTAGGGGAAACTTCGAAGGAAGTAGCATTACATAGCACAGCATGTATTACATTTGAAATCAGAATATATTCTTTTGATACCTATATTCTTATTCAGCAAGCTTCTGAACCAGATAGACTTTGGCTCCAATAGGATATTTTTCATGTTTTTATGTAACTTAGCATGTTAGCCACTATGTTGTATATTTGTGGTCGGTTTTGTTCTGCTGCCTTTGTTTTGCTGGATTTAGAATTAAGAACAGAATTCTTGCTGTTTGGGGTTTTGCTAAATAGCCTGCTCCTGCTATTCAAGTATGTAAGTTGTGCTTCAGCACTTCCCACTGGGCCAGACCTTGCAAGGAGCTTGTACCACTAGATTGTCTGTTTAAGATCTTTATCAAGTCACTTAGCTGCTTTGTTACAAAAGTAGGTTGTGTTCACTAGTGAGTAAATCCTTTGCTCACAACTGTGTCTACAGGGCTCCTGATTTTAATGTGTTTTATCAAAAATTAATGGACTAAAATGAAGATGTGGAATATTTTTTCATTACAGATTTCTTTCTGACTTGCTCTTCTTAACTGTAGAAATCCCATGACCGCATTAAGAAAAAAGCAACATCAGAGAGTTTAAGAAATACACAGTGTAATGTGTTTGTATATGTACACATTTCGTCTCATGTTGAAAGTTATGTATTTTAGGAGGATTAGGGACACCCAAACAAAAAAAAACCACCAAAACCAACCCCCACATCCCTCAAATCAGGAAGTACTTACAATGTAGGAGTCTGTACTCCCCCTCTAGCAGCAATGAATAACATCCAGAACAGCAGCTTGGTTTACTGCTTTGTGTTTGGGTTTTTGTAAGCTTATTAAAAATACTTAATCCCAGTGACATGACATAGAACTGGTATTACAAAGGAGGATATAAGTAGATTTTTATAATTAATTCTCATGCTCTTCTCCCAGAGTCTCAACTGGGTGGAAAATTAAACAGACCAGATTTCTGAGATAAGTTAAGGATAAAATAGGGCAAGAGGAACATTAGTGAAAGTAAACTATCATCAACATTTCCATTAAGTGCAGTGTTTCTTGGTGCTTAACATCAGTCTTACAAATTGTCCTAAAAACACTGGAAGGATAATGGAGGAAAGCACTCCTTTCATTTTCACTGTTCCTCTTTTAGGACCAAGCAAGTGGGAGGAATGAAACACTTCTGGACTTTGTGCAGTCTTTTCTTCAAGGTATTCTTAGGTCACCTGAAGAAATTTTTCAAAACGAGAACTTTTTTCTCTTCCTGCATGAGTCACATGGGATGAACTAGGACTATAAAATTCTAGGGGGTTTGCCAGTAGTTTTTGCTGAGATGAGTGAGATTTGCAGGCGTTCTACTTGGTTTTTTAATGAAATCTTCCACTAAAAATACATGGAGGATGGTATACTGTGATAATGATCATTTGACATCATGAAGTCCTAGTGATTTGACATCACTTGCATTTGTGCCTTCCTAGCTGTTGCTTGGGCTCACCCAAAAAAGTGAAGTGCAAGGTCCTACACCTGGGTCGGAGCAATCCCAGGCACAGCTACAGGTTGGGCAGAGAAGTGATTCAGAGTAGCCCTGCAGAGAAGGCCTTGACCGACACTGACATGACAGTCAGTGAAAAACTGAACATGAGCTAGCAGTATGTGCTGGCAGGCCAGAAACACCCATGTCAAGGGTTGCATGAAAAGGAGCGTGACCAGCAGGTCGAAGGAGGTGATCCTGCTCTGACTCTGCTCTCATAAGACCTCAGTTGGAGTATTGTGTGCAGTTCTGGTGTGCTCAACATAAGAAGGACATGGAGCTGTTGGAACAAGTCCAGAGGAGGGCGACGAGGATGATCAGGGGGCTTGAGCACCTCCCCCATGAAGACAGGCTGAGAAAGTTGGGCTGTTCAGCCTGGAGAAGAGAAGGCTGCGTGGAGACCTCATAGCAGCCTTCAAATATCTGAGGGGGGCCTACAAGGATGCTGTAGAGGGACTCTTAATCAGGGACTGTAGTGACAGGACATGGGGTAATGGGTTGAAACTTAAACAGGGGAAACTCAGGTTAGATATAAGGAAGAAGTCCTTTACTGTGAGGGTGGTGAGGTGTGGAACAGGTTGCCCAAAGAAGTGTTAATGCTCCATCCCTGGCGGTGTTCAAGGCCAGGTTAGAGAGAGCCTTGGGCGACATGGTTTAGTGAGAGGCATCCCTGCCCATGGCACGGGGGTTGGAACTTGATGATCTTAAGGTCCTTTCCAACCCTCACCATTCTATGATTCTATGATCCATTTCTGACCAGTCTCTGCTGATTGAGTCTTATTAAAATTAGTCCTAGTAAGCTTACTTCAGAATCTCTAAAAAAGTTTTAAAATAGTTCTTGAGTAGCACAGCATGCAATTTTGGGGCAGATTACAGCATAGCATGATGGTAAAAAGTTTACAATAACATAGTGGCAGCAAAGTTTACTGACACTTACTTGTACTGATATGCCTAATTTATTTATGGCCTCACTACTTGTGAGCAATTTGGTAATCCCAAATGCATGGAAGTTAATTTTCATGTTGTCTTTTTTCATTCAGTGGTTTTCTTGTGTGTTTTTTTGGTTTTGGTGGGTTTTTTTTGGGTTTTTTGTTTTTTGTTTTTTTTTTGTTTGTTTGTTTAATACCAGTATTTTCAGCATATCAGGTTTACTTTCTTAGTGAAACTAAAATTAAAATATATCGATCTTCTTTGTCCAGGATAACTGAAAAGCTTAATTTTAAAGGTTGGACTTGATTATCTTAATGCGCTTTTCCAACCTAGTTGATTCTATGATTCTATGAAAAAAAAAAAGCCTAGCTAGGTTAGAATAGCAAACTCAGGCTTTGTATGAAGTGTCCTAAGTGTGAGAATAACTCTCAGTAAAATTATGTTACGGAAATTGTGCCATGGAGAAGGCCTGTTACTTAAACAGTTTGTCTCCATAGAATTTGCTGTTGAATACAGTCTTGCAATAGTTATTGCATGCTGTAGAGAAAGTTGACAAGATGAACTAATAGTTTTTCTAACCTCTAGTATGGTCCTTTGCCTGAAAAGGCAAGCTATGCTATTTTTAGAAGTTAGCTGCTTTCACAGTTGCCAGCCACCTTGGCAGTGATTTCCATTACCATGTGACTTTTAAGTTCTACAAATTTGCATTTCTCTTTTGAATTTTAGATACCATTCCAGGAAGACAGTGCATGTCCTCCTACTTCTTTCTTCTTAGACAGTTTGGTAATGTCCTGATTTACCTCAACTCAGTCAAGGTTAGTATTATTATTTAGTACTCTAATGCATGGAATGAATACTAATGGAATTAGACTGTACTGTATGAGACACTGTGTAAACATAAAAGGATACAGAAACACAACAGTAACAACAAAACACAGGAACAAGTGAGATGTAAGTGGTCAGGTACAGCAAAAGGCTCAAAATGTGAAGAAGCTGTTTTTAAGATAGCATTGTGCAGCATGATGGGCATTATGGTTTCCTCATACTTGCAATTTAACCATTATCAGGCTTTCTGGTGGCATCACAGAATATGAGGAAGATAATTATAGGAAGACAATGAAAAAATGGGGGTATTTATGGAGTGGGCAACATGGAGAAGAGCCAACAAACCAACCAAACAAATGTCTTCTCAAGATTTACCAAATAAGTGATGGAGATTATTGACAATTGCTATATTGTGAACATCATTTTAATAAACAAGAGTGTGTAAGGAATATAGGACATGAAAGATCTGGAAAGTAGTAATGCTTATATTTTCCAGGGAGAGCAGCCACTGAACAGCTAAGATAGGGCATTACTACCAAAGCAGTAAGCTAAGAACATTATTTTTGCATAAATAATCTGAGTGGTACCCTTCAGGCAATGTTGCATTTTTCAAAGTAAGAGAAGGTGTTTGCAGTTGTTACAATACAGCATTACCGGATTACCAAAATTCAGTGGATAAAATGGGTGTAATTTACAGATACCCAGTTATAAGTCAGATGTGAGGGGAGAGAGAGAGGCTGGAGTGTGATTAAACAACTGGAGTTTTCTTCCAATTATTTGAAACTAGAGCTCTAAGAACTCTGTATTTGGTAGGAAGAGGAACAAGTATCTAAAAAGAAATTACTAAGGGGATACACGTGATAAGCAAAATCGCAATGTTCTAAGGTGGGTGAGATCTAAAGAAAAACATGCCCTGGCAGTGCTCAAGGCCAGGCTGGGCAGAGCCTTGGGTGGTTTAGTGTGAGGTTTCCCTCCCCATGGCAAGGGGGGCTGGAACTAGATGATTTGAAGGTCCTTTCCAACCCTAACTATTCTGTGATTCTGTGTAATGGTGGCAAAAGCATCTGGTGGGTGAAAAATGAAGGTGCAGTGTTTTTAAACTTTACCTGGAAAGACATCACTGAAGAAATCCCAAGTGGCTGTAAGCACTGGAATGGCTCCACTGTAGACATACACCATCACCACCCCAAATTGAAGTGTGAGTACAGTCGAAGGAAAGGAGAGCTGGAACCTTAACAGTGAGATTTGTTTTGCCTAACTTGAGCCATCTAAAAGTCAGATTTCTAAGTTATAACCAATGATCTGGTCTCAGTCTATAGCCAAAGGGGGCAGATGGTAATTTCCAGAGGAAAATTCATCCTATGTATTTCCTACACTTTCCTTAGAATGCAATGAGTCACCCCATAGAAATGCCTAGCTCTTGCTGTTTCCTTTAAAAAGTTCTTAAACAACTAGTTCTAACCTGAAAAGTTTAAAGTTAAATGTGATTACTCACCACCTCCAAGGTATTTGGGAAAACTTAGAAATGAGAGAGAGAGAATCATCTGGGGAAACAAATGGATTTGTCATTGATATTGGAAAGTAAGGCTAGTATTTGTAAATAAAAGAGCCAGAAACAAACAAGACACTGAACAGAAATTAAGAGGGTGAAAGCAGGCAATGGAGTGAGCAGAGGAGAGGTCAAAGTCATGAGGCAAGAGAATTGCTATGGGGGGGGATTAGATGAGACAATTATGCATCTGTGAGGGTATAAAGGAAAGTGTCATAGGAAGGGTTGGAAAGACAATCTGAAGAGAAAAGGAAGAGCACAGAATACTCGGTGTTACTTTGTAAGATGTTAGTAAGAGCCTATGCAGTGAAAGTATAGGTGAGGAATAGATTTAATGCTTAAAAACTGTCAGAAGGGAGGCAGAAACAGTGACAGGTACAAATAGCCAAGCCTTCAATCCTGCTATATTTATCAACTAGAAGGAGCATTTGACCTTGTGAAATTTGGGAGAAACGATTTTATTATGTGTGCCTAGGAGAGGGGAAGGGTTATCTGACTGCTTGTGCTTGAAAGTTTTGTTTTAAAAACTTATCTGTTCTGAAAGCATGCAGAACTACTGTGATACATAACATACATATGTGGATCTCAGCTTGCAAGCTGGACTTGCCCACATATACACACCTTGGCATCAGTAACCATATGTCTGTTTTGATTTGACCCATATTTAAGCAAAGATAATACTTCCTTGGTTTTCATTATAAGGGTGCAACAAAATATTAAGCTAAGTAAAGAAAATTCAGTGTAAAAAAAAGATTGATGCCTTTCATTGCACAGTGGCATACTCTTATTTGAAATACTGACCACAACCCCCTCAAATTCTGAAAGTAAGGTGATTTGGACAATAACTAGAAATTGAAATGTTATCTAAAGACATCTAGAAGATAGACATTATTTGCTACAGAGGGAAGTTAAGAAAAGAAAATTATACAATATGAGGATTAGAATAAACAAGGTGTATTTGAAACCTCCATTTGTATTAGGAGAGGCTGAAAACAAGATACAGCTTGTTGGAATTACATCAAACTCAGTGTCTTTTCCAAGAAAACGCATTTTGTCCCTCTCAGAACACAGGTGGTTTATGAAACTAATTGTCATAGTTCAAGGTAGGGTTGAGATTGCAATTTTGGATGGTTTTATAGACTGCATCTAGCAAGTTGCAATACGATTAGGCTTAAGTAAAATACGTTGTTAAATTCTTGAAGGGGATCATAAATACTGGTATTTGAGACAATGCAGTTGATAAATAGCAAGGACTAAGGGCAAAAGTCTTCTGCCTACTACCACTTTCATTGCATGATCCTTTTGAAGTAGTTCATCATTCTCATGATTTTTTAGCTGAGACTAGCCACTGCTCAGATTTACTTAGGTCATTCCCTTTCTCTTCAGGGCACAGGGATGCAAACAGTTCTTCCTGTGCCATGTTATAGGCAAAGTTTAGGTGGCTTTACAGTGACTGGTGTGCTTCATTCACAGGGATAAAGTTTAACAGAATCTCTGCAGCTCTTTAAGTGGAGCTGTGCACTCTTGAACATTGTTTGTATTACGTTATCTCAGGAAACACCACCTTCATTCATGATTTGATTAAAACTGCTGTAGGCATGAGAATGTCTCAGAGGATACCTTATTATAAATGTATTGCCAGCTGCCCTGAGGGTGACACAATAACACTGACGATCAACTGAGAAGAAAAGCTAATTCAGGCTCAGCTGAGTTCTAGCCACAACGAATGCTTCATTGTTCAACTGGGTATCTGAGCATGTCATTGAAATGGACATCACTCAGAGCACAGTTAGTTTTATAAAATGATTGAAGACCACTAAAAAGACCTCACAAGAGTGAAGTGCAGTACATGTAATGTAGTTTGAAAAAAACAAAACGAAACATCTAGTTGCTGTGAATGCGTTGCACTATCAGCAGCACTAGTTCATTTCTATTGGTTTTGGGTTTTGCATCAGGTGTGGTCTCTAGCAGTTACACAGTTAGGATAAAATGACATTGTTTTTGAGTTTTGTTGTTGACAGAATTATTTTTTCATTTTCGTTAAAAAATACATAGGGGCTGTTTGAACAGAAGAATCATGGAATCACATAATGGGTTGAGTGGGAGGGGACCTTAAAGATCATCTAGTTCCAGCCCTGCTGCCATGGGCAGAGATATCTTCCACTAGACCAGGTGGCTCAAGTTCTCATCCAACCTGGCCTTGGAACACTTCCAGGGATGGAGCAACAACAGCTTCTCTGGGAAACCTGTGCTAGTGTCTTACCGCTCCCATAGTGAAGAATTTTTCCTAATATCTAGTCTAAATTTCTTCTCTTTGAGTTTAAAGCCATTCCCCCATGAAACTACTCATGCAGTAAAAGAAGAAACTATTCATGCAGTAAAACTAGCATTATGCTCACCAGCTTTGCTTAACCTGGACTTCTGCTGATGCACATGAAACTATCATTGAGGAAGAATACAGTAACATGTTGTAATTCTCCTACAGTGAAACCCATTAGTTCACCCTAAGGGTACTGAAATGTTTTCACAAACTGAGCGTAAGATTCACCTGATTGGTTCATCCTCATGCTTTCACATAGCTTGCTATATTTGCTATAGCTTGCTATATTTGAACCGTAATATAGACATCTGAGAAAAGGTGCTCCCTCTCCCCCCCCCAATCTCCTATCAAGGCACTAGCTTGATGTATGTGGGTGGATGGGATCAATACCCTTTGTTATCTGCCTGCAACAGGAAACAGAAGAAGTTTCTCAAGTGTCCCTACATCATGAAAGAAGATAGAGAGCTCTGGGAAGGGGGTTTACCCTTCTTTTATATCTTCCCATATCTTTTGTACAGTCCCAAGTATGCCTTCCCATATCTTTTGTACAGTCCCAAGTATGCCTATGCCTTTTACCTCCTCCTCACTGTTAAAGAGGGAACAAAACAAAAATTGTATCTTCCTACACAAGTTCTGTTTCTTTTGTAGATGCTATATAAGGAAAAACATTTCTTCTTGCTGGAGTGGGTCCAGAGAAAGCCAGTGAAGCTGGTGAAGGACGTGGAGCACAAGTCTTATGAGGAATGGCTGAGAGAACTGGGGTTGTTTAGTCTGTAGAAAAGAAGGCTCAAGGGGATCTTACTGCTCTGTACAACTACCTGCAAGGAGGATGGAGCAAAGAGGTGGCTGGTCTTTTCTCCCAAGTAGCAAGTGATAGGACAAGAGGAAACAAGGTCAAGCTGTGCCTAATATCCAATAAAGTTTAGATCGGATATTTGGAAAAATTTCTTCACCAAAAGGATGATCTGGCATTAGAACAGGCTGCTCAGGGAAGTGAATCACTGTCCCTGGAAATGTTCAAAAATCACGTAGACAAGGCCCTTAGTGACATCGTTTAGAGCCCATCCAAGGACTTGGCAGTTCTGGGGTAACAGTTGGACTGATGATCTTAAAGGTCTTTTCCAACCAAGTTGATTCCACAATTATTCCACACGCCTTGCTGTTATGCACCAGGAAGGCCTTTGTTACAGCAATTATCCTGCATAAACCACCCTGCTTTTTTCTCACGCTCTTTCATAAGCACTGCACCTCTGCTCGGCAGGGATCCTCAATTCCATCTACGCTTGTAGTTGTGGTATTGTGTTCCACCTTAGCTCTACCAGGTCTACTTGGTGTAGCAGTATAAGTGCTGAACAGAGAACACAGCTTTTGGTCATCTGAGTTATACTTCAGTCTTGACATATGACCGTTATCAAATCTAAGCTATTTGGGTCAAACCCAAGTATCAGGCTAACTTATACTTAGAGTTACATTTCCTTTTTTGGCACATACAGCTTTTCAAAAAAGATGCAGATCAACCTGACTTGTCATTAACCAGGTTTGTCCAGTTTAATATTATGGGAGAGAAAAATGTGGTGTTGCACATCGAATAGAGTGCATGTAAGCAAAGGCTGAGCTCAAAGAAGTCTCACTGCACCTATTACACACCAGGCAGGTGTGCTGCCTGCCTACAGCTGCTACTGCAACTCCACCTCCATCATGGGATCCAGTGTGTCAGACTAGCATATATCACACAGCCAGATACACAGGATCTCCTGTTGCACCTTGAGAAGTCGTGGAAAAACAAACTGTTCATCTCCTTAAGCCATTAGGGAGTCAACTACTTATTTACCACCCTAGTGGTGAAATAAGTGCTTAGGAGGTGAAAGAGACTATGGCAGCACAGCGTGTCTTCACATGCCTGAAGTGAAAATTATACCCACAAAGCTGCCACTGCAATTTTGATCTTGAAGCATTCCCCAGACATCTCATGGTTAATATTGTGGAATGTTCCAGCTGTGTTTGTAGTCATGAATGTAGGATGGAAAGTCAGTCCATAATTTTCTACCCACTGTTTATAAATGCCCTATGTTCATAATGTGGGTTTTTCTTTTTCCTTCCCATTGTCTTGTTATAGTCTAACTCAGATTGGAGAGCAGGGGTATTTTTAATGTTGTTATACCATGGGAGGAGGGGTTTTTTCTTATTTATTTGGATTTTGTCTGTGCATCTTATTTTCCAGAGTTACTTCTACAATGATGATACTTTTAACTTCAACTATGCTCAAGCCAAAGCTGCCACAGGCTGTTTTAATGAGGCTGAAGAGGTATGCATTTACTTACCTTAAAAAACAGTGGAAACATTTCCCACATACTTTCTTCTTTCCTTCATTTTTTTCGCTCCAGATCTTCATGTTGGTTGAAAATAAGCAGGTTGTGTAGAATATAATCTTCCCCTTCTTAGAGGAAGTGAAATTCTCAGTGAACACCATTCAGAAAAGATTATCTTGCTAATCTTGTAATGTGAGCTATATGGGAAGCCATGCTGCTTGTGGTGCATCACAAGAGTGCTTGCAGCTATCTCTAATTGATCAAAGAATGCCCTCTTAATCAGATTTCCTACGCTTTGTCTGGGATCCCAGGCAGTCTTATTGTTCAGGCTGACAGGGGCATGCTGAGTAAAAGACATCAAATAGTTAGGAGCTTCTAGGTATCCCTAGAAAATTGTATATAAATAAATAAATAGATGTATGTCTTCCTCTGAGAAATGTGCAGGGAAATGAGGAAATGTTCACTATCTTATTCAGCAGTATCCAGATGCAGCTGGAAGAGATTAACTTCTACACACAGCATTTTTTGCGTCTGTGTGCACTAGAAACTTAATTACAACTAAAATATGCAAAAGCAAATAACTATTATAAAGATGGAAGCAACATTTTTCACAAGACCAGAAAGAAGACAAGCCAGAAAAAATCCCAACAAAACAATCATGTAGTCAAAAGTGAATCATACAGGGGGTTTTGGTTTGGGTTGGAGTTTTTTGTTTGGTTTCTTTTGTTTGTTTGCTTGGTTTTCCTGTCTTTTTAACTCTTCAGGTTTCTCAACAATGGAGCCCCCTGTTTTTTTCTTTTTCTCTTCCCCCCTCTCCGTACCCACACCCACACCCTTAATTTCTGTAACCTGAAATTGCATCTGTCTTTAAGAAAAATATCCAAGACTGTCATGCAAAATGGATATATATTTCAATTCACCTACCTTAAATTTAGTTAGCTTAATGAAAATGTAGGTGACTCTTTCAAAACTATGCTACTAGGCTACAGTGATTCCTGAGACTTCATAAAAATGATAATGCTGCAAGTAAGCTTTAGCTGCAGCCAGGCAACAAAGAAACACGGAGCTGTAAACTGCTGTTAATCCGCATTTTCCCTCTTACGTTCTTATAAATGATTCTATATAAACTTGGGCTTATAGCTGATGCGTTTAAATAACAGAATTATGTAATTACATTGATTAGTCTGGCCTAAGGTGTGACGGTTGATTGTGATGATACTCTCATAGAAAGATCACCCCTCCTCCAGTGTCTCATAATCTCGTAAAATACCTCCACATATAGCACATAAGTTATTTAAAAGCTTACCTCCCTAGAAGTAATGAAATAAACCTATGATAAAGTTCTACTTACAGTGACAGTGCTGCTTTCTTTTTATTTCTTCCCTCCTACCCCTTCCCCTCCTTTCACCACCACCTCCCCTCTTCTCCCCCCCCCCCCCCCAGCCCAAATTAGGGGATCAGCAATGTTTAGCCAGTAAAAATGTCAGTAAATTGTCAAACTTCCTGTTCCAGCACATATATCTGTTCCTATAAAGGTATTTGGAGTTTTGCCAGTAGCATCCTAGTATAGCTACAGATATACCTGCAGAGGGGCATAAATAGCTGTTTTCTGTGAGAAAAGCCAGAATACATTATTAAATGTATAACTTTTCCACACACATCCCTTTAGATGTAGAATGTAATAAACCAGTATTTGTACAGTAAGTTACAAAAGACAAATGTTTTGGCTCAGAACCCTACTGAATCCGAAAGGGTTCGAAATGTTTTATTGCTGACCTGGAATTCTCTCTGACATGTATAGGGAGGAAAGGCTCATATATATGTGAAAATTCTGGTATTTCAAGAAGATGCTAATGTAATTGCTTGCACTGCTTTCTAAACAAACACATTCCAAATAGCTTTTCCCACAGGCCCAGTGTTCCTTTGTGCTGTTTGTGTTGCATGGCCGCCCACTGGCACTTGCTCAGAGTAGGCCGCACCCTCCTCACAGCTTGCTGTTTCGAAGCTGTACAAGTCCCATGATAAGCATGGCCCTGTTTGAATCCTCCACCTACTCGACACAGAGAGATGAGATACCCCCACACTGCACTTGCATACCCTATCTCTTCTCTTGAAGCAGTCATTCATGTGGCTTCAGCCTTAGCTGCATGTTGAAACGAGGCAGGTCTGCCTTCTGTTTGTTTAAAAGTAGGTGCATGTATAATCTTTTATTTTCATTTTTCCTTCAGGTGTTCCTTTTGATCCGGAGTGAGAAGATAAAGCGTGATTTTGTTTACCTTAGCTGGCTAGCTCGCTGCTGTGAGTCACTTTACTCTCAACATTGCAGAATACAGATCCTCCTCTATTGCATCAGTCTTGGCAATCCACTCTCCTAATTGAATTTAATGTTGTAGGTGGATTCAGAACTATGAAAGTGAAACACTGGTTGCACTAGTTACAGTGTTGGTGGTTATTGCACCTTTCATACATCTAGCTTTAGTAAGCAATTACTGCTTCACTGCAATGCTGTTATAGCTCCATCAATGCAGCTTTGTCCTAACCAGTGACCCTTTTTCTTCTCAATTGTTTACTCAATTGCTTGAGTGAAGATTTTCTGTCTCAAAGACTGAGTTGCAACTTTTAAAATGTTCAGACTAATGATACATGGAAGCATCCATACTGGGTCAGTCCCAACAGTATCTAACAGAAGGAGCCAATGTCACTTGTCTAGGGAGAAGAATCAGGCAAACTTACACAGTATTTTTCTTCCTACTGCATTACTGCTCATATTTTCCAAACTTCTGTGCCCGAGGGATGTCCTTTATAATCTCAGCATGTTTTTTCTTCCAAAAACTTTTCCATTCTTCCCTTGAACCCTGAAAACTTTTGCTATGTTTAATATCCTATAGCAAATTATATTTAGGTTTTTGAACCAGTTTTTAAAACATTGCAGAGTACACCTCTGTACAGGTACAGCTATCGTGCCACATATAAAATAGTATAGAAGTGGGCTTGTCTAATGATTCAAGACTGAGACTCTTGAAGGTTAATTTATTTTCCTTACAGTGCCTCAATACAAAAAGGTTCTCTTATCTAACCATTTTCAGTAGTTGTCCTTGGAATGTAAATATGCATGTTTTGGGACATTATGCCATATGGCAGATGTGATAAACATCTCTAACATGATCTCTCAGGCAGGCACATCACACCCCTGGGTGCCTGTCTATGACTCCATTTTAGGACATGCCAGTTTATTTCCTTTTTCATTAAGCTGTGGTACCTGGTTGTGTTTGAGTGCTTTATATGTGAATGTTTTATGTGAATTTTTTTTTTTTATGGGATAACTCTCATTGAAAAGTGAGTAAGTTGTTCAGTAGACAGTGTTCATTCCTGTGATTCTGTGCTATAGCAGTTCTTTGACATACATCTGGGGATTCAGAACTCTTTGAAGGTGCTACTTACTATATAAGTGGATTTAACACCATGTTATCAATTAAAAATTTTCTAACTCTTTCATAGGAGTTACTCTTTATTTTTCAGTATGCCTTTTGCCATTCTGAATTCCTGCTGAAGTTTCCATAGAGCTGCTGTATTCTTCTTTGTCAGTCTTAAAATTTGTTTTTTCATTCTGTGCTAGTATTCTAGCTGCTAGAATTCTTTGCAGAAACAACTGCTCAGTGATGAATGTAGTTATCTTTTTGTGGCAAGTATGTAAATCACTATTAGATCCTTCTGGATAAAGGCTGCTGTAGAAATTACAAAGGATCATAATACATTCATGTCAGAATATGATCAGGTATTGAGTCGTAAACAATTCAATGCTGAAATATTTCTAAAGGGCAAAAAGTACCAGAGATGCATCTTTTTTGGATGTAAGACATAACTATACTGTTTATGTCAAATTCATCTTGATAAGGTAAAAAACCTCTGAATTAGCACAGTACTCAATTTCTCTAGACAGATGGGTTGGTATTTGGAGATTAAGATCTGGCTGTTTGCCACTGTATATGGTATCTGGAGCTGATGAGAGAAAAACCTGATTTGATGTCTTGCTGTCTTCTAAATTAAAAGTGTCTATAAATCCTGTGATTTGGTAATACATGTTTATTGTTGATGACTGCCACCCATTCTACCTGCAACATACTCATTAGAACAGTGGTCACAGATATAATAAGCTAAACTGTCCCTCTTTTGAAGGAGCATGAGTGGTACATGTGTGACCAGCCAGCTCCTCTTTGATAAGGAGACTGATAAGACTTGAAAAAGAAAGGGATACTTAATTTTTTCTTTTCTCCCAGTACTTGAATGAGTCTGGAATTACCAATATCAACCTCAGTATCAATAGAATGGGTTCTTATCTCCAGAAAATCAAATATTAGCACTTTTTGTGTTCAAAGACCCTAGCAGAATTTCCACTAGCTGAGATGGAAGTTTCATATTCTTCTATTTCTATTTGTGTATAGCAGTGGTGTTTAAATTTAAAGGCCAATGAAAAATTCTGGTCATATAGACAAATTTAAAACCAGCACAAAATCTCAGGAATTTGGAAACATTCACCCCTTTTTGGTTTGTTATGAATCATGGGAATTGAATGTTTAGATTGAGGTAGGCAGCAAGTATTAAAGACCTTGGTTTGGTGCCAATTAAAATTTTTCTATGTGTAAGAATACATAATCTTAAAACTCACCATCTAAATGGATTTCTACAGTTCATTGTCTTGCATAAAATAACTTCTCTAATGCTTTCCATTCTGTTCCTTAATCACATCTTAAATCAGGAGAGTTGTGCTATATTAAGTAAAGAAATTTTGGAACATTTATTCCACCTGCCATTGGGTATTATGTGGGGCATATTCTTTTCACAATCCCAGCTGTTTGTTGTTGTTGCAGATATTGTGAATAAGAAACCACAGTTGGCCTGGAAGCTCTATCTGGAGATGGAGACGTCAGGAGATTCATTTAGCCTGTTGCAGCTCATTGCCAATGATTGTTACAAAGTGAGTCTTCTCTTTAGAACTTGGTGTATGGCATGTTAATTCAGTGACTGTACCAAAAGCCTTTTTTTTTTTTTTATGTCTTTCATCATTGTCATCACTAGTGTACTTTCTTTTATAACAGCGGGATATTTATTAATGTGGATGAGTTGGCAAGGTTTAGTCAGTATTTTAACCTACAGGCCTTCTTGATAAACAGCCCCCTGAATGAAACATTGATAATTTACTCCATGCTTGAGCTGTCAATAACAGTTTCTTATACTGCCATTATTGGTAGAAATGACAAGAAACTTCTTAGAAAAAAAAATAATAATCCAGCATAGATTCAGCAAGGAGCCTTATGCTGCATTTTTTTCCCTGGACAGTTATTTTTTCCTGAAAGCTTGTAGTGGCTTCACTCAATAGAATGCTGAACGAATGTGATGGAGCAAGGTCAACAGCATCCTGAGACTAATTGTAGCTTGATGCCCCATTGCTATGCTGATAGCTGGGACGAAGGACTTCTGGCTGATTTCTTGCTGCTTTTCATGCAAGATCTCATCTTGTCCATATAGGGAACAGCACATGACTTGGGGTAAAACATTTCCTGCTTTTGTGTCAGATAGAAGAAGGACATTGAACCAGTATTTGCTTAATGGAACTAGGTCAGATGCCAGTTTGGAGAGATAGATATTAATTTTTTATCTTTTTAGGTGACACATCTGATCTTGCTTATACTCACTATCTTTATTCCCACCTGTTTAAGTGCTTGCCAGTCACCTATGGTCAAAATTACCATTTATCTGCAGAAAATTGAATTTTCTATTTATCTGTTCATCCTGTAGTATCTGTGTTTCTCTGACTAAAGTAACTCCCACAGCCCATCCAGGGTTTTTCTCAGCAGATGCAGACTTCCAACCACCAAAGGATGGGAGGTTGTTCTCAGCCTACCTTCTGTGCTCTGTTATGGGAAGATGCTAGCCATAAAGAACATTGTTCTTCAGTCTTGCCCAAGTTAAGAATACTCACAGTCATAAATAAGGTCCACAAGTTATGCTGAAATAAAAAGTCTGTTAGTGTAGTCACTCCTTTCACACTGACTGTTTTCAACCAACTTGCTTCTTGTTCACATTTACAAATAGAGAATTGAAGGAAGAAATGATAAGGTACAAGGATTTTCTTAAGTTTAGGATAATTTTGGATTACAGAGTCACTGAATCTTACTTTGTACTGTACTGTAACAGTGAAGAAAAAAATCCAGTTCCAAGTTAAACCTAAAAGACATCAAATATGTCCCTGTGACCATCACAAGGTCTCTGTGACCATCCTCTGTGACCTACGTAAGGAAAAGTAGTTCTGTTTTAAAATGTTTGGACTAGTTGGAAGTTGATGTTTTATCAAGGATTTCAGTATAGTCAGTATCTATACAACACTGGATAGGGCACCTCATAAAAAAAGAAGTTCTATAAGCTAGTGTTATCTGTATATGATCAAAACAACAGTGCAGATCATTGCCAACTAATGAAGCTCACAGTGCAGTTTGTCTATAATGTTCAAAGACATTGACCAGTAATGTTACAGTATCACCTCTTTCCCTACTGAAATGTGCCTGTTCTGTATCACTTGCTGCCTGCAGAAAAACAGCAAAATGAACATTGCTTCCATGACTTAGTGCTGATTTCCGAAAACTAAGCTCACAATTTTTAATCCCCTTCTAAAAGATGGTCATATTGTCATGAATAACGTTTCACTTTTCTGTGCAGTTGCGTCAGTTTTACTATTCAGCCAAAGCATTTGATGTTCTGGAGAGACTGGACAGCAATACTGAATACTGGGAAGGCAAGAGAGGTGCTTGTGTGGGTGTCTTTCAAATGATCTTAGCTGGACAAGAAGCAAAGTGAGTATTCTGTGTTGTATCTGAATTTATTTTGCTCTTTTCTTACTTCCAGTCAGCTGTAAGGCAGAATCATCATCTCAGCTTTAGGTCTGCGTATCCTCTTCCAATTCTCTATTGACCTTTCAGAAAACTGACACTCTGGCCGGTGCTTCCATATGAGGTGTTCAGTTTTAAGTGTATCTTCCACACAAACAGTTCTGGAATATATAGTGGAGAATAACTCATCAGTTAATGCCATGAACTGTATGAAACCAAAATACATTAGTTGTAGTATTAGGACGAGTTAAGTTATAAATGTACTATATTCGTGAACTGAGGGAAAAGCACCTCATTTCACGTTAATGGCATAAGAATGGAAAACGGTTCCATGATATTTTAAGGTTCACAGAATAGAACTAAGAAAACATTTGCTCAGTGCTGTTGGAAGGACACAATTTGACTAAACAATGTGAGTAGATGTGACTGTGTTTTCACTAAAATTTGCTTTCTGAAGAAGCTGTACATGTCAGATAAATATACTCACTTGAAAGCTTAAGGGAAATTACCTGTGTTAGTGATAATTTGCTTTCGGCCCATTTCATTGGATGGGAGAATAAGACAGAATACTCGGGCTATATTTAAGAACTGATCCCTCATAAATATTCTGCTGTAATGCCAGATGGCCATTCTCCCCTGGCCAAAGTTGCTGTTTCATACATGACTGGTAGGTATGTATCTTGGCTTTTACACCCTTCTTGTATTCCCTTCTGTGCTGGAGTAATCTCATTAACTAGTGCACCCTTCAAGTGTCCTTTTAGCAATTACTGCAGTAGATACAGTGAAATACACATAGGTTGCCTGTTTTTCAGTATGCATACAAGTTCTTGCAGTAAACTAGCTGGTAAACTGGAGCTTCATACTGGTTTATCATATTGGTAATGTTCATTTCCATGTTATTTGTATTAATGTGTAAGGTGCTTTGGCAGTATTAAGCTAGATGTTTCCATACTGAAGACTAGCAAACAGCATTAAAGTCAAAACCAAAAAAAGCTTGCTTTATTCTGGGGAGCTATTTTGCAAAAGTAAAGATCTATATATGAATATACACACATGCAAGCACTAAACTCCAAACTAATTACACTTTGCTGACTTTCTTGCTTTTAATTTCTCATTGCAATGAAATACAAGGTGGGGTTTTTGTGTTCCCTGGGTTCACATCTACTGTGCATTTTTACCTCTAACTGCTCTGCAGATTAATGGACCCCTCTGTCTAGGAGCCATGCTTTGCAAACTAGTTTGGATATGGGTAGTTGTTTATTGTATAAGCTGGGTCTTGCCCTCATTTAAATCTTTGCTTTTCACCTTTATAGAGAGACTCTACGGGAAGTATTGCATCTTCTGAAGAGCACTGGCAATTCTCAAGTAGAATACATTGTCCGCATCATGAAAAAGTGGGCCAAGGAGAACAGAGTCCCTGTTTAAGTCAGTGCCACAAAATGAACTGGGTCAGTTACTGCTCTGTGCGTGGCTTCAAGATGTGGGTCCTGGTTTCTTCTGTGCATTCTGGGTATCTCCTTCCTTGCAAAACTTTAAATGATCAAGCAGATTGACGCAGCTGAGCAACAGTGTAGTGGAGTGAGATTGCAAAACATGCAGCAAGTTTGGTTTGGGTTTTTTTTGGTTGGTTGGCTTTTAAACCTTTACTGGTACTTTTCCTGTTGCATCAATCTCTATTCCTCATTCTAATTTTCAGGTTTTTAGTAATAGTTCCAGCTGTCCACAAGTCAGAGTGTTCCTCAGATTTCTCCACACAAGTTACTGGACTGCTCTGTGGGCTTTTTTTCCAGCAAGCCTTCTGGCCTCTGGAGAAAACTCATTTGTTGAATGACTGAGAATTGTTGAATGACTCTATTCAGCAAGTGATGGAATGTGCATATAGAGAAGATGACAGGGACTACCAAAAGCAAATACTAGGGTATCAGGTAATATGTAAACACGTATATTACCTGTCTGGAGTAAAATACAAACCATGTTCTGAGCACTGTCCTTTTCTGGATAAATCTTAATAACTATTACCATCATTTATTTGGCTGACTGTATTGTTTAATCTTGCTTTGTAGGTTTGACATTCAAAACACTGATTCATGTTAATACAATTCATGTGAGTGATCCATTTAGTTTAGCAATCTGATGGATAAAAGAGCAGGATGCTTTGAATAATTTTCTTCAGCATTTACCACCCTCATTAGCAATATATTTATTATACTTGGGATTTATTATACTCTCCTGTTCTTTAAAGAGAACAGTTCAGGGAATATATAATTCTAAGAAGGCATCAGTTGTAATATAGAAATGTGTTATAATTTTTGTAGTGTGAAACGTGTACATTGTTTCTAAAAGGAAAGTTTACATTTTGTTGATCTGTAAAATACTGACAAAGTATTTTTTTATCTTTTTAGGGGGAACTCAGAATACTGTATTCTCTATTGTCTATTTCTATTCAAATCTATTCACTTTGATTAAAGCTCTGAATGGAATGCCTTGTTGGTCTGTGTTGCTTCATACTGCAAAAGTTGAAATAGTATATTCATTTTGCTGTGGAAGAGGGTAGATTTGTGACTGGTCATTAAATGCATGTTCATTAATCTGTCTAAGGTAAGCCAGTGGCCTTGATCCTGATTTTATGGTAGTTTGCTGAAAATAAGGAGGCTGGGTGTATGTGGAACATACACACATTTCTGCCATATAACATTGGCTCTTTTTTGCTTTAAGCAAAAAATGTGGGTATCATCATTCAGGTATCCAGAAGTACCTTGATAGTTGTGGCTACTTGCATTTATATCTAGAAATCTGATCCATCATACTACTAACAATAATAGAGCCTTTCAGCATGGACAGGGGACACGTTGCACTCATTCAAAAGAGGTGTGAAAGCAATAGTATTTTCACTGAAAGCAGTTATAAAACAAAAGCAGTTATAAAACATGTTTCACTTGTAAAAGGCATTTTTCTTTTCCCTCCCAGTTTAATTAACTTGTAAACTGATCAGGAATACAATTACGAGTCTTGGTACAAAGCTTCGAAAAATCATGTTGGTGGCTTTGTAGCAGATGTTAAATGCATGTAATTACTCCCTTTATTGAAGCTTTACCTGCACAAGAGCTGAAGAGCATCCGAGTCTATTGCAGACCATTTTACATGTTGTTCAAATCTTCTGAAATAAGTGTGGTGGCATTGCAGCATAAGGGCATGGGGACTAATTTTAAATTCTCTGGCCCTGACCAATGAAAAAGTTTTTAAAAACCTCCCCTCATTCACTAGAGTCACAAAATCCTATTTGATATGCTAAATAATGTGGGGTTTAGCACAGTACATTTTATTGACTGGTAATAAAGTTTTTGTCATTTAAGACAAGGGATTGCAGGGCTTTGCCTTCAGCAGTGATGAAATGAGAGGTATATTACATACTTAGGATCGTGGTAATGGAACAGACATGTAGGTACTATTAAAATGCACAACAAGGAAAATGCTGAAATATTGGTGTTTATTTTACCTTAGAAATGCATTCTAAGGACATCTTCCATTGTTTAATCTGAGATCACATTCAAAGAACAGGGGTGTGAATCGGAGTTGCCTTAGCTGATACAGAAAGGGAAGTTAATCAAGAATTTCTAAAGCTGTTTCTGAGGCAGAGTTAACAAAATGTTATCACTGTCTTTTTGCATATTTCCCTGAATTGTGGAAATTTAAGGAGTCAAGGTACTCTAAATAGAGCAGCTAGGAGTGAAGGTAGATGTGGAGGAAAAACAACTGCAAAAGTGAGCTATACAGAACAAGTAGGCAGTGAGGAATGCATGTGCAGAGTCAGGGAAACAGATGAGTTTATTGGGTCAGGAATAAGTGAATAAAAAATTGAAACAGCATTTCACATAATGTAGGAGAAGAGAGACTAGGGCAGAAAGAAATTGCTGCATCATTAGAATTTCAAGGCAGAGTATGGGAAATACAGTTATTTCTTATACTCCCAGTAAGCATCTGAGGTACTGTGCTAGCAGTCGAATCATTGATAGTGACTGGCAGAGAAAGCTGAAGCCCAAACAGTGTGTAACTGCTTTTAGTTGGGTGCTGACCCATTCCTGACAGATAAGGAAGATGACCTTTAATTAAACTCAGTAATATCTGAAGAACATTTATGCCAATAACATCTAAGTGAATTACTCTGCAGGAGAGGACATTTATCCTGTCTGTTGCTGCGAGTTAGTTCCAGGATGACATCTGGTTTGGCCAGCATCTGAACTGATCCAATATAGCATCTTGGATTAGTTCTGGAATCTAGCATATAAATTCTAAGCCCAGTAACAGGTGGAGCCAAGTAATGTACTCAAGCTGGAGGTGGCAAGTTCATTGTGAAGGAAAAGTCATGTCACTTTCCAGCTCTGTGGACTGCAGCAGGCATTTATATTTATGCAGTTCTCTCAGCTGAAAGATTGTTCATTGATCTTCATATGAAAATTGTCTAAGGTTGAATAAGGAACTTGGCCATTAGCTAGCAAGACACAGATTAGACAATTACATATATAGCTGTTGCTACATGTAGCTTCACCACATGGGAGCTATGCAAACACTGAGGAACGCATCAGGGGTTTGCCCATTGGTTTACTCTTTCACTAAATTTTCCCTGTGTTATCTCCAGAAGTAATTTCCAGTCATTCTTGAGTTTCATTTCTAGACTTCCCTCTCCCCATTTAATCTATTTATATGATCACTGATTAAGTACATAATTGCATGAAAGTGTCACCAGTAACCACTAAAATCAGGTTATTAATCAACTACTGCATAATCTGGCCTGACCCTAGGTAGTGAGAGATGGTAGATTTCATTGGCTAATCTTTGTGTTGAGTCCAATAACTATCTTGGCTTTCCATAAAAATACTTGTGAGAAAATCTGAAGGTGGCTAGTGAGAAAATTTGTTAAAAAAATCAAATTACTTTGCAATTTGTTCAAATTATTAAATTGCCTTTGCTCTTCATTCTAAATTCAGCTTGTTTGGCCTTGTCTTACAATATTTGATTCTTCCAACATCCATCTTTGCTGTTAGTCATTAAAGCCCAGCATTGTCTGGTTTGAGTTGGGGTTTTGGTGGTTTGGGTTTGTTTGTTGTGTTTTTTATCTTTTGGTACACATAAACTACAAGCAAGTCACCTCAATCTGTATGGAAGACAGCATCCCTTGTAAGGATATTTTCCAGGGTGGAAAACGGGCAACCAGTTTGTCAACAGAAAAACATGGCCATGTAGCATTATGTATATTTATCACCACATGTGATGTTGGAATATGCTCTTCCATACTGCTGCTTCCTGTTCTCCTACATGTGTACTCAAAGACTGCATTCATCCTTTTAGTCATACTATCACAGGGGGAGCTTGCATTAAATTGCTTCTTGACTGTGACATGACATCTAGGTTTTTTCCACAGCTGGTATTTTCTAGGATACAGTCTACCCTTCAGAAGATACACCCTACCTTCAGCTCTAAAATATAGATTTTGTTTGAATGGGGTCAGTTTTTCACGTTACGCAGATCACTCTGAGTGACTGTCTTATTATCACTACACTAGTCTGTTTCCCTGCAGTCTTTTATTAATGCTGGTTTATATCTATATCTGGATCATCAAGGGCTATGTTGGATCCTCCACCCTTCCAGGACCCTACTAAAGTAAACCCCCAGAACATTCTAGTAATGATGACTAATGGCTACTTCTCATCATTTGTCACTCTCAACTTGATTCACATGTACTTTACGGATACTGTATTACACTATTTTTTTTAAATTAGGTATATGACGTTAGAAATGTCTGTAATTACATTTGTATAACTACAATATTGTATTGAGCTAAACTTAACGAAAGACCCATGTCACAGGAGCTAATACTTCCCATTCATTCTTTATTAGATAAATCTTACAGCATCACAGAAAGATTGATGGAGTCCAGTTGTTTAAGGCTGCTTGCAGAATTTGAAACAGTCCTTTTTTTGCCCTGTAATCACATTTAGAAGCCACAAACCAAAAGTTTACTTTTGACTTACATTTGGAACAAATAAAGCAGGAATTTCACATCTCTAGGCAAGGGATAATTCCTAAATTCCTTATAAATCTTGCTTAACTGATGAATTACACTATCATCTATGTATAGATTTTAAGATAAAAATCTATATTTAGTAAGAGCTGTGACTTTTGGGAAGACACTGTGTATTCTTCAAATAAAAAACTTCAGTTCATACTTGCATATTTTATTGTGCTTAATGGCTCCACATATTATTCTTAGTAATTGAGAGAATTTAATATAATTAATGCAGTATAATGAGTAATGGTCTTTAAAATGTTTTTACAAGGAGATCTTAAAGAACCTGGGATTTAAGTTATTTTGACAGAAAATATGCTACGAGATAGTTTATAGCAGTTCCCAGGTACAGCCAAAATCTAACTGAAACGTGGGATACTACCTATGCTGTTGTCTCTGAATTGCACTTTCATGGACCTAAGAACTGCCTTGCTTTTTTTGGAGTCCTCAAACCGCACTTTAAGCTGGCTCTCAGATGAGTGATGAGCCTGAGATTCCGCCATCTGTTCCTTGATCACTGTATGCAACTTCCATGTGGGCAGAAAAAACACATACAACAATGCAAAATTAAATAATATACAATAACATATTTTAATAATACACATAATAATGTTGAGATGGTTTATGTCACATAGAAAAGAACCGTGCTTCAATTCTAACAGTTCCATTGTAACAGTTGTAATTTTCTTTGATGATTTTGCCCTTCTTAAGCGTGATGGGATCATTATGCCTGTCTTCTCTGAAGCTACCAGTAATTTTTTTCTTGCCTCACGTCAGTGGGTGAGGCCATTATATGGGTAGCCATTATGTGACAAAACACGGTGTCTAACTTTGCAGAGCTGGTGAATTAATTCACATGAAGTAAATGTAAACTCTGGAGTATCAGTCCATGTGTGATACTTGTGTCTAAGAAGACTTTAAAAAATATATATATAAAATATAATAAACCAGGTCTTAGAGTGCCTGGTATATTCCCAATAATAATGATGATCATAATATTGGTATTCTACATGTTCAGTCTTACTTTTGCCTAACTTCTTCATGATGCCACATGTGATGAACTTAGTCATCACTGAGCAAACTGGGAAGTTATTTGTTTATATAAAACAACAGTGGTTTTCCCACCATTTAAAGGCAGAAAAGCTATTTTCAGGTCATAGCAAAGTAATTTCTGAGGCAAGCTTTACAAGACTTTCCACTTAGTTTAGCTAGTTATTCCCAAACAGGTTTTATCACTGTGTCTCCTTTTCATGTCTGTGTGTTCTCCTTCCTTACCAAGTGTTTTCCCTTCCCACCTACCCACTAAAGGTGACTGGCCTTGCAGGACTATCACAAAGTACTGCCAAAGTACTGCTGCTTTCCACAT